TTACGACCGTAACCGAAAACGGTTTGTTCGTCATCCTACATCGAAATTATACGGTAGTCACGACTGCATAAAATATTATATCGTAGGTACCTACATAATATACGTACTTACGTGTGCCGGTAACTTCTATATATGGAGGGTGGGTAAAACTGCTGCTGTTCCTGACACTTTCATCGTTTTTAACCCCGACAAAATATTTTCATCTATAAAATAATAGGTATAATATAGTATATATATGGTTTATTTTCGCAAACAAATGATTTATATTGCATGCTTCGTTTCTTTTTGTATACTCGCCGAAAGTTTTGTTTCAGAAACGATATTTATTTTAAACCGCTTCACTTATTATAAACCTATGTATGTTGCGAAACGGTTTTAAATTTATTCGAGAGACATTTCGCGTTGTTATCGCAGAGAAACCTGCAGCAGTGACTAACGTAGCGTACGATAATAATATAATATATATTATATAACAATAAAATAATTGTCCAAAATGGCAAGTAAAACCATAATAGTAAGTAAGTAAGTGAGTAATTTTTATGTCGAAAACGGTTTTTTTTTTTTAAAGATTCTGAACGTTAGCAATGGTTTATTATTGCATATAGATTCTCGTTTATATCCTACCTTCCCCACTTCCCACCTAAAATATTGGCTGTATTCATCCCTATTATCCTAGTATAACTTTTTTTTTAATGTATCACTAAAATCATTTTTCACCATAGAAGAAGCAAAAAATATTCGCAACTGAATGAAGAAAACAGATTTGAATTTAGTGTAAAGTACACAAGAGATCGATTAGGTTTGTTTTTCGAATTAAAGATTTTAATTTACGAAACTTTGATTCGAGAATTTTTGGGGGAAAAAAAAAAAAAAAACGAATTTTTTAAAAGGATTTTTACAAAGCAATACGTTATTTGAATACACATTTTCGAATTAATACGATTATAATACAATTATTACGTTAAATTTAACGAAATAAATCTGTTCGTCCTTCGGCGAATATATGTTATTATATAAATTATAATTTAATAATCGCTTTTTAACATTGAAATTATTGTCGCCATTATCGCAACTGAAAACAAATTTATGCGAGTCCGTTTGAATTAAAATATATTATTTGCATTTATACAATTTCAGTACATTGTACATTAATATTTTATTCGATTTAATATAATACGATTATATTTTAAATTATTATCAAATTAATTCATTACATAATTGCATTTCAATGGACGATAAATTAAGTAAAACTTGATAAAACTAGGTACACTATAGTATTATTGTATTTATTAATATTAACAAACTTTGCGATTTAAACTGTTATCGAATAATTACTTTTGAAAACACTTTGTATTATTAAATAATATTTACTTCAATGTTTCCGGCAAGGAAGTTTCAATGGCGGTTTTTCCTCGTATTAACGTTATCCATACAGATGAATCGATGGTCGATAAGTCGTTAAAATCGGAGACTGCGTCCCATTTGGATTCAAATTATTTCCAAAAACGTCCGGTTTTAACAAGTATGCGGTAATTCGATTGTGTCCTAAACGAAAAATCGAGAATTTCGATACCAGACAGAACGCGATTATAGACACATTAAACATGCACATTTAACTCTAAACGTGAGCAGTTCGATTATTATCGCTTGACACTCCGTAATAAAAAATTAATTTTTTATTTATAGCGCTTGGACGTAAAATTCATAAACGAAATAACAATAATAATCTACAAAAATGAATGATACAAGTTTACTTGTTTATTCGTATTACCTAACCTTAACACTGTTTAAGAATAGTTAAAAATTGATTAATATTCAAATGCGATGTGTAAAAAAAAGAATGAAACATCGCACGAAAATGTTCGCAAGTGTTTGTAGTACGCCGCATACTACTGGTCATTTTGGCCCACATTTTAGGTGGGAAATATGGATTTGAATCAATACAGTTATCAATTTATCAGTTATTAGTAAATGGTCTTATTTGTTCATTAAAGGGTTGAATGGAAGCTAACTTAGTAGCATAAACTTTTCCAACCATATCAAGATTTAAATAAAGCAATCCGAAAATACATGTTAAAAATTGTCCTATTTCACTAGATATAATGATTGGATTTTGCGCCACCATGATTGGCTTAAATGAAAACGACAACCTTGTATTTTTATTGATGGCCAAACTATTTTAATTGAAGATTCGAAGTCGACGAATTTCAATATTTTAAAAACCTATTCGCGTTTACTATAGATCTGTACGCTATAAAGGTTGAATATTTAACTGTACAACATTTATATAAAAAAAAAAAACAAGTTAAGATAATGGGGACGGGTGCAGGGTTGTAGGAGGGAAATTGGGAAGGTAGGATACATACGGAAATTTAATGTATATGTGTTGAATTTTACCTGACGTAGTTGAAATTTTCAACTTTACGATTGCGATGTAATCGGTTGCATACCGTTAAAACCGACGTCCGGTTTAAATCAAAACTAGAAAAGGATTAAAAAGGTCAAAACAGGACGCAATTGGACGACGTCCCTCAGCGTTTTCAAATTTCAAATTTTTGTAATTTTAATTTTTTAAACGAGGCATAGATTTGTTTCGGGTTTTTCGTTGAGGTTTTTAGATATCAGGTTATCGTCCTAGTATACATTTAAATGTGACGACTTTTTGGTCCTACTAACATGTTGATGAGGTATTTTTGATTGATTATTTTTAAATACGTTTAAAGCATTGGTTTCTGCAATAGTCTTTAAAAAAACTTTAGCACTGGACGTTTTACTGGATTTTCTATTACGCGGTTTATTATTGAAATTTTTTCTCGTAAATTTTATGGTATTATCAACTAACTTTTTGGAATACGTTGGATCCTAGTGTTTGGAATTTGATTTTTTATTATAATTTTTGAATACACTGTCAAGTTTTTGTAATTTCATTTTTTTCATCGAGGTGCAATTAGGTTTCCATTTTTCTTTATCGAATCCACGAAGTACATCGTCATCGATTTTTAATGCATTCAATTTTTCCATAGACAATAATTTATTGTATAACTAACAGGTTTATGCGATATTTTATTTTTACGATTTTTAAATTGATTCTTTTTCAATTTATTTGAAGATCGATTTAGTTCATTTTAATATATAGCTACTGAAAGAGAAAGTCGTTTTTTTTTATATCTAAAGTAGTTTTCATAATAATTGGGAAAAATTACGACATTACAATTTTATTATTTAAAATTTTACGGTTTATGTTTTCTATTAGAAATATTTGTTCAAATTTCAAGAACAAGATATTTTCTGAAAGAGTTTTTTTTTTTTTTTTTTTGAGTTCAACGGATTCGTTTTTTTTTCATACCTTCCCAACTTCCCACCTACAATAGTGACCGCACCCATCCCCATTATCTTAGGATAGCATTTTGTATTATGGTCTGGTACCGTATAAGATGTAACGAAACCCTATTGTTGCGGTGTTGGGATGATTTATAATATAAACATAAAATATCTAAAAGATATCTAGATATAGCGATGACATATTACACTATATTTTATTTTGATCTCATGTAGATAAAACCGAAACATCCGCAAACTGCTGATAACTACACAGACGTGTTGGGTAACGTTTTGTTACGGGCAGATTTAACTGTCCGTTGACGGTTGGAGTAAGATAAAAATTTTTAAAAATCGGGCAGAAATCGTATAAGTATACGTATGAATTGACAAAATATATTATATGTTCTGAAAGTCAAAAGGTGTTACTAATACAAGAGAACAATAATGCACAGTGATTTTTGTTTCAAACAATATGCCATTATAATATATAGGTACACCTGAAACCTGTTTTAAACATTACATTTTTGAGGTTTTTCGAATTAATCGCTTTCTATTTTCGATTTGTAAAGATGAACATTTTGAAAATGTTTCCCGTTTTAAACATTGATTTTTGAGGTTATTTCGAATTTATCATAAGGTACGATTTTAGGCAGATATTGTGTTTGTTTTACTTCTTTAAAATCTATTATAATAAATAATACTCTGTCAAACACACACACACACACACATTTATTGTTTAATAATATAAAGTTGATAAAAGTCAACGGAAATCCAAAAGTGAAAAACCGTCCCGATATAATGTATATTTGGAATACTAGTCGAGACGGAAAAGGAATAATAGTTCAGGGAATAGACGGAGGACGCAGCTGCAGACATGTGTGTTGTCAAGGCAGTAATGGTGGCCTTTTGGTGGCTTTTAAAACCGAAAAGAAGAAAGCCCGTGGACGAGTTGATTAAAGTACAGCGGTATAAGTATTATAGAATTGAATATATGGTATATATAAAAGACAATACGGAATGCGGGCTGAACGTACATTAAATAAAACACGTGTTTAGCACTCATTGCCTATATATTGCGAGGTATACGATAAGTATTCCGCCGAAGACAATATATTTTTTATCACATCCAAGTATAATAATGATAATAATAATACGACGATATTTTATATGCATTGCGGGAAAAAGCCGAAAGTTATATAAAAGGGACACGAGAATAAACGAATGCGGCATTCCTGAATATTGTATAGTATTTCATTACGTATAATATTATTATAAATATATATAAAGAACATACTTTTGCCGATACCACGACAACAGCCCTTTGAAATTATCGCCGCGCGGGACGTCCAAACAATCGGGTTTATTTTCGTTTCGTCGGATCCGTTGCGGGATCCGTCAGCCCGTATCATCCGAAATTGATAATACACGCAATGCAATTTGTACGATATTATCGTGCCGGGTTTTTATTATGCTATATGGACGGTGTTCGTGAAAAAGGGTGTAAGTCGAATTTTTTAACTTTTTTGTAGATGACAAAAATACTGAACAATGTACTATTATAATAATGACCTATTATAAACTTTAGCACCAATAGATTATACAATCGGATTATGTAATTGTAATTACTTAATATTAAAAGAAATGAATACACAAATGTCAATAACACCAATCGATCTGTCATGAAATTGTCCACAAAATTGACGTATAATGTAAAATTCACTGCTCTAAACAATAATTTAGGTACCTATATGTATACTTAATATCATATATTATTAAAAATTACAAAACAGTTAAAACTTAACCAAATGGGTTTTGTAAACGATTTAACTAATAACGGCTTGCATTTTAATATAAAGATTTTGTTTAATATTTTTGTACCGAATAGACACTCATGTTTAATAATATGCCGTCGGAAAAAAAAAATAAAAAACGAAACAGTATATTAAATTCGGCGACGTTACGAAGTAAAATTTCACTCGAATCCGATCGAGATTAAGTTTGTGGGATTGTCTTTTGTTTATTGAATTACTTTTTTGGAGTTATATATATAGGGTGTAACTGGACTATTTGATATTTTCACATGCAAATACAATGTAAAAATGTAAAATAGTCCTGTTAAACTCTGTATATGCCTGAAAAGTGGTTTCGGATTTTAATTTTAGTCTGCTGGATAGTCCTGTACATGGGACAGAACTACTCTTCTGCGCCGCATGAGATCAGAATTTATCCGCGTGAAACGAACGACGGCGATCGTAAATTGAATACAAGGCGTCATTTTTACAATTTTCGTTATTTTTCTTTTACGATTTCGCAATATTCAAAACTTTAATTTAAAAAATCGTATTCGAAAAAGAAAAGGTTCAATAATAAATCATCGGCCTTCAAGTCAAGTCAAACGTAAATCTGTACGCAGTGAAATAAAAATTACGATAGTATTTTCTCACGGCAATATTTTACACCACACAAATCGAAACCGGATGTTTAAAAATTGCAATATTAATCTATAGTTGCCTCACACTTGAACAATGGACTTTTAAAATAGTTTTTCGTTTATTTCTGAATGCTGACTTAGCTATCCGCAAAAAAAAAGTCCATACTGGGGATGGGTGTGCCACTGTTGTAGGTGAGAAGTTAGGAAGGTAGGATGTTTAAAGTTATTTAGTTTATATCTGTACGCAACGATAAACCATTGTTAACGGAAAATGATTCTGAGCGAATTTCGGTTAAACATGTTTTGAAATTTAGTAATTTTTCCAATTTTCGTCAAAATTTAATGTTAAAAAACGTTCATATAAAAAAATTGTTATATTACGCTTAACTTTTCACCAATAAGTATAATTTATAATGAACGTCGAGTTCATTTTTAAACGAATTTTGTTTAATCAAACAATTGTATCCATATAATAACTATCAAATACAAATAAAAAATACGAATATTTTAAATGCCTATAAATAGTACAAAAATCACCAGAATATTTTGAAAATTTTGCTTCGTTTAGAACTATTAACTAAATTACAATAACATAATTTTAGAATCTAAACGAACTAATAATATTGTAAAATATAGAATACATAGACATGAACTTGACCAAGTCGCAGTCACCATTTCGACTTGAAACCATATTGCCGTTAAAAAGAAAAACAGTACCCCGTTTATATATAATGTTTATGACGTATGTGATTATTTATCAATCATCACAGTATACCTGCATACACCTTGCGCACCTTGAGTGACAATATTAATATTATTATACTGAGGACTTATAATAATGGCATTATTAGTTATTACACGAGATCGTGTATGCCAACAAAATTTATTTTCGTTCGGTCGATCAATGTTGATATTTGATTAATGTAATTTATAACGAGTTTAGATAGTTTACGAAGTTATCGCCAAAGACATATTATTAAACTATTATTATAACGACTTTGGTGGGTTCAGTGTGTTTAGTGCGTGACGCGTCTACGATTAACAAGTATCGATAAATCAAATAACAATGACAATACAATAACAGTTTTAGATTCTGAACGGAGCGAGGAATGTTTTGGTTTTACAATAATGTTTATATTTTTTTTATGAACATAGTTTCTACTAGAAATGTTGCTCTGATTTTTAAGTGAAGCATCATTTCTGAAAAGAAATTTGATTGGAATGGTACAGTAGAAATGTGATTTTTCGATTTTCCCAGCTATTTTCATAATAAATGGGAAAAAGTGGAAAAATGTACAAAATTTATTATTTTAAAATTGTAAATATTACTACTTTTTAAAACATGTATAACCGAACTCAGCTCAGAATCGTTTTTCGTTAGCATAGATAAATCGTTACGTACATCTGTACGTAGATATACATTAAATTTTCCCTCTACCTTCCCAAGTTATTATTTAGAATAATGGCCTATTTTATTAACTAATTTTGTGAAAAAAAGTTAAATAAATTACCGTTCCGTGCATCTAATTTGAAAAAAGTAGTGTACGTTAGAATATCTTAAAATTTAGTCGGGATCCTCAGTCCCTTTTCGTCCTCTAGTCAACCACTAAATTACAATGCACTTTATTACTTGAGTCGGTGCCATCTCTCAATAATTTTTAATACGCATTAACTGTGACTTCTCGTTCTAGTCGGATTACGAGGTGTTATTCGGGCCGGAACGTGACGTTCGAAGAGAGACGGAGAGAGGGATACAGAGTGCATTTTTATTTTACTCCCCCACTTTAACCCCTCTCCCTGTTCAACTGAAAAAGGTCCTATCGAACAGTGTGTATAAATAAATAAATATATATATATATAAATATTAAGGTACTACAGGGTGATTGTTTTAATATCGACCAGTGATTATCAATGTATACGAAGATTTTAAGTAAATATGAATTCGGGTTTTTTCACACATTACCTACTTATTTATTACTATAAAATCGCGGAACGATCTTGTTTAAAATATTTTAAAAATTTCACCTTCATCCCGTATTTACGTATCAACTTTTGACGACGGGTTGGGTATCCACGATATGACGGGTCACATTCACGTTTTTAGAGATAATAATGACCTTTCCGTGTTATCCTATTAGGTCTAAATTTGTAACCGTTATAACACTAACAAATGGTAAATCTTTTTCGGATCCGCAGGTTATGTTCAGGTTATTATATTATATTATATATTTGCAAATCTATATTGATCTATTTCATTAATTTTATTAATCAATATTATATATTTAAAAATCGTGTGATACACCGGTTAATAGCGATGATATTGATATGGGTGTCGGTTATAAGGATAAAATGTTGAAAAAAAAAAAATGAATTGTAAATACCTATATAAGATCGTGATTACGGCTTAGAAAAAAAAAAATCACTCTGTATACCGCAGTGTTTACGGAGAGTCGTAAATGCACTCCCGTAATGGCGCGTACACGGTACATAGTGGCGATAATTACGTTTGGCCCGCCAAGGAAACGTTCGTTGGCGCGCCAAAGGCGGCAGTGGCGGCGCGGACGGACTTGCGATGGTAAAGGCGGGGTAGCAAATTCGCCCCTGTGGCGGCGCGGCCAAGGGGCGGTCGAGGCGTATCACTGGCGCCGACTGCCACCGACCGTCTGCCGGCGGCGGACGGCGGTGGCGGCACGCTTGGGCCACACGGTCGCCACCGAGACGGTTCTCGTCTGTTGTTGCGTCGTGTACTCGCGCGCGCCGTACACTCTGTTGCTCAGTGTACGGGACGACGACGGCGGCGAAGGCCGACGCGCGAACTGTTACGACCACTTCGTCGTTATAATGATGGTATACCAGTTCGTCGTGGTTCGCTACTACGCCGCGACCGTATCGGCGGTTACCACCGCCGGCCGGTGATCGGGGTGCACGTAGCTGATACACGGCACCGCGTGAGTTACCGCCGCGGTTACGAAGACGAGACGCCATACCTGCAGTTCAAAGTAAGATCGTATAATAAATATATAAATATATTTATGTGTATGTATACTTAAACAATGCAGGAATAATATTATGGACTCATATTAATATTACTAAGGGGTTCTTGTCTATGAGGTGGGATTTAGAAAAATAATACGGATATACATTAAAAAATGTCGCATTGTTTAGGTGATTATTTCGTTCGTTTCCGGTGCACATTAAATAGGTATCTGTTAAAATACGAGTTTTCACTGTATTTTAAACTATAGGCAATTTGAAATATTTTACACCCATAAATTTCGGTTTCGTAATATTTGTCCTTAATTATACGTTTATTGAAATTGACTACACACCATTTGAATGATCACCTACCCCATAGTAAAAGTTGTTTGTTTATTTAAAATTCTTAAGGACGTGTCCAATTTACAAACATATTTTTAGTAATAATACAGGTTGTAAACAAAGGTAATGTTGACGTGTTTTTTCTTCTGAACTATAACTAGGAACGTTGAAAAAATAAAAACGAAACAAATTATTTCAATAAATCAAAAAAATATATAGATTATTAGTTACTCAATTGTTACCAGGAGACATTTAAATATTTATTAAGTTATTCGACGTGCGATTTCGAGAGAAATTTTTTAACATAAAATAATTGATTATTTCGTACATTAAGTTTGTTTACTTTAAAATGTATCCTGCTTAGCATAATTGAGTCGTTAATCTCATTATATTATAATAATTTTAAAATAAAGGTAGTATATATTAATTCTGCATGTTTTCTATGGGGGTTGTTTTTTTTACTTAATAATGAGAGTAGTGTGGGGTTTAGAATTTAAAATAAGTAGGAATATAATCTGTCTATTCCTGGAATAATCCCGTCAAATTTCACATTGATCATTTTTATAAAGAAAAAAAAAATGAGAAATTCTAGGTTTAATTATTTTTACTATAATAACCAGTGTAAAAAAAAAATACAAACAATTAACTTCGGTTAAAAAGTTATGCACATTTTCTAACTAACTTTTTATAGTCAACATTAGTTACGACGATTAACTTTTAACAAACTAACTCGTTATCTATTTTTTCTGTTAACATAACTTTATCGAGTTATAATTGTATTCGTTAACTTGTCCGGTCTTATAGCAATAATTATAATGTGTCACCGGAATGTTAAATTTATTTGAAAATGTCTATTTTTAATCTACTAATCTAAAAATGAAAGTTCACACTGACATATTGCCGATATTGCGTGTGTTGGGTTTTATTTTAGATTTTGATCGCAGCACGAAATTGGTTTTACTAAGATGTATGCTTTTCATTTTATGTTTTTTTTTTTTATCTTTAAGCGACTCTTCTACCAGAAATCTTTGTCCAATAAAAAGATGACAGAAGACCTTTTTTGGTTAAATTTTTGATCTAATTGGTGCGTTGAGGAAGTCATTATATTGATTTTCTAAGGGGGGTTATTTTAACAATCGAAAAAACTCAGAGTAAAACGTTTAAAAAACGGAAAAGTTTACGACACTAATGAATTCTTTAGTTTTGATTTTGGTTTTTGTTCTAAATTCCTTAAAAATTACCGTAGAGAACTGGCATTTTCACAGAAAACTTTTATTAGCCTTTTCTAGACATGTTTTTGAAATTATTGTGGAGATTTTTGAGCTGTTTATAGGTGAATTTTTTTTACATAGTTTGTATTTTGTATGTATTCTGTGGATACAATGGTAATTCAAGGTTCAATATAAGTTCAACTTAGTAGTTAAAAGTAAGGTTGAGCTTAATAGTTTTTTTTATAGGTGTTTTAAGATCATATTTTGATGAAAATCATAAATAACGAATCGAGGACCTGCGAAATTCTCTGCACAGTGTCTCGATCACTCCCACTTCCCACATCCCACAGATGCCTCCCACTTCACCAAAAATATATTACACCCTTCTGAAAATGTGTGTATGTAGGCGTATGAGTGTGTGACGCTGTGCGTGTATAACTATTATGACTATTTTTGGTGTTATCAACAGTGACCTGTTGGTTATGGATATAATTATAATTATAATAGGTAATATTAAACGACAAATAAAAAGAAAAAAGATAGACCCCCTCCCACCGTAATACAAAATTTCCGAGTACGTCTCCGGCCTCAATCCTTATTCAAGCCGGAACATATCAGCTAGCGTTATAAGCTCTTATTTTTTTTTTAGATTCTGGGAAGAGCGAGAAATAGTATTGGTTTTACAATGACGTTTATTATCTTTTTATTTTTTTTGTGGACAACTTTTCTACCAGCAATTCAAGTATGGTACTTTTTCTGAAAGGAAATCTGACTAGGGTGATACTTTAGGGAAGTTATTGTTTGATTTTCTCAGGGGTTTTCATAATAAATGGGGAAAAATGGGAAAATTTACGAAATTTATTATTTTCAAATCGTAAATATTACGGCCTTTTAAAACATGTGTAATCCGACTCCGCTCGGAATTGATTTTCGTTGGCAAAGATCAATCTTTTCGTACAGATTTACATTGAATTGCCCTCTATTTCTTACCTTCCCAACTTCTCATCTACAACAGTGACCCACCCATCGTGCGAATTATGTCCGACTTTTTTTTACATATTTGTTCATGTTACTACGGCGGGACGAGAGCGTTATTATATTATGATGTACGCAATAAGTATCGCATTGTGACGACGTTTTCGACGCGTTTCCCGGAGAGACCCGTGAGTGAAATCACCGACGGCGCGTTGACACGCGGCGTGTTTTTTTTTTCCACGCCGCGCGACGGACCGCGGATAACGGTTTTACATTATAATACGCGCGGTATGCTCGTACGGTCGCACACACGACGAATAATAATATTCTCCCGAAGAGGGGGAGGGGGGTGCGAGGGGCGGGAAAATGCTTATTATTATCGTAATAATGTCGAACGATCGCGGCGCGGCGACCCGCGAAAACCCCGCCGAACGTACCGGTATTACCTGCCGAGGCGACACCCCCGGCTATTGTGCCGGAGAAATAAAATATTGTATTTGTGACGACCGCCCGCGGTACCTTTCCCGTATGCGCGCCGCGGCGGAATAGAATCGGTTAGGTCGTGACGGCGCGGCGGCGAAAATATTACGTGATCCGAAAACCGAAATTGCGAAATACGTCCCGAATAAACACGACGGTGAGGGGAGGGGAGAGGGCGGGGAGCAGAGTTATATAACCGAACCGATAAACGCGAGCCGCCCGTATAAATATTTATAAATTTAAATTTCCCGAAAATAATAATTACCTATTCGTCACGTTTTCCGAAATAAAATGACGTGCCTATTATTGTCCGGGCTCGCCTACGACTTTTTATCCGCACCGTAATATCCCCTCGCTTTAACGGTATATTGTCTAGAGACGTATACGAGCGTATTATACGAGGGCTAATCAAAAAGTATCGAGACTGATAATATTACTCGGAAACCGAGCGTTGAAGAGCAAAACGATTTGTAAACCTAGCTTCTATGACTTATACTGAGCACATCTATTCGTATAAAATTTCTATAAAATTCTTCGTTTTGATTTGACGATATTTTTCTGAAATTTGTTTTTTACGTTTGGCGATTTCGTAATGAATCCTAAAGAAGCGGAACTTGCTGCCACTCGAGGGCACATTTTCAGTTTTTCAATTGACATTTAATGGTAAAAACCAACGAAATGTTGCATCCCTCTGAAACTGGAAAAAAATGCAGACAAATTTTCTAAAATCTCCAAATCTGTCAAGTTACTCTTCTTTTGGGTTTATTAAAAAATCGCCAAACTCGAAAAATATATTTTACAAAAATATCAGTGAAATCAAAACGAAGAATTTTATAGAGAAGCAATAAAAACAAATGTACTCAGAAAAAGTCATAGAAGCAAGTGATACCAATCCTACTGCTCTTCGATGCTCCTTTTCCGAATGATACTACCAGTCTTGATACTTTTTGATTAGCCCTCGTATATATACATGGTAACTGGGGGTGCCGAACGTTACCCCGCCGTTTTTTATTGCGTTACCTTATGAGCGATTTGTCAAAAAAAAAAAAAAAAAAAAATCGTCTTGCTTTATTATTCCACAACACGGTCACGACGTTGTAAATAAATTATTACGCCGTCGGCTGTATTGAATTCGAACGTACACAGAGATCGCTCGACCGATTACAATATTTCTGTAATTATTCGATATATGAATTCCACCCGATGCTGACTTATCTTCGATAAGTTATTGACTATCCACCGGCCGGCTTAGATTCTTTTCGCATCCTTCCACCTTTGTTTCGAACTACTCGGTTTCATTACGTTCGATTTTGGTTTTTGTTGTTATTCGTTTGGAAATAACCGTGTATAGAGCTGAAATGTTAGGGGAGAGTGGCAGAACACTCAGGCCCGACGAGAGGGAGAGGCAGCCGGGACTGTAGTCCTAGGGCCAGGGCTTTAAAGATCAAAACAGCTAGATAATATATAGATAGATCCTATATTTTATCTAATTCTAATCATTTTTAGTTTAATTTCATACAATTTTACTATACAACTTCATCTTTTTATAACATTTTTAATATAGTTTTTCGTTTTAAAATCAAAAGTGAATAATGGTTTCACGCCCGAAAATATGTGTGAAAAAATTAAGGACGACATAAAATTTTAGACAATATTAGTCTAAAAATTATTTACATAAATTATTTTTTGAAAAATAAGTATTTTGTAGAAGATTTGACGGTGACGTGAAATTTTTAAAAACCCTGTACCGTGATACATAGATTTTAATAATTGTATGTCCGGGTACGATAAAATATATAATAACATTAAATCTTATATGACATAAGACTATAAAACAGTTGTACTATAAAAAAAAAAAAAATCAATGTTTTATAAAATGATTTCTATGCGTATATAGCCAGCTGAACTATAAACGAAATAGCAGAAACGCAGTCCCGTTGTTTTCTACACTATACAACATAATACTTGTTTTTTTCTTCTTATACCGATAGATGTACAAATTTCGAAAATCTTTTAAATAGTTATGTAATGAAGCTTTTCGTTGTATAAGTAGGTTTTTAAAATTAAAAAAAAAAAAGTTTCTTCATATATTGCAATACGGTATATTATGCATTTAATTTGTTGTATTCGGAAGGCATTAGGACATTTCATTTTTGCTGAAAATGCAAATTGTGAACAAATTTCACAAACAACGCCGAGTTTTTACTTTAAATTGATCGGCAATGCTATTGTTTTTTTTTTCTTTTTAAGTTATTTCATTTTAACAACGAATCAATATAACATCGCGTTTTTATAATTATTATTTGAATCCGTTTGCAAGTTTTAACTGTATAGTTGCAACTTGAAAAATTACAATTATACCGTTTGTCACATAATATACGTCCCTATAAATTATAATGCACGACATTACCTCTTAAAAATATCGATAAATATTGTCGTTGTTTTTGTAAAATATGCATAAAAAAGTTCAAGGACAAACATCACAGTAGTCGTTTGCTGCACACTATGCAATTTGGTTTATATAATAATATCGATTTATTTTATAATTAAATACCTCAAAAAACGATCGACTTTATACCGTCATTTAGGAGCTGACGGCCAACGCATATTAATACAATATTGTTATCTATGTCTTACAAACGCGCGGTATAGTGAATAATTCGCGTTCGGACAAACCAATTAGGCGTGCTGTCAGTTATGTTATTCAGTTGAACTTACGTATTGTCCAATACTCGAAGTTATACGATTATAATTATGCGCGTGTGTAATCTTTCGGTCCGGTTTCTTTCGATTATTTGAATTTCTAAATGGGATAGAAGAGCGTTTTTAAATTTTCAGGTATTTTAAGTTTCCATTTCATGTTGAAATTGCGATGTTTCGCACACTCTTCGTCCTTATCTCGCTTGAAAATCATAATATCGAGGGAAACATAGACGTATACAAACACGGACAATATTTTTCCATTTTTTGGCGAGTTAGTTTCTGGTAAAAAGTTTGCTATATTGTAGGCTACATTTTGTTGCCAAAGCGTTTTGTTTACGCTGCACAGAATTTTACCAATGAAGAACCAGTAAGGCATTGGCAGAAAATGTTTGACTGAATTAAGAACCAACGATAGCGTACTTAATAAAATAGATGAACTCAAAGAATAATTATGATTAATAAAAGAAAGAAGATGGAGATTATTGCGACGCACTATAAGACACAATAATTATAATATGTGCGAGTGTAAATTCCCAATCGAAATTACAAAAATAGTCAAAATTATTGAAAGTAACCATAATATTGGTCAATATTTCTTTTGGTGGAAACGAGTGTTGGCGAAAAAGGAAGAGGTTAATTTTGGTAGATATTCACGGAAATAGGGTCGGGAGATTCGTTTGGCGAAAACGGGAATATAGGAAAAAGGGAAAGGTTTTTTTTTTTTGGTAGAAACTGGTCCCGCTAATTTTGCACATACTCTCGGCGTAATAAACCGATGAATTTGAGCATACGAGTTTTATATACGTACATTGAAAACGGATTTTGACGTCATAAGGGGATTGGTGACGGTGTATATTTTGATCGGTTTAAATCTAAATGCCAAACGAAATTGTACAAATTGTAGGAATTATGTTTGACGGATTTAAATTTAAAAAAAACGGATTATAATTCTTTAGGTTCATTATTAGGATATGTTGGAAATAGAAATTTAATTTGTTAATTGAAAAATGTTCAAAAATATATTTAAAGTACATCCCTTTTAGTTATGATAAACAAATTTAAATTTAAAAATAATAATTCCAACGTATCATAGTTTGGAACCTAATGATTAGTAATACGTTTACAAAATCGAATTCCGTCAAATGTGATTTCTATACAGTTTGGTCTGGCTTTTTGATCATATTCGCCGGTTATAACGTCCATATCTCTTCTCATTAATATGATACCATGCAGTGGATTCGTGGAAAAGATTTTATTATTAAGGTAGTTGTCGAAGTATGAAAACTTTTTTTTTTTAATTTAACAAAATCTGAGACAATTTGGATAATTCTGTCGAAAAATACTAAAATTCCTTTAAAACAATGCATATCATAAAATGTATCGTGTGTCAATATATTTAATTAATTTATATATGTATACTTGGAGATTATAAAATGTCAAATATTTCAAATTTTAAGCGCCAAATACAATATATTATTATGATTTAAAATCGTCTTTTGATAATAATATGTAACGCCGTATAACGACTAGAAACTTTATGACAGTACGGATTATAAGACGGTATCGTGTGCACGGCGTATTTCGTATATTATATTATTTTCTTTAGTTTTATTAAATCGTACCGGCACAAAAAAATAATACTTAAAGACAATAATAACATCTTGAAAAATCGCATTCATTCGAGAAAAACTAAAAATACTATTCGGTAAAGTATTAATAGGTACTAAAACCGAACTCGTCCGATTTTCTTTTATTTGTATATTTTATTGAATGCGCTTGTTGTTAAAACATTATTATTGTAAAAATAAAAAACAAACGTTCCGTAAAATACAGGGTGTCTTCCTTATGCTAATGACTGTCAATAGTCATTATTTTTTTTTAATCGGGTTCCATGGGTGACGCATGTGTAGAGAAAGATGTAATTTTTATTTTTATTTATTTTTAAAAAAAATAACTTTATTCTATCACTTTTTAAATATATTCTAAGTATCACAATTTTAATTATATCATACATTCATATTTTATTATTAGTTTTTTAATTATAGTGGATTTAATATATAGAAAATAGGTTGAATACAATCAATTTTTTCAATAATTAAGTATTAAGGGATGAAAATAAAAATTAAATTTTTCTTTACATATTTGTCTCCCCTCGGCAATTATTAGCATAAAGATATAAAGAGAACACTGTAGGATACCTGTATATTATACAATGGTTTCCACATTTTTAGTGGAATCGTCTGAAATTATTTTTTGCTCGTGCATTTTTTAAATTTTGTTTATATTATCGATACCTACTCTGCACAGAGTAATAAACACAGCAACAAGTATAATTTCCGGATATTATAATATTTATGTATAATTCGTTTTTATTAATCATCATAAAATATTAATTAATATTTAAAAAACTATCTCGTGTTAAAATTTAAAACTGCATTAATATTATAGTGCAAAATATTGCTGAATAAATTGAATGACCTCAAAAAAAAAAAAAAAATAATAATAATAATAAAATAAAAAAAAAAAATCAATGAATGTCGATGCGTTACTTTGTACATTAATTATAATAATTACAAGATGTGCACATCGTAAAGAAAAAATTATCCAAGTTTATACATTAAAAAGTTACACATTGTTTTGATAGAGACTTCAAATTCCCATTATACTTTTTTATTCAACGCAATATTCGGTAATTTTTATAGATTTTATAGGTTACAGGAATGCACATAATTCTAACGTTTTGTCTTTTTGTGAGTTCGTGTTTTCATTAGCTTGTTGCTAGCCACGTAAAATATATATAATCGGTCGTTTTTGTTTAAAAAACGATATAAAATGACTGTGAAAATCAGTTTTTAACTACAAAATCCAGAAATGATATGACGTGTGACGGAAAACACAAAGAAATAATTGGACCCGTAATGAACAATTTAGATCATGTCCCATGGATGGTAAACAAATTAACGGATAGTAAACAAAAATACCTCATTTTAGGATTTATCGCATTGTTGTGCTCTCGTGATGTGCAGCGACGATAATGGAGACTTGTACGAGCGGAAAGAAAATGTGCTTTGAAATCTGATTAAATAACCATATATAATTAGTATAATAAAATCGTTTTCGAACAATTTCATCTTACTGATAGGTTTAATTCGTTCTACACAAAAATGAAAAACAAACCATTATATAAAATTGTACATCATTATTATTAAAATATAAAAAACCTTTCGAATCACTAAATAAATTTTTTAATATTTTACATGATGCGACCGTTCGAGTCAGGAAAATAGTGCTAAAAATTAGGCAAGCGAACCAGGAATCGAATTCGAGTATCTCGCTTATCGAGCGGGTGCTTTACCACTTGTACCTGACTTCTAACATTACTTCCACTGGACTTATACCACGTCTAGAAAGGGGAAATTTTCTGTCATAGTTTCAAGTCTTTATGAATATTTTCAACTGAATCACAACAAAAATTGAAAATAATAAAATCATTATTTTCGTACATTTCCTCATTCTTTCAACGTTTTTCAGGTTTGCCCAATTTTAAGAAAAAACGACAGAGACAATTAAAAAACGACTTTCTTACTTACCAACTAGGTTAAACATGCAACAAAAAAAAAATCGTATGCCGTACATTTTTTTTTTCAGTTTTCCCGGTTAATATAAAAACTTCTAGGGAAATCAAAAAATTACCATTTCAATGCTTTAGTTAGATAAAATTTCCTTTTAAAAAGATGCTACTTTTGAAACGTCGGAACAAGATTTCTGATAGAGAAGTTACTTACATTGGACACAAAAAAAAAATAAAAATACAAAAACACACATTTTAGTAAACCCGGCTACGCTTCGAATCTAAAAATAATACATACCATAAACACATGCAACTAAATAAAATCGAACGTATCAATCATTAAGGCATTGCAGTATTTTATAGCCGACGTTTATTGTTAAACACGCGATATTGCGCAACAATTCGCAATGCATGAAGTCCGGATTTATATAATTTGTAATATAAGTAACAAGTGAAATTGACGACTCATACTGACGCACAATTTGTTCGTTTATTCCGCGACCAAAATCCAATGTTAGAATAAATAGGATATAATATTTTAGGTACATACTTACATATTATACGTTTTTCTTCGATTATAATATTTTATCAGTGTTATAAAAATGTTTTTACGAATACCTACTTAACATCAAAACAATGATTAGCAAAACGCAATTATCAGCAAGAACTAGCAGTAATAGTAATTCAGTGGTAGGTTTGTTGCGTTGGGAGTGTAAGGTGAGTATTGATTTTGACGTTATTTCGACCAATTTCTTAATAAATTGCTCTTGTAAAACTTTTTATTGGCTCGTTCGTAAGCTAAAGTTTAACATCAATAAAATATAGGTATGTCGTAGGAAAACCATGCATTAAAACTCGGGGTATAGTAATATTATTATTAAACATTTCGTTTAGAAAATTTCCCCGCCGATATAAAAAAATACCAGGTGGGTATGTTATTATACTTATCATAAAAATATAACACGAACGTTTTTTTTTTTCTGAATAAAATATGTATGTCTAGAATAATATATTTAAAACACATTTTATATACAAAATTATACAAAACTTTCTACCCGTACCGTTCCTATATTATACGTATTAATAATATGTAAACGACAGTTTTTAAAAACGAATTTTATTCGCTTGGAATACTACAATTCGCAGAGTAATATAATATATACATATATACATTTTTTTTATCGCGATTCGTGCAACGATAACATAAAAACCATAATAAAATAATTAAACAAAGTCGATACGATTTTATTTTATTTTTTCACTATAATTAATTATTTCGAATCGTTAATTGTCACCACATATTTATAAATTCTACAGTGGCGGTTATAATAATTGGAATTTAAGAGAATAGTGGGGGTTGAAGTAGTTTAATTTTAAAAATTACTACCCCCAAAAAACTAAATAAACGTACAAAAAGCCATATTATTTATGAGAGAATAAAAATAAAATAAATTGATTACCTGTAATGAAATACTTAATCCCTATTTCGTACTATACTTAATAAATAAATAATAATCTCTTGCTGTCCGGTATCACAAAATTATATTACAAACCTGAAGACAAAAATATATTCAAGTCTTTATTTTTGATTTTTCCTTATTTTACATAAGTAAAAAATAAATAAAAAATTGTAAAAAGCTACGGATAAAGGGCCCCACCCATCCTTGGGCATATTAACCTGAACTTGACGGGTAATATATAGTTGGAAATACAATTTATCGTATCAAATTTTTGTATAAAAGTTTATTCGAAAAAAAAAATAGTATGACGTATAGAGTCATTTCATTTATATCTGAATACAATGATTAACACAAAACCCGACCGAACAAAAATGTAAAAAAATGAATATTGACAGTTTTTAGCATTCAAATAAAACTGTAGGACACCGTGTGTATTCAAAAAAAGAACTAATATTTCTAATGGGTGAACTACTTTTGTAGGCTGAAAGTTAGGTAGGTAGAATACATACAGTTATTTATTTCACATCTGTACACACTATATATTAAGAAGGAGTAGTGATAGAAGGGTAAAGATCCCCAGGAAGACTTCTTTATTCGTTTATGAGGTATACAAAACTCGGATGCAATATAAAATAGAGCTAAAACAAAATGGTGAATGACTTTTTAGTATAGAGAGAGACGCTGTAAACAAACTAATGGGATAAAAGAAAAAAAATATGTATAGTTGTATAATATACAATTATTTTATTAATATATAATATATACATTGTATATAGTATATAATATATTTTACTGAATTTGTATACAAATTGTTACACGGTGTTTTCTTTTATTTAACAAAAATAAAGATATCCCCGTAAAAAAATCCGACAGTCTAGCTGTTCGAACGTTACGAGGTTTCCTTAGAGTTTTTTTCGTTGGTTATAATAATATATCGTTTTTACCTTCGCTACTTTTATCCTCTATGCTAGACGTGAAACTGTATGATAACCTCTCCACGTAAGGAAAAACCGAATAAATTATTCATATTGTATAATATTAAAATATAAATGTTCATCAATATATTTGGTGGCGAACTGGTCGTAGAAATTTCCCAGTGAACCTAATGTGGCCACTTGAAAAAACAAATTACCATAGTGTAGATGTCTGTATGTAGTAAAAGTACTTATAAAGTTTTTTTTTTTTTTGATTATGATCTACAAGAAGAAGAAAAGTGTATGCATCGATAATGTATTTTTATATGAAATACTAATCACAAAAAAGGAATCAAATTCTATAGAAGGCACACAAAACTGGAACATACCCTGAATTTGTTCTCTTTTTGCACTAAGAACTAACTTTAGCGGCTGATATTTTCATAAAGGTTCGATGCGAACTAGCCCTATTATTACACAAAACATGTATTCAAGGTAACTAAATTTAGTTAAAAAGTGGACATGTTCCCTACCCGCAATTAATGATTTATGTGCATTATTTAAATTAACGAAACAACCTGTGAATACAAAATTTATTTAAACAAAATATATAGGTAATGCACATCATATTTTATCAAACATTAACCGAGATAAAAGTTATAAACAAGTTTAAATTAGAAGGTTTTACGAGAAAAGGCTTAAGTTAATATCCAAGAAAACAAAAATTTGATAACTGTTTGGTTTTTATTTTATTTTAGGATTGTGCTTTTATATATTATTATTATTTATTAACGCCTAGGCAGGCAATTTGTACACATTTGTATTAGCCGTTTTAATTTACTTGAGACATTTGGCATTTAATTTTTATAAGATTTACGCTTTTCCTCATTCCGACTTAACTTCTTTTATGTATTATGTGACCTAAGTTATTAGATACCATCAAATCCGGTTTAACCTTTTTTCTCCGACGACGTGACTCACAGCGGTCTGAAATAAATATTTAGCTTACAAGAATAAATAAAATTGTGTCCAAAATATAGAACTTTTTCAAAAAATTAAATGCTAAAAACAATAATTCCCAACGCATTTCCGGTTTTTTTTTTTTGTAGGTACATGACTCAGCAATCAAAATTGTACATACAAATAAATGCATATATAATATATTATATTGTATGTTATGAATAAATTTGTGTGCACACGCGACTGAAATAGCCAATATTATTCACGAACGAATATTACGACACCGCCACGGTCTTAATTTTGTTTATTTAAAATGCCACACAGACGGTACCTATAAAATAATAAAATATTTAAATATTATGAGGTTATATTAGGTACAGTTTTTATGTGAAATATGTTGGCCTGTGTAAATGAGTATGAGGAACAGGACTGAGAGAGTAGCTTTTTTTTTTTACTTAAATATTTAGCAATATGTATGCTATTTTCTACTTAGATGACCCGCGTTTTAAACATTTTAAACATCTTAATTCCATATTGTCTCGTATCTTTTCAAAATATCGCGGTAGATGGCGATTCGAACGGTGCAATTATTTATTTAAACTTTTAAAATTACAGACCAAACTCGATATTGTATATAATAATATATACCTATAGACAGTTAATATCAACATGTATCTAAGAATATACAAAGATAAACGTATCTAAACAATTTCGAGACATTTGTTCGTGTGCGTATAACATTTTTCCTATGGACGGCCATATAAAGATTTATTACCACTTTGCTGAGATGAAATGGATTTTTAGAAAAAGATTACTTATTTATACGACTGACTTTTTGTTTCTGATTTTCCTCTCTTGTCGTGTACGCGACCTCTCTTGAGATCAGATTCCTAAATTAGAATTCAGATCTTTGAAGTTTCATCCAAAAGAATAAATTGAAGTTAGAGTTGATTTTTACTATGTTTATATTAACTTGCTCTCGAAAAGGCGAAGTAGTTTTTAAAACTTGTGATCGATTTTCGACCCATTTCCCACGGTTCGATCAACTTGAAATTTTCCATACGCCAATATTTTCGATGAAAATACAAAAATCAGATTTTTCGTATTTAATTTAATATCATATTTTTATGTTAAATATTTCAAGTTTTTATTACACATTATGGCAAAAATAATAAAACAAACATTTAAATAATATTTTCATTTTTTTATTGCCTTAAAATCCACTTTGTAGGTATCATCTTATCATCTGTACTCTTATTCGTTTTCGATGTGATCATGGAATATGGTATGTAAATCATCACTTCCCATTATTATTTACTTTTTATTTCGTTTAATAAACATAGTTCACAAAATCAATTTTTTTTATTAGCGAACCAATGGAAGTTATTGTCTATAGGTTTTTGCTCTAATTCAGTTTTGATAAATGAAAATATGTGTCCGACGCGATAACATTTCCTCGTAAAATTATTACTTGCCCCCGGTACGTGAAGTATTATACCTAAACTTAAATGTTCGAGCCGTTTGTATGAATAATTCACCATTCGGTTTAAAAAGTAATAATACGATTTTACTTCTGGGATTTGTAATATGTATACGATGGGAGGGGAGAAGAATACTTCGGACGCGAGTGTAGGTACTTACACATTAATATTTAAAAAACAGGAACTAATACTGGGGATGGAAGTGACCGCTGTTGTAGGTGAAAATTTGGGATTTTAGGATACATTAGGTTAATTTATTTATATCTGTAAGCAATAATAAACCTTTGCTGACGAAAGATTCCGAGTTCATTTCGGTAATACATAATTTTTGCAATTTTTGTTTAAATTTGATTTCAAAACGCTCATTAAAAAAAAAGAAGTCATCCGATGATTTTTGAAATTTTACCACGTCTAGGTAAATTTAATATAAGTATTTTTACTAAGTTTCAAGTCTTTACGTGTATTTACAACCGAATTATAGCAAAAAACTCTCAAAAATTAAAATTCCTTAAAAACTCAAAAGTGGCTCAAAAGTTTTGGCCATGGCCATTTTCACGTATGAAAGTAAATCACAAAGGTGACAAAAAAGTTATCTTGTGATTTTTTGATTAAATCATTTTTCTGGTAGAAAACACATCGTCCGTGTTTTTATAAAATAATGAAATCATGAAATTTTAAGTTTTCCTATGTTTTTTCCCACTTAAGTACTTTTATTTAAAAAAAGGCGTCGAAAATTTAAAAATGACCTCTCTAAAGTATTATATCAAGACAACTTAAGCTTTCAGAAAAGTTGCTACATGTAAAAATCAAAGTAAGTTTACTAGAAAAAAACGTGTCCACAGACTAGAACAAAGAAGAAAAAAATAAACAATATTTTAAAACCAATAGCTCCCTCGCTATGCTCAGAATCTAAAAATAGTGTATATGTGGTGTAGAATGTCTATATATTATTTAAAGTAAATTATTACTATATATAGCTGGGCTGGAAAAAGATTTCGCTAAATAAACCTAGTACGCGGTCTATAAAAAAAAAGTAAAGTGTCAAAACAATACCAACGAGAATATATACCCAGTACCCACCTTTCTGACCAACTTTCTTCTTCCCAAAAAAAATGTCTACCATATAATTTAAAAGCGAATTCGTTGTAGTAAAATATCGTCGTAGCATATTATAATATTATATCTGCTGCAGCAGCTAAACAAACATTAGAACACTTTTTTTTTTGTAAAACTTTTACTTTGCGTATTATAATATAGGTAGCTTGATAAAAAAAAAAAATAAAAAAAAAATCTTTACAGAAGTTGCACTTTTTATATTTTTCCCCCCCCGATATTTACAATGCGGATGAATAAAACCTAAGTAGATATACAAAAAAACTGTTGAATAATATCCGAGCAACTTTTTTCTCTACGAATAATTGTATTTAACGATATTACAATTTGTGCTGATTTAGATTTGCACAGCTACGAGTTATAATAATATGCGTTCACATACTAATTTAAAGAAATTCCACAAGATTACCGACATCTTATCGCAAATAATTCTTTGGTCCCGGAGAAGAAAGATTTAAGTTAAGATTTTTTTTTTTTTTTTTTTTTAATAATAGTTTTTCCTTTATTTTTGTTCTAAATAGCATAAGTAAATATATATTCTATCACATGTTTTACTAAAAATATCTGTCACTGTGATGTACATTTTGTTTAGCACTGAATAATGACCTAAAATTTAAAACGCCATTTAATTTAGGACATTTAGCTATTGTTTCGTAATTATGCTAAACATTTTCAAAATTTAATTTGCCTACATTGAAAACTATATATATATATATATATATATATAATTGGCTTTAGCCAATATTCCCTGAAACCAAAGAATTATTAATTCATAAATCGATTACATGATAAAATGATAAAAACATAAAATAGGTAAAGCAGCCAAAAAAGGGTTTCTTTTAAAGAAAGGACCAAAAAGATGACAAATTTAGATACTAAAGAGAGTTTTTAATTAATTCCTTGGTATGAAACATGAAATCAATATGAAACATCATCATAGGATTTCAAAATAAAAGTACAAATACGCTTTACATAATTCGACACTGCCTTCTACTTTTTGCGGTTTTATACTTTCCTTGGCCAATTCACTACACCTAATTTCCGTAGTTCTTGTTTTACGCTATACATTCATTTATCTATCGCTTTGTTGAACGTCCTATAGGTCTCTTCTCATGGTTAGTCTCCACTTAATAGTCATCTTAAGTTCATTTTTTTCCGGTCGTCTCGTCATACGGTTTAAACCGTTAAAAATTATTGAAATTATTTGATGCATGCTGTGGTCAATAATATATAAAAATGCCAGTTGTATTATAAAGGGTATTTAAAAAAATTATTTTTAAGAATTTCTTGAAAGTAAAATTACTGAAATTGAACAACATCAGTAGGTACATAACAAACTCGTCTGGCAGTATTATGAACTCGTGATATTCACGTAAATTATTAGTTATTTATTATTGCTCCTTGAATAAACGGAATAATATTATGTTTTATTACGAAAAACAAAAAAAAAAAACCGTACAGTACGGTTTTTTTTATTTATGTATTTCTTTTTCATGCCGTTCACTTTGATTAGGTGTACGCGCAACCGGAAAAGAAAAGGTCAATCGTAAATTCGCAAATATTATTTGCGGTACCTATACCATATAATGAAATTTAAAACGGTGTGTTCGTAGCAGATGTAATTCGTCCCGGGTTCTAAATATTATCTGCGTGTAGTTTTATGTTTTATATATTTAACCTGTATTTCTATTTTATCATTATTATTATAAATATGCATAGTGTGAATATTTATCACGAACCGTCTGAAAACTGTAACGGTTTTAAAAGAATTGGGAATTTGCCGTTCTCTACGCGAGTACGCTCTATTTGCGAAATTCGTTTTAAAAACACGCTATTATTAAATATTAATTTTTCATTTCAAACAAGAAAGGTTTTATTTTGCACACCGAACGCTCTTTTTCGAGGAAATACTCGATGTTTTTCAAAATGCCCATATAGAAAATGTACTTATACGAGTACGTAAGTAAACAATTATATTGAACTCGAACAGCACTTAGGAGAGGTTGTTTTTGAAATATATTCCCGTTTGATACATTAATAATAAAATTAAAATAATGTGAAAAACTCATAACATCACGTTAAAAGAAACGTAGACAAGTAATATTATCCATTCCTTTTTTTAATACTTTAAATGCTAAAAGAGTGTGTTTATTTGTTTGTTTGTCCTTTTTTTTACCTCACAATAAAGCGACCAAATGACGTAATGTTTAACATAGAGATAGTTTGAGGACTGTAAAATATAAGTCAAAACGTCTGAGTTTCGCGGAAAACCTATCCCGTCTTTAAATTAAATAAATATGTATCTTCTAGGTGTTTTAACTTAGGATGACCTTTTACTGCATCAGCAGATAGAGCTTGATGAGGACTGATATCAACATCTATCCTAATAATATTAAGTAATTTTGAAAATGTGACTCTTTAAGGGGTGTCAATGTAAGTATGAAAAAATAACTTAATATTATGATAAAACTATATAATCACAGACTTACACTAGTAAATAACGAAAAATTTTGTTTTTTATATATGGATGTAAAACTGAATAATAGTTACATAAGACTTTAGGGGAATGTACATTCATATTTTATCTCAATTGTACTTATTTATCTTTCATATATGTCGTTGAGAAGGCGTTATAAAAGTTTACGTGGATGAATATTATGTAAGCAAGTTTAAGTTTTAATATTCAAAGCTACACTTAGAATAATATATTCATATAACATTTGGTACGATTCCAAACGGATGTAACCCGTTAAAAATATATTTTAACATTTACAAAAAAAAATCTTTACGAAATTTAAAAACCCGAGGTTATGAAAAGTACCTACCTACCTATTAATTAATATTATTATCATCATAAAAATAGTCATAAATTATTATACTAAAAAATATGCTTAGCCAGAGATAAATATGGTAATTTATTTATACAATATATATATAAATTGTCTAAATAACAATGTGGTAATTTTTTTATAATACTTTACATAATTTCATAATTTTGTCTGGGTAGAGATACTTTACGGCATATGATAAATTATTGTTTTTTTTTTTTTGTATCAAGGCGGTTAAGTATAGAGAAATAATGTGGCGGTCACAGATAATAATAATAAAAAAAATAACCCGAAACTTACGCGATAAATGCGGTATAATATAATGACTCGTATGGTGGTTTTTCACTTATAAAAAAAACCGTATTTTTAATTATTTCTTTGGTATTGTACGTTCATACTACGGATATATTACTACATACGGATACATACTATCTATATTATATTATTTTAATGATAAAAATTATTTACTTAGTAATTTTGGTCTTCGATATTTTTTTTATATATATAATTATGGTATTTTAATTAGACATATAGCAAATTTGTGATAGAAAGCAAAAATCAAAATATTTTAAAATAATAAAATCGTAAACGCCTTAAATATTTATTTGTTTTTCTAACCTGTTGTTTTTCGGGTTTTCCTAATTATGATGAAAACTGCTTGAAAAATCAAAAAAATTATGCAACATAAAAGTCTCTTTGTCATTTATTGATTAAAGCAAAATTTCTGGTAAAAATGTGGTTTACAGACACTCAAAAAGAATTGAAAAAAGAAAGTAAACATCATAATAAAACCAATTAATATTCCTCGCTACATTCAGAATATAAAAAATTAATATTCTTGCACACAATTAAAACATTCACCGGTTTTCGCTGGACCGTGGCATTTTCCCTCAGCTTGGAAAAAGTGTATAATAAAATTCCGAAAAAATAATAAGAACATAATCGATATTAATACTCGAAATGAAAATTATAATTACTATTGTATATTCTTCGTGTACATTTAAAAATAATACACTTTTTTCATACTTTGTACCGAATCTCTTCAACGTGGCTGAAACTTCAGAATTTTTGTGTTTTAAACCACAGTCACTTCTAATAATTTTACAAAATTATCTGTTTAAGGGTTACCTATTCTCAATAAACATTTGTTTTTTTTTTTTTTTTTGCATCAGATTTGTATTTTAAAAAATAGATACAGGTTATTATTCGTATTTGAAATAATCAGCTTTAAAAATAATCCAATTCAAATATCCAATTATTGTTGTCAAATCGAAAATTATACTACATGCAGTATTTATTTAGTTATGATCGTTCAGATTACTTTTTAGAGAATTTAATTGTGTTTTGTTCAATAACAATAATGCCGAATAGTAAGGGGATGTTGAAAAAACGATCACACTATCTAATAATAACAGTACCTACAATGAATTTTTATCGAAACACAATGCTTTATTTTTTCTGTAACAGTTTAATAAAATCGTGTTGTTTTATTTTAAACTGTATTACAGGATACCTTCCCTTTTTGTGATAAATTTTCTCCATCAACATTTGATTTCTAAAGTTCTACGATTTCGGAAAATGAAAGATAATGATAACGGTGTATTTAGTGGAATTTGAATCCCTATTCTAGAACATTTAATTTTTTTTTGTTCTTGAAAGAAAAATTTTTCAACCATTTACGAATATCATTCCGTAAGTAAATAGATGGGTACACGTTGCGTATTAGCCAATGACTTGTTTTTTGTGAATAGGGGGATGCATTAACATAATGTAGACAAGTAAATTCACCTAAATCATACCATGTCCAACAATTTTATTATTAGAAGTTGTGCGTCTACAAACGAGGATCGGGTGGATCTTCCAATCCCCACATCCCCATAAATACACCATTGAAAATACAGATATTCTCATACTATGTTTAACAATTTTATAATTAGAAGTTGTGCGCCTATAAAAGAGGATTGGGTGGTTCTTCCAATCCCCTCATCACCGTAAATACACCATTGAAAATACAGATATTCTCACAAAGATATCTAAGATACCCATTGCAATATCTTCTGAAATAATAAAGATAATCAAATCCTGTTTTTTTTTATATATATATATATATTACTGGCAGGGATAAGGATTACAAATACATAAATTTGAATTAGAAATTATCTTTTTATTTTATTATTTTTGAAGAATTTGAAGATAACCATCTATTAGAATTTGTTCACCTAAAAATTTGGACGTTTTATATTTTTATTTTCATTTAATTCGAGATTTTTAATAATTATTTAAAGTTCATAGAAAAGTACCTATAATAATACAGCAGGCTGTAATTGCATTCATTAATTGATTATTATTATGGCTAAAATTTAAAAAAAAATTTAATAAAAGTTGGTATGTCAACATTTCTAGAAGAACAAATTCAATAAAATGTCTATTTTCAAATTTTTCAAAAATAATAAAATAAAGTTATTCTTTATGTTTTTATTTAAACATAAAAAATTAATTAAATAAATAAATGTAAATCAAATAAATCATATTATTTCAATCTTTATATAATCGACGAACAGATAAATATGTCTAATAGGCAAGTATCTCGTTACAATAACACTGATGATATGCCAGAAAAACGTTTTTTGATTTGTGTAAAATATCAAATGCTAGACAGTCACTATAATATAAATAAATATAATGCAAAGTACAAAAATTTAAAGTTGAATATTATGTATTACTTTTTTGATAATTTTTATTCAGTTAGAAAAAGCCCACTACTTCAATCAAAAAAAAAAATATTCTGACATTTGAGCATGGAAAAGATAGACAGGTAAAGGTTGAAAGTTAAAACTACTAACGCCATGGTGCATATATAAAATTTATTTCCGCTAATTTCATTTGGTAGTCTGTAGTGATGTTGGAAGCTAAAAATAAAATTCTCCACCTGCACGGTAGAATTTATATTGATATTCAACCCGACTTTTATTACTTTAATTCGTTTATAAAATAAACCTTAATTCTTATAAGTTTGTGCTCATTTGGTCCAGAGGGAGCCGTTAAAAGTGTAAAAAAGTAGTGGAAAAAAGATACAAATAAAATACTGGATATTTTAGACTGCAAAAGTCGCTATTTTCGGGGAAAATTCTACAAAAAAAAAAAAAAAAAACATTATAAAACACAGCTTGGCTATTTCTTTTAATAAATAATTTTGACAATTTCAACTTTTTATTTACGTGTATATCACATAAAAACCCGTGTTAAGCCTGTAAAGTATAAATATTAGAGTTTACAATACATTTGTAATGATAGTTGGGTTGTTAAGAGTGATTTTTAAAAATAAACTTTTAACTTATCTTAAATCTTAAGTCATTACTATCGTGAAAATTTGAACTTACTAACTTGGTTACCAACAAATGATAGTCATTTTTTAGAATAACACTACTTAAACAAGTTTGAAAAATTGGTTAACTAGCCCAGCTTTGAATATATCGTGTGAAAGTTTACTTTTGCAGTGCGAATTCTATAATATGATGCGTGAGCAATTGTAATCCCGCGGAGTGATTACTTATAAAAATATAGGTACTTTTTTATTATTATTATTATTGTCATTACGTTCGTGCGTTTCGCGAGTTTTAATTCAAACAAACTTCAGCAAAAAAAGTAAATATAACTGTTTATTATTTTTTAGTTCAGAATTTACAAAAAAAATGTAAACAATCTATTATGCAGTTTCTTATTCAAAAAAATACTATTACAACAGCGTGACGATAAAAATTACCACCAGGTTTGATTTATTTAACGCTGTAAATAGAACGATTTAAAAATTTATTTTAATTTAAAAAAAAATACTGTGAAGTGCAAGGATACTATATGTATAAAAAAAATAACACTATACTCGTGAATCAACTGGCTAAATTTTTAATACTTCGCTCGAAATAATAAATACAAATAGTTTTTTTTCTCTCGGAAAACATTTTGTTCAGTTAATAAAAAGAAACAGATTTTTTATACTGTAATTTACAAGATTCGGAATTTTTTATATTTCGAACAATTTTTTTACAAAATTAAAAAAAACTAATGGCGAATTTAATGATGTTACACCGGTTTTACTTTGGTGGAACTCTTACAGTTATAATATATTATTATGTGCTCAAGATCTAAAACGTGACTAATACTATAACCTTATCAGTCAACCGAGTTCCACTAACAATCAGTTTTTGATTGCAATTAATTAGGTTTGTTTGGAGTACGTATGAAAGCTAATATCAAATCATTCCAGTCCGTATGATTTATACCAACGTTCCTAACTTTCGACATAAAACAGTGACCTACTAATAATGCAAAGAATGTCAGGTTTTTAAAATTTTTTTTTATAACTGGGTAATCTAATTTATAATAATATTCATATTTTCGAATAAAACCGAAACTCAAATAGCATAATGATCATATATTTTCGTTAATAATTCTTTATTAGTAAACTTTATTATTTTTAATTTCGTACGAAACGAGGGACCTATAATTTTTAAAATAACGGTGTTTTTTTTAAAACATTTATTACTAGTAAACGTGTTTTACAAAAACCCTTGTTTACGCCGTCGGGAAGCTGGTATTTCTATAGTTCTATGACATGAACCACCGACAACAAAATAAGGATAACAATAAGCGTATCCAAGGGGTAAGAAGGATTAATAAATTGATTAGTCCCCTTTGGGTATATTTGTTTATAATCAATAATTTTATGTTCGAACTCTGTTCCGAATCGTTTATCGATATACTATAATATACATTTTTTTTATCATCTTCAATAAATCAGACATTATTCTTTTATACCCAAAAACGAGTTTCGTATCTTTCGAACAGGAATATAAATTGATTTGTAATAGTATTTTATTGACCGATTTGTATATGTATAAAAAAAAATAAAACCTTTTCAAATCGGTAGGTACCCATTGTATAATTATTATCATGTCAAGCGTTTTGCGGTCATTTTTGATTAGTTTTCCGTTTTCGCCACATGATAATGAAATTATAGTTTTCGCGGCACTACTCGATTTTCACCGATAAACAAACAATAATTTGTTTTTATAATTTGCCTAAAATCCGTTTGCTCGTAACATTAGTAGGCGATGAACGAAAATAGATTCGTGCGATATGTTCGTAAATATTATAGGTATACAGGGTGGCATTAAGTGGCTACCTTCACTAGATATTTCGAAAAGTGTTAACTTTTTTCAAACATTTTTTTTTACAGTTTAAGAAACAAGCAGCTCCAAAATTTTACATAAATATCGTTTTTGTCACTCTTATTTTTAAGGTTCAAACGACTACTTATTTTTGATACTCAAATGGTAATACATATTAAACTTAAAAGTGGAATATCTCATTAATTGTCCGATGGAAATCAAAAACATAATTAATACTTCATCTATTAATAGAATTATTATTATAGAAGTTGCTATTTGAAAACCAAAATTTGTTCACTAGTTCCCACCAAAAATAAGGGTGAGGAACATATAACATATTATAGCTGCTTGTTTCTTAAATTATTATTTAAAAAAAAATTATGTTTGAAAAAAGTCAAAACATTTCGAAATTTCGAGTGTAATAATTTAATAAATGGATCACCTGTGTGTAGATATATAGATATATGTAATAAAAGTTTTGACTTGTAACGGTTTATTCGATTTAAAGGAACTTACGAAAAATTCGAGAGCCGTTCTGATGGGTTTAAGCCGCCGGATTTGCTTTGCACAATCGTTTTTTTAACACGTAATATTTTACGAAAAACGCGTATAATTTTAATGGCCTTGTAAAAATTGAAATCACTTTACTTTTTTTATATATTGTTTGTATACATGTGTTAATATATTAAAAACTGTCGAAATTCCTCTGATATTATACCTAAAAAATTTAATTATAAATTGATAATTATTTAGCAATAATTATCTGACCAATCAATTCAATTTCAGTATCCTGTACTTTGTTTTATTATTTATAAGTCTCGACTAGTCAAAACATCGACAACTCGAGATATCGAAGTTTATACAATTAAACGGCATTGTTATTGTTCTAAATTCAATATATAAATATATATCAACATTTTTTTTAAAAAAAAATTAAATACAGTAAAACGTTGTACTTTTTTTTCTATTTCGAACCTCACTTCGAAAACAGAACTTGGAAATAACGAATATGAATGCACTATTTCATTTATCAAATCGTTGGTATACTGAATCGCTCTATCTGACGGTCTATTCGAAAGGAAAATACACGAACATTTCTAAAGGCACGTCAGATATATCAGTTCGACAAAAAAGAAAAAAAAACATAAAATTGTAATTTTATTCGCACGTGTACGCATACAAAATGCGAAAACCGTGTGCAAAACGTACTCGACAGAGATCAAAAGGATACAAACGCGCGTACCAACATTATATTATCATTTTGAACGTACACAATATATTTGTGCGAATAATCTACCGTCGTCGTCGAGGACCTCTAGCGTAAAATTCTTTCCCGGTTTGATATATTATTTATCGAGTAAATGAGAAAGGAGAAAAAAAACGTTTTCCCTAAAAAAACGGACCCACAAGGATGTTGCGCGCCGCCATAGGTGTCGTTCCCGTTTTAGTTTCTAATATTTTATCGCTTGCCTTCGGTACATTTATCGGCCGTGCTGAACGTGAACCCACTGGATAATCTCCACGCGTAAAGGAAAACTGAATAAATTGTTTGCATTGTAATATAATACAAGTTTTCGGCGAATATATAGAACAATATGGAATATAGATATTCAGCGGTTAACTGGCCAGGAAATTTCCCGGTGGACCTTATGCGCTGCCATTTGAAAAACATTACGCTATAGTTTATTTTGTAGTATAAACTTACAACGTTTTCCTTTTTTTTTTTTTTTCTCTCCAAAAAAAGACTGTTCTACCTATGAGTTCAAAAATTCTGTCGGATTATCAGAATTACCAACATTTCAGCTGAATTTTGCTGAGTGTAAATGAGGTTTTGCCGTGATTATACTACGGTTGAACTTTAAACGATCGAGTAATTCGGCTTTTATGCCTTTGATTACATTATAGTTGATCTCGCTCATTTTATTCACAACTTGTATTAACAGTTAATAAACTTTAAAAAATCAAGAATTGAATTGTGTCGAATAACGAATGTTGCCAAGTTTATAGTGTAAATGTTCGATTGAATTGACATTTTTGCATTCGATACAATTTTAGTTGATCTCAATTAGTAGTTTGTGTGAAATTCCATACCTAATGATTCCACATTATCTTTGAATTTATTTACCAAATCGCTGATTTTCGATTCATATATATATGATTTATTTACAGCGAAGGGAATAGTTCAAAAATTAAAATTCACATTACGAAATTCGTTACCATATGGAGTAGGGCCTAAAATACATCTGATATCAGGAGATATACTTTTGAATTCTATTGTTGATAGAGTTGATAGATTTCCACAACCAAAAAAAAACCTGCGGGGGACGCAGCTCTTTATACATTACCTCATAAATTTATATTATTTATAAAAAGTGTGATTAATAAAAGTAACAAAAAATAAATGTAAGTAAAAATTTGAAAAAAATTCACTTATGAAAAAATAATTTTAATTGAATAAAATGTATTGATTAGAGTAAGACCATTAATTGATTATTTGTTATTAGCTTTACTGTTATTTCTACAATTTAACTAATATACACGTCATAAAACTTGATACGCAAATTTGTAATTCAGGGGACACACTATTTTAGGTACTAGTATAGATGGAAAGATCATATACGGTATAGAATAAAAACACAAACAAATTCTTAAAATATTATACTCTACTTAAAAAACATTTAATTATGACGATAAAAGGGGTTTTATTAATTGTATAAATTATTTGTACCAATCGATTGCAACAGATAACGATTGTTTTTTTAGATATTGTCCATACACGAGCATAGCCAGGTAACACCGTCTAGTACAAGGTTTTTCAACCTTGAAGACACGACTTCCTATGGAGGCGTGCTGCATACTGTGCTCCTCATAAAATTTTCACGGCACATGTCCTAGTCATGAATATTTTTAAGACCTTTTTTTCGGTTATTATTTAATATTTTTTCCATCAAATTTAAACTTAATAATAAATCATTTAATTTTTCTAAGTTTATTTAACTAAACGAACCTGGTCTTTTTGAACTTATAACATTTGAGATGACAGATGATTTTATTTCATAATAATTATTATCAGTAAATGAATATCATAAATTTATTTAAAAAAAAAAAAAATACTCTTATGGTATGCTGTTACAATGAAACTATAAAACTATAAATGTAATGTCTAACAAATGATTATAGTGTAAACGACCTGTACGTTTACATGCATTTATCCAACTGGAACGGATAATCTGATAAATATTATTATACATTTCATTACAGTTCAATACTAATATGAGATACCTTATCTTAATAATTTTCTTCCTACAAATTTTCGATTTATAAATATATATCAGATGCATTATAACAAAGCACCTAGTTTGAAAACTACTGATATATTACATATTCCAATCGTATAGTAGTGAGAGGGGCGTGATATAATGCAATAGTTTTAAAAGAAAGCTTGGATCCTAAAAGATTGAGAACCCAGGTATATACCTATAATATATAGGAAGGCTGTTGGTTGTAACATCGTTCCAGCACTTTTTTTTTTACACTGATTGGACTATGAATCAATGGGAACCTTCTTTATACCCAAAAAAGTCGTCAAGTGAAAACAATATTCTAAATTTTCAATCGTTCGAGAGATAGAGCGCATATAGTTTGACCGAAAGACACGGCCAAAATCATAAAGTAAAAGTTACAATACTAAATAATATAACAAAGTGCAGTTCAACCGTTTTTATTTTCCGAGAAAATTCGACAAAATAGCTTTGTCGAGTGCGTATACAAATGTACGATTGGTAGGTACATAATACAAAGTTATATACGATAACATGCGCGTATTATAATCAAATGTAAGACTCTAGCTGCACAAATTGTATTTTATAATACGGACTTTGATTAAATCTCTCAATTCAGTTTTTCAATAGAGATGCAAACATTTGGATCGGGCTGATTTTTCATTCCATTCAGCCATTTATATACCTATTCTGTTTATTTTGTGGAACTGAAATCATTTTCCGCTCGCGCGTACTCGTATTCCTACTTTAAATTTTGATATTCAAAAATTTTTGTTTGTTTTCATTATAATACTAGTCTAAACTACGGTCATAATTTATTTTTCGATGAAATAAATTATTGTATTATCATTTACTCCAAGTGACGTCACTTTCTATGCGCACTGTTGTCTTGCTGATGTGACTGAATAATTAGCCATGGTAAAAATATTAACCACGTCATAAATCACTATGTCTTATTCTCACATCACGGCCGAACTCCGGTAAAAGTGGCCATTGAATATGGTTCGATTACCGGTTAATTTCACTCCACTAGGCCATTTATATATCCTGTTTACTTTACGGAATCTAAAAATATTTTTCCTAAAACAAAATTGATAAATTAATTCAATTTCAATATCATACATCTATTTTTTCGTCAATTTGTTGAAATTACAACAAAATAATAGTCATGATAAAAATGTATCACCCATCATGACTCACTCTCATATCTCAGTCGGCCGAACAACGATAGAAATGCCCATTGGCAACACTGCGATTGTATTTTACATTTTACATTGTATCGACGAATTTATAACATCTTATACAGGTCAGAAAAACATTTTTCAAAAAAGGGCTGCCAATGTATAGTCTGAATCCTAACGTTTAAGAGCTTGACCAAGAACTTATTATGTAACAAGACACATAAAACAATACTCTGGAAATAATAATATTATTGTGCCTCTGAATGTCTATTCTCAATAATTGGAAATTTATATCAGCGGTTTGAAAAATCTACCAGACAGAATATATTAACATTTTACGTATATTTTAACCAAAAATTCTGTGACCCCGAGTGCGAATCGTCAGTCTTGTTGAGTGTCGGTTTTTAGTATGAAAATAATAAAATTGTAAAAATTGACTACGCATGTGTATCCCTGAATGTTTCGGCGAAAACGTCGCAAAATCGTTAACAACGTGTCACGAAACATGTTTGCGACTATTTTCACTGAACCGTAGCGAAAAATTCGTACCTTGGAAATTATTTTGGAAAATATTATGTTTTCTCCCGAGGGAGACCCGAAAAATGTATTTCTACTTCTAGCTTTCAGAAATTATTCCGAACTGCCATAACATATTTAATACTATTGTATGGATCATAAATAGCTGTATATAAAAGACATTGTACGAGCACAAATACGAATACATACGAATTGCATATACATAATCGGAGAAAAATAAAAGGAAAAAATTCCATAATACGCTCTCCAGTTATTTTCGTCCTATTATATTATACTTTACACGGACGAACTTTTGCCGTGTGTTATGATGTCGGTCACGTATCTTTTATATTAAAAAAAAAGGCCTACAGTAGAGAGTAGAGATTTTGAAAGAGGAAATTAATGAGAATTCAGTAACCCATACCTACTGGATTACCGTGACTGAATTACCATAGTTTATTGCACACAGAGAATATCATAATAAATGCGCACATATACTATGTATACGAGTACATATGTATACGCTTAGTTGACACTTTAGAGTACACGCTAGAAATATATTTTAAGCACTCGGTATTTAAAGTTGCAGTATACGTATTATGTTTTGTCGTACCTATGATACGATTCAAATATTTCCAATGTTACAAAATAATATAATATTATAAATTGTCGTATAATACTCACCCGTCACCCGAGGATAGATCCCCGATCTGATAGGTCGTAGCTATTTATAATTGCGATAATTCGTAAACAAATTGTATATTTTTTAATACTTATTACTAGGGTTTCTAACAATTTAAATGTAACATGTAAGATCAAAAAAAAAAGTAATATCATTTTTTTACCCGGAAGTTCTTTAAATATACCCCCTAAGATAAATATTTCGAAAAAAAAATTAGTTTAACAATAGTTTTATTATTACTAGTACAGTATGTAAAATTTTTATTAATTAATAAAAGAAAAACAACATTTTAAAACATATATCTACCAATAACTGACCAAATATCATCGTCGTTAACACTCTATAGAATATGGTACATTTGTAATAAAACTCGTGTCTAGTGAATTGATTAATGGATTTAAGAGGCTATATATTAAAGTAAATTTGTTTGCAATGTTCTATAATTTAACCGTTTGCTAAACGAATCGCCAAATACAATCCTCGTTTGGTCCGTTCATTAAACACAGAAGTATTCATGACAGTAAACGTTATCTGATGATTCTTGACGGATTATAATTTGTTAGTCATTGACAAAATTAGTAAAACTAAAATCATTAGAAATCCCGTAAGTCGAAAATGTCCAATTTACTCTGTAAAACTGGGTTTTAAATTTATAATCAAATATCATTTATTCCGAAATTATAGCAAATAAAAAAAACTTTGGTGCATTGTTTAAAATTTGTAGAACAAAATATAATTTATTTAGAGTTATATAGGACATTATGTTCCCAGCGCTAGTCATAGCTAATATATGCAATATAATAATATAATCCGAGTTAAAATCTGCGAGATTACTGTGGCGGAAAAATTAATCAATTAAGTGTACATTATGAACATGAATTGTGCGTAGTTTTACAATATAATAATTAAACGCTTAAAAAATTACGAGTGCCCGCACCCAGGATAATTTATCACGACGGTGATACTTATTTACTTAAATGCACTGTTGTCAGTACGATTAACTTTTTTTCTAAGGAGAATGTTGCGTATGGGCCCAAAAAAGAGATTGATCACGTAGCTCTCTGTTTAAATTGACGTGGTTAGTATAATACACTATAGCTGCTTGTACCCTAACATTTTAACAGAAGGGATTCAACTTTTTTACCATGCTAATAATATTATAGAGTATCATTAAAAAAAAAAATACTATTCTTAAGTTTCTAGTCGTATGGCTCGGTGCACTATTTTACAGAAATAATAATCTAATTGATTTTTTCTCATTGGATTTTTAAATCGATATTAATAAATTATCGGAAATATAGTTTAATCCAAATTCATAATATTTATTAAAAATAAAAAAACGAATGTTTAACTTTTTTTAAATTTTCATTGAATATAAATGTTTAGTAAAAATATAATATCATATGTAGTGACATAATTAAGGGCCTATTGAGTCATGAGGAACCCATCTTTATTGTGTAATATTCCTTAAAGTAAATTAATATTGAGTATATACGTTAGTTTAATGCAACTATATAATAGTTTATAAAAGATAATCATAATTTATTTATTTTTCGAAAACAACGATGGCATTTGTCATTTAAACAATTGTTTGACGTTAAAAATATATAGAAATTGTCAAACTAATGTGTACTCTTTGTTATAAAGTTAATTTTACTCACATATTATATAAAAAACATTTGTTTATATTCACGCGAGGCGTGTAACTTAGTCATAAGTAATTTAATTTGTTAATTAAATTTTAAGATTTAAACTCGTGAATGCCAAATCTTGAAAATAGTACATCTATAAAAAATACATTATCTGCTTAATCATTGATATTTGTCTCTAAAATATTTAGATAAAAGTTATGTATTTATTAATACGAGTTAAAAGATAATTAAAAACATATCAAAATAAGTCTCGACACTGCTTATGGCACAAAATTAAAAAGTCAATTTCCTTACGTAAATAAGTGTAAAAACAATTTAACGTTTACTATATTACAAAGTCAGAAACATAGAAGTATATTTAAAATCGTCGCAAAGGTCATAGAAAATAAAACAATTCAACAGTTTTGTTTAAAAATTACTCATTGACCCTTGAAAGTTGAAACTAATTATGTACTCTCGCAGATGTGTATAAAACATCTATAGTACAGGCTTTTAGGAAATTGGCTTTTGTTTTTAAGCGCAGTGAACCTATACGTCTCTATTTTTCGTATATCACCGTCGCGGTCATTTAGACATAATGTATATAATATACAAGAGTATTATACATATTATACATATTTACATACCAATTAATTCAGACCGTTTTATGAAAATATTACCCTCGCAAATTATTTATACGACGACGAATTGATAAGTGCGTGTGTTCAAAATACTCAAAACGCGAACAAATATACATGCTCGCGAATACCGTACATAGTGTTATCAATATGTACTTTTTTTTTAAAATTCTGAGTATAGCGAAGAATATATTAGTATTGCAAAGACGTTAATTTTTTTATGAGATCACTTTTTTTACCTAAAAGTTTACTCCGATTATCAAATATAGCATCTTTTCAGAAAGGAAATATTTTCTGGGTGATGCTTTACAGAAATCATTTTTTTTTTTTAATTCTCATTAATATTCGATATAATGTGGAAAACCTTGTTCTTTAGGTTAAAAAACATTGAAAAAATAAAAATAAGGTTGTCATTTTTAAACAATCATTGTTGTCATGGAACCTTACATTGTTGTTATCATTTATTATATATTTATTTTATATTATCATTTTATTATAATATAACAAAGCAACACTATCAACTGAACAACGCTCAGAATCAATTTTTCATCGGCAATGGTTTATCGTTGCTTACTGACACATTAAATTCCCATCTGTAATCTATCTTTCCAATGTCCCAAATACAACAGTGGTTGTGCCCACGTGCGAAGTATGTCCATCCTTTTTTATTTTGTTGTAATTCAGTTAAAAATATTAGTAGAGACTTGAAAATTTGACTGAAAACTTATATTTGCTTTAAATAAACGTAGTGAAATTTTCAAAACTTTTGAGCTATTTATACACAATTGTATTCGATACAGGTACTCTGCGGATAAAATTGTTGAGACTAAACAGAAACGTTTAATATTTGACAGGTTCATTAGAACATGTACTTAGCGGTAAAAAAGTATGTCCATTCTTTTTTTATAACTTTGTTACAACGTGCATATGGCTGAAGTCAAGATAAAAATTTACTCCGATATATTTTCTGAACACTTTTGTCGTACACTTTCTGTTACGGAAATATTATCGAATTGCATATTAAGTATACACGTTTATTTTTAAAATATTAATTTATCTAATTATATATAAATTGTGCATGGGTAGTAAATAAGCCAATATAAATTATCAAAGTATATAATACCTCTTATTCCTGTCATGAATTGCACTTAATTATTCTGCGTCATTAAACTATTTAACATTTGTGTCAAAATATTGATCGATTTGTGTGCTATAAAACACCGAAATAATTTTCGATGTTAGATGAAAATAGGAAGTTATTTAAAACGAAAAATAATATCTAACAATTATTTTTTTTTTCTATGGAATTAAGTAGAACGTACATTCAATTTAAAATAGAGCAATACAAAAGCTGTTTATTTACATAGGAAAAAACTATTTTACGCAAAATAATTTATCATTTTACGATTATACGTCATAGTATTCATTGCGATAGTCGCATGTTTGGTTTTTTCGGGTTGCATATCAATGTATATGAAACAAAAATAATAAATACGAGCATTTTGGTATTGGAAAACTTTCTAAACCGCGGAATATTACAACATATATAAGTTTTCGTATATTCGAAGCTCCACGAGGTTCCTGCGACGGGCGTCGGTCAAAAACGATTATTTTTCGGTAACAAAAAACTTCCGGTCACATTTTATTGTTATCATCGCGTCCGTTTCCCGGATTTCATACACACACATACAAACAAAGGGTTACCTATTGAAGCCGTATGCAATTATTATTGTATATTATTAACTTTATAATATAAACGATAATATATGTTTTGTAAACTAATTTAATTTTTTTTATCTATACAGGTGCGACCAATGTGCGTTGGGATGTGACGGCCGGTAGGACGAGAGCATTGTGCGTGATAAGCAGAGGGGTGTGCTATGCTAGCCACCCGTAACGTTTTGCTCCTGTTAGTGGCCGGTTCGTTTCTCATCGCATCGGTCCTAGCCCTACCACAGCGCCAAAATGAAGGTATAAAAAATAATCGAATACATAAAATTATAATCGAACAATAATAATTTTAATTTAGAAATACAATTATATAAAAATTCAGTATTGTATATTAAGATCAATTATAAAATATCTAGATAAAAATTAGAAATAATTGCTGCAATAATTATCTAGATGAAGATAAATAATCAGTAATTTTGTGTATAAATAAAAAGGAGAGAGAGTTAAGTTTAGTCTATTACCAATCATAATATTATTTGTAAAACTAAATCCTAAAAGTATCTAGTAAAAGTGTACCAAAATTGGTATACATCTAGTTTTCAAAATTGTTATGTGAATTAAACCATATTAATATAAATCGAATATTTTAAAAATTGTGTAGATGACTAAATTATGTATCTCAGATAACTAATTTTAGATTTATCTAAATAAGATAAAAAATAAAAATATACATATAATCTATGTATATTTTTTAAATGAGACACAACATTGCTTGTATTTGTAGATCACTGCCATAAGTGTAAAGTCGGAAGTATTTAGTTTAGACACCAAACTCAATAATAATAAATCATTGCAAAGAGTTTGGGACATGTTTTTGGACTAGTAAATTACTAAATAGATGCACGACGATATATAAGTATTCAAAATTACAATAAGAAATATCAGTAATTTCAATACAGATAATGTACAACCATGTATGATTACATAGGGTTCATTAAAAATCTCAAACTCTACAGAGTTTATAATTTTCAACGTCACGCTCCTCTTTTGGTTGTATCACTGATTGATCATAATTATTGATTAATCGTATAAGTTTATACTCCTGAGTTAAATAATATGAATATAATAAATTTAAATTTTGAAATTGTAAGAACCTATATTTTTATAGTCAACCTGCACGGTTTATTTCAATTTAGTTGAGTTTAAATTTTATTAGAATTATTTAATTGAATATCGTTGGAACAATACTATAATAGTGTTATTTTAAATATCAAATAAAACAAATGTATTTGCAGTTTTTGTGCACGCGTTAAACTACCGACCATGTAGTAAAATGTTATGCGATGCATATCAAAATAAGTTGATATTTAAAATTCCGAAATCATATATTTATGTTTATATTTTAATATACCGTGGTCATTGTAAAAGGAGGTCAACCTATATTATAATATCATACTTCATTTTTCATATTATTTGTGCGGTCGATTCTACTTGTAATTAACCTTAGGTAAATACTGGTAGACTAAACCGATTTACCGTTTCTAGATTTCATTTTGAACATTAAATAAAATAACAAAAAACTATATGTTATTCGCATTAAATATTTATCAAAACATTTCACATTATATACTTATAAGGTTCGAATAATTCGATTATAGTTTTCTGAACATAAGTGTAGAATTGTATTGCATTTTACCCGTTGTATGCATTCATCTGTATAATAAAATTACCGCACATAGTGTACACTGTTACGATCGTTGATTTGGTTGACAAGGATATGTATATATATATATATCATTCGTGACATTATTATTATTATTAATACACCTATACATAATATATTATATATTATGGTATATCATCATTAATAATTTAAATATAACACGCCCCCCAAGCGTCGCATTGTCCACTCAACGCGGTCACTCCGTCAACCTGGGACATTAGACCATTTACGTCCAGCGGAAAAAGCATTAGAAGTCAGACACCGGGTAGCTCAGCGGAGGAGTAATGACCCGGTTAGCGAGAGTTTCAGGTTCGATTCTCGGTCCGGTCGCATAATTTTTAACACTATATTCCGGACGAGAACGGAAGCGTCAAATAAAAATTGTAAAATAAACAATAAGCATTAGTATATATTATATCATATATGTAAATATATGTATTCTTACTAGCCAATATTGAAAAAATAAATACCAAAATGCAGTTTTTGAAAAGAAGGCGTTCACAGTTTGAATGTGTATCGATATTTCGTGAACGAATGACCGTGTTCAATTGAGCTACATTATTAGACAAAGGTGAATACTGTTTGGTTAGTTTGATATAAATAAATAAATATGAAAATTATCACAATATTGATTTTCTAAAAATAATAAATAATAATATTAATTAAATAATAAATTGGTTGTGTGTAGTAGTTTACAATTTAGTGATACCTAAACATCTCTTGTAATTTATAAAGAAATATTATCCACCAATATAGGTAGTATTGTTTATTTACCACGCTGATGTTAAACATTATTACCAAAACATAAAATAAGTAAGATTACTCTATTTACACAAATATTATTCTGTTTTTTTTAAAATGTTACATTTCTATCAATTTTATTTTTTCTCTGGGATTGTTAAATAACACACTTTTTACCTAGGGCACCAACCTTTTAGTTCTACACGTTCCTTTTAAAAAATATAAATGTAAATACGAACACGTTAGTTTTATTGGACAATGAATATGAACGTGAACGCATTTAATTTTTAAGTAAATGTTAAAAAAATCGGCCAAAATATTTGTTCTTTAAGAATTTTAAAAATGTCCTCTTAACTATATACAAATCAAGGTATTCAATTTATTTAGGTAGGTATTTACGCATAGACATAATTTACCATTTTAAAAGTTACTAAATTCTATCAAAATTGTATATTTACTTATAGTTTATTGTTTAAAATATGTTTAATTTCGTCGCCTAACTTATTTTTTATTTTATACTACATAGTTTAAAAAAATTAATTCTAATACAAATATAAATAATTAAATATACACTTATTTAATTGTACAACACTTGGGTTCGCACAATGAACCTGTTAGTAACATTATTTTTTTTCCTGTAGCCAATATATTAATGGTTGTAACAATAAATATTGGGGAAATAATATTCAAATTGTTACAATAAGTCTCGATGGAAATCTTTTATATACTTTTCAATATACTATAGGTACTATTATATACTTAACTATATGTATAATATGTAAGTAATAAAACGGATACGATATTATTATAACAAACAAATTTAATTCTTATATCGGTTTTGTTATAACAGAACATTATCATTGTGAATGATATAATATAATTTATGATACTATCAATATAAAACTCTAACAATAAAGGAGTAGAATGTACATTATCATATTATATTTTCGTTATTTACCTGGTACACTTACGCATGCGTGTATTAATATTGCATACACTAAATGCCGTTTCAAAAATAACACCATCCCTGTTAGTCGTATTACATATTATCATTTTGTTATTCTGGTGTTAAATCTTTCGATTGGTTGACTCAGTTGGCCGAAACTCTCCATAATTCTTTGTCTCGAAACTCAAATCCTTCAACTTTCAATATCTTTTCATTCCCGTGTCCTTAAGAATTTGCGGTATATATTATATTATATTCCATCAACTTTTTTGTTTCCCTCGGACTGGGAAGTGTTTGAACCAATATTATATAAAATAACTAGCCTAAAATATCTTTGTTCCAGGAGAGGAGGGGTTTCCAACATTTTTTTGTTTAAAATAAAACGAATGAAACAGCAATATTTGCGTATTAACCTAATTGGAAAGAACCCACAAATATGTTCTAGGGTCTAGTAATCGCCATCCAAAAATTGAGATATTAAAAACATTTGTCCATAAACCATTAAAAAAAATTTATTCTGCCATATGGTGTTACTGGGTAGCAAATATTGATATATCCTTTCACGTAATTGTCTATCATTTTTTTTTATTGTTCTTAAATTGTATTAAAATGGAGAAAGACAATTATTATATTGTGTTGTATAGTTGTTCAAATGCATAACAAACAAAATAATCACGGTAAATAAATAATAAGCCATAATTTAAGCCTTATAGTAGGGCATCGGTGGATTATGATTTCGAACATAAGTGGTAGAAAAAAGTTGAACGTTACGTTCAAGTTAGTTATTTTTTTAATAAGTATTTTAAGTTCAAGTTTTGGCAGAAATCATAAAAATCACGGCGTTTCAAAGTGTTGTTTATCTGGATTTCACTTAGAAACTTATTTCGTTAGCAATTATTATTAACGTTGCGTACAGATATAAATTTAATAGCTAACTTTATAAAGCATACTTTTTCAACTTTTGGGTTAAATAATTGTCACATATTCATTCAGTAATGTTTTTTCTTTAATTCTATAATTTGCCAAAATTTCCCTTAATACTTCAGGTGTTTTATTCTTCAATTCTCACTCTGTCGTACCGCGAAATCTCAAGCATCTTTCATGGTAATATCGCAACGATAAGGTACTTGTTTAATATTATATCGTTGATTAGAAAATAACGCTATTAAAATGTAGCGAATTGAAATATATTTTCAATTCAATAATAATCACGCGATATTCGAAAAATTAATATTTTAATACTATAAAACATTTGGTGTTGAAAGTACGTCATATGATATTTGAAAACTTTAGCTGATTGCATTGTATATATTTATTTTTATTTTTTTTTATTATTATTTTTGGATATATATTAATCAGTAAAATATTTTCGCGTAAATTGCATGCGAGAATATCATCTGCGGTGCAATTCCTGGCTCAGTATAATTTTTTTGAGAAGTCATTTGACGAATGATTCGCGTGCAAAGATAAGATTAATGGTATCGTCGTCAATTATAATATTATTCTTCACCCCCAGAAAGCTTTCAACAATAATTCTACAGCCACCACGAGTTGCCATGTACATAGAGGAATCTCTATCGCATTCTCAGACGATTAATCACTTATCACATATTCGATCCGGAACATTCGATACGGCACCCATCATGTGTTACTTGTCAACATCCGTTTCATCCGTTATGCAAAGTGACAGATATCATGTGTCTGTTTTACGAGGCCTTTTTCTCATGTTTGAATTCTCAACCGTACAGAAATTCCTTATTGACGAAATGATGGACCGCGAGGTTAATCACGTATACATGGTTTAAAATATTATTGTTAGAATAGGTGTTTATGAACCAAAAGACTTTTGAATATACCTATACGTAATAAAAGTGCAAAAATATGTTCTGAAAACTAAATGCGTAGAATAGAAAATACCATATATTGTTAGTGAATTAGAAGACCATAACAACCTAATTAAGTAAAACAAATTATTAACAAATAACAATATTTTATCTATAATACAGTTACATGCTAATGTTATCAGCTCGACTGTCACCTGCTGATATAATCAATTATTACTGTATGGTTCTCAATTCGATGAATTTAAAATGTCTTAAAAATGTACGAAATCCTTGATATTTACTCTAAATGTGTACAAAATCCTAAAATTCCAAAAACACAAATTGTCTACATTAAAAAATAACTATTAGATCATATAACGTTTTGTATATAAACGCATTATGGTATAAATTACTAATTTGTTTGGCTAAACATGTAAATATGTAAAACCACATAAATATCTACAATATTGAGTTATAACGTATCATATTATAAAAGCAATTGGAAGAGAAAATCCGATGACAACGGGCACGTCAGCTGATAAATCATCGACCACTAATCTATATATACGTTGTACGATACCTAAGTCCGTGATTTCGATTTCGGACAAATGCAAACGCAATAATAGCGCACATCGGAATTGTTGATTTATGACTCTATGTTATATCGTACGCCTGTCTACGGAAAAACAAAACTGTCCGAAGACTCCACTCGTGCGACTTTTCCAATAAACGCTTGAAAACCAAAAGTGCTATAATACCGGTCCTTATCGCGATTCACGGATAACGGGCAGTATGTCTTACACATATGTTTAGATAGTGTGTGTTTTATTTCTTTTTCCCTCCTCTTTTCTCGTCTGTTCACATAATTTTGACAAGATTAATCCTGCTCCAATCGCAGAAACCATTATAAGGACGTGCTATCTCCTGCATTTAAGGAGTTACGTAGAGGGAATTTTGTAAAAATGAAATTGTATTAATTCAAAATGATTCAAATTTACTTCGAAATACATATACAAGTAACCCAATGACATTATTTCGAGTATTTATTTCGAAATCGTGATATCGTGAAATTAACAAAAATACTTACGAAAAACCGTTAGGTATGGACAAAAACTAATTGAGCTATATAAACTTAATTATGAAACCAAATGTTCTCCATAAAACAAAAAGAATTTGCATTATGTAACGTAGGTTTTAGTTTTCGATATTACTATTACGAACAAAGATAACTCGAGTTTGAAAAAACTATCAGATTTTTTAAACAATAATAACTTTGTTTGTAATTGTAATACCGAAAATATAAAAGCAACGTTGTGAAGTGAAAATTTGATTCCTTAGCTTTGCCCTTATAGCTCGAGTAGTTCTTTTTCGTACAACTCAGCTTGTTTAGTCGAATTATGGGCGATAGCTTTAGGAATTTTTCAAAAAAATGTCTTATATACAACCCTTTAAATACGGCAGATCCTCTTAAAAGAACGTGATATACTATGATGCTATCTTCGTCTTACAATCGTAGAATATAGCAATTTCAAGTTCAGCAGGGACAACTTTGAGCTGTTAGTTTTAATATTATAGTGAATTGACCTATGATCAAACTTAAATATACAAACATAATCTAAGCAATATTGTACAGATAACATAATAATCTATTGCTCTTAGTTATTATTAAATTGTTAGATTAATTTGTTTGTTTGTTTGTTTTTATAATGATTGTATCCACGCCATCACTGAGTCATCACAATTATTATTCAGAAATACAACTACAGTGTAACTGCACCTGTATATTATATTCACTATTAGGTATTGCAGTATATTATTATTATGGAATGCGCTATTGATTTCCAGACGTAGGTATAGAAACGGGGTCACATTTGTGCAATTATACACACGGCATAATTTTTACGATTGCGTGTGCAAAAGACATCAAACATAGGTAACGTTACATCCGTCGGAAGTCGAATGAATAAAGCCACGATGATATAATAATACCATATATAAATTTCACAATCCGAGCTATTTAAAAAATATAGCAAAGAAAAAAACTTTCCCCGTCCCTTTTTTCTATTGGAGTATTATTTCTGGTAGAAAAAATATTTTGTACAAATTAAAATTAAATCGGTAACACTTTAGCTTGCCAAAAATATTTGTCGTTTCACCTAAAATTTTGTTTCTGGTTTTCTCAATTATTATGTAAATTTCTCAAAAAAATCAAAAAGTGGCCAACTGAATTAACCAACTAGATAAGACTTCACTTCCAGAAAAATTATTAAACTTGATACATCTAAGTAATTTTTCTTTTCAAGTTGTTTATAGACAAAAAAAAATTGAAAATTGAAAAAAAATGCACACATATCATAGTGAAACTATTAAATCCCCCACATGGCTCCGAATCTTAAAGTAACAGACCCAAAAATAATTAAATACTATCTAACGTTACTAATTTATTATTATTACATTAAATATTTTTTCATTATTTCATTATTTTTCGCGTAGCAAAATCTCATTTGTATATTATAATATTTACATTTTGTTATTCGTTAATTTTCATCGGAATAATATTATATTATTATTCAAAGAGTAGGTATATATAAGAAATTTGAGTCAATTGTTTTCGGTTATAATAATATAACTATGCAAAATTGTACCGAGCCCACATCTATACCTATATAATATTATGAAACGATTACCATCGCGAACGCAACGTATACACGTACCCACCAGCTTCACCAGTGCTATAGGTGTTTTATAATATTAAGTTCAAATAATATATATTGTCAGACTTATCGATCGGAAAGAAATGAGCGCAAAACATTTTACTGTTTAAATTTGTCGTACGGGTAAAAACAAAAAAAAAATAGAAAAGAAAAGAAACGGTTTTTAAAAAATGGCACGGAAGTTTAATTACGAGCAATAATGATGCGCGTGCGCGCGTTTGTAATAATTAGTATTCTAAATTTGTGAAACCGACAAAAAACAGTCTCGGGGTTTTTACGATGTGCTATTTGTTATTCCTGCTGTTAACGGTCTGCGGAAAAATTAGCAAAACTTTACCGTTGAAAATGGCTGCGTTCGCAGTCCACCGTGTGATATATCTTTGGTCCTAGAAAAGAAGGGCTTATGTCAATTTTGTATAGTTTCCAGTAGAAGCAAATTAAATTATGAAAATACACACACCTAAGCAACAAAAAAATAAATAAATAAAGGGAAAAAATGACATAATTGAAAATTTCAACACTGAAATGTATTTCAACCAAAATTTCATCTATTTGTGAAATTTTTAAAATAGTTTACTTTATGAAATATCAAAAAAAAAAAAAATAAATAATTTTTGCATCCAAAATTAATGGTAAACAAAATAAAATAAAATATTTTGGAATTATATTTTTAATATGATTTTAAAAAGTTTTCACAAAAGTAATTTAAAAAAATAATAAAAAAAATAAGTATTTCATGGAACACCATATATATTTTTCTTATAACTTCCCTTAAGTACGATACTGCAACGGAAATAATTCTAAACTAGAAAATTGTGTCATATTGCAATTTACAACGTGCAGATTAAAAAATAAATGCAAATATAGTTAATAGCCAATATAATATTACAGAGGACGTAAAACTAATATTTTTACCACACTGCTCGTACAACGTCCAATGAGCTACTCTTACACTCGTATAAAAGAAATGTTTTGATTTTTCTTACTAAAAGGATGTTGAGCTTAAATAACAGACGGCGTCACATAAGAGATAGATCAAAAACAAAAAATTCATGGCGGGAATTATATGTATATCTACCCAAAACTACAACTATAAATACAACATTTCTAAAGAGTATAATCCAAAGACAATATATACATTGTTATGCATGAGCAGAAGTACTTGTATATAATATTGTGTTTTCCGCGCTGCAGAGATTAAAAAATATAAAATACGTATAAGTTGCACTGTTGAATATTATAATGAAAACGCCGCCGTGTGGAACGGAAACAGAACAAAACGGTTTAAATATCGCTCGTGGAAATATTACTGTGACTACGAGTGTTTCGGTACACTTTGAGGTTCTCGTCGTTTTCGAGTCTACGGAGAAATAATACAAAATACGTTCGTACGTCACTGCAGCGGCTGCAACTATAGCAATGCAATAAAATACACCGACAAATCGAATTTGTAGTTTCCCCTACGAACTGAGAGCTCGGAGGCATGTGTATCGAAAAACGGTACGGCCGTCCGCCCGCAAACCACGATAAAACGCACACGAACGTACATAATATTATTATATTTCAAAGGGAATCTTCGTAATTTCAACTTTTCAATTACCGAAATTTAATAACATAATAATATACGAGTTCCTATGTTATTAAACCTGAAGGTGGACCGCGAACGGAGAGATTTTCGGTCCAGTGGCTTATATTATAATATATACCAAAGACGAATAATATTAATATGCAATGGTTATATAATATTTTTATGATTTGCGCATTTCTACATAAATGTATGGTGACCGGACATACTATTTTTCGATGCATTATCCTATGTCCTTAACAATAGTGTTAAGTACATGAAACTGTAATCTTTTTTTTTGAAAATTATAAATAATAAATTAATAAATATAAATATGTAGAAAACATATTAATACAAGTTTGTATTTATTTAAATATTTAAATGTTTATCTTTAAAAATGAATTTAAATATTTATACTTTAGTTATACATGTATACTGTATACTTTTAAGTTTACTTAAAATTACTTAAATTTAAAAGTATTGCCATCATAAAACACAAACCAAATGAGTTGATATTATGATTTTAAATAGATACCTAATCAGTTTGTATAGTTGATAATAGAAAAAATAATAATAGAGTAATCAGATTAAAATAAAATGTATATAGATGGAGATGAGCTATGGGCAAAATAGGTAGAATAGTTTATATATATATTGGCCAATTCTTTTAAGCCAGGAGTTTTTTTATAATGGAGGACCTCAATTTTAAAATATACTTTTTTTGGATTTTTATATCTGGTCACCATACACATAGGTAATCGTAGTTATAATCGATTTTAAATGCTGCGAGGCCATAAATGATGATTGCACTCAAAAAAAAAATATTATCGCGAATCAATATTTTGCAAGGTTTATGGATAAGATAACAATTGTAAACATCAAATAGGTTTATTATCTATAAATCTTAAATATTTTGTACAAGAACACTATAGAGTAAAGATACCGAACACAAGCGGCCGGCTTAGAAAAAATTGGGACCACATTGGTCGCTGGTCGCATTCGCCTGAGTGTCCTGCAGAATAGTCACTATATTATTTTTACATGACCATAATAGGAAGTTTAAAATGTTTTAATTTTTCCAGGAGAGTTCCGGATAACGGTGGAACTATAAGTTCCAGGTTATACACAAGTGAAAGAAATAGTCACGATTTTTATAATTATTTTTATTAAATATATATTCGGTTAATTTTGCAAGTTTTAGTTACTGTAAGCCGATTTATCGAGCATATATAGAACAATAATGAATAATCGATGAATAATCTTTGTGAATGTTCTAATAATATCTTATGAACATCTATGTGTTACTCTGAGCAACAATATATACTTAGATAATACATTTTTTTAGGTAGGTATCTATTACCTATATGACTAATAGTATATATAGTATATATAGTATATATAGTACATAGATCAATATTCAATAATTCATTAAACTATAATTTACGTAACTATTCGTCGTCGTTTTACGATACTTTTATGACACTGGGGAACTGACAAGGAAACGAGAAACAATAAAGTTCAAAGGCGATTTAAACGCATTGTCGTGCTGGAATGGTCAGGTCGATGAAAATCCGCTAGTTGTACAACGGTTCGCTCTGACGCGGTATAAACGTGTCACCGAATGGCTGAGGTCGAGTCCGATAACCTACTGGGAAAAAAGGCTAAAATACGGTTTGGCACGGTGGAAACGACTATTATCACACTAAAGGCACGGCGTATATTTAACGACACGGTTTAATATTAGTTTTCCTGTTCGTCGTATCGTTTCGTGTCGTGTGAAATACTAATTTCTGGTCGGATCATGTTATTCTAGATATAAACGTAAATATATCTAGATCGTACAAACACGTATTCAGCATAAATTTTCAGGAGGGGGAAGGTGGTTAAAATATTTTGAATACATGAACTTGTAGTCAGTTTTCTTTATATTATGAATATATACCTACTTTAAAAATTTCGAGCGGGGGTTGAACCCCTCCTGTATACGATCTTTGATCGTATCTATACCATGACGTACGTTGCCATGAGTTAGGAATATATATACAACTCATTAACTCAGTAATGTTGGATTCATCGTATTAGTTAAGTAGCGTAATCTGGGATACACTCACTTTTCTCCAGATAACAAGAAAAAAAAATATAGAAAAACGGCCGAAAAATCGATATCCAGATATACCAACTTCGGATTATAAAAATCTGGTACGAATCGTATTTTCATTTCTTTCGTTATTAATATTGCAACGTAATAAAATATAATTGGCATATATATAACCGGGGCAGTCGAGTGTAGTGGTGGCCACGTGGCTCCTCTAGAAACATCCCTACGCGCTACATGCTACTGCTGTTATATAGCGTCTGTGGCACGACGCGGCGGCCGAAGAACCCGGGCAGAATCTAAAAATTATACCTCGATCATACATAGGTACTAAAACAATTTTCAAACTATCAGGAACATATTATACAACATATACGTAATATATAACACGGTCAAAGAGGGGGCGTTTCGGTGCTACGTACCTTAGCCCATCTCCCCTGAATCCGCGCCTGACCGTATGGCACATGCGATTGTGTAATATAGACGGTTGGTCCGGTGCTTGTTTCTAGGTAGTTTCTCTTGCACATATACAATCACCTGTAAGAGGAGAATACGGAAACAATATGTGACGCTCGTTTAAAAACTTTAAAAAAGCTCGACGAAAAGTTTCGGGATAAAACGATTGCGCGTTCGTTGTAAACGGCTCTTATATTAAAAACTATATACGGATTGTTCCGTCATGGTTTCGACGACCACTGCTCACGTTGTTTTCTAATCAAAAAGGCACACCGGTACCTACGGTTTTTCAGAAGAGGGAAAGTTTTCGGAAATGTAATTGCGACCCGAGGGACATGACGGGGTGTAGAGAGAATTTACGCGCTTACCACTAACAACGATTTCGACCGTACGTGACGCGCGTGGGAATTGTATATCTTCGGCCCAAAGGGGCACTCGAGTCGATAGAATTCGCACCGGTTTTCGGCCGTCGGATTTCCTGTGAAATTTATCGGTTAAATGCTTTCCGAGACACTCGTCTTGGCCTTGTTTCGCTCTCGCGTATGTTCGACAATCTCTCGAGTGAAAATATAATCTATGTTTTATGTGTACACGCGTCAACTTTTGAATACAAAAATAAATGTTCAAACAAAAAAATAAATCGTTGTTAAACTGCGAGATGTGAGTATATTTCAATTGCGAATGTACATAAACTGTTATGTTTTGTTAATTATAGATTATGATTATTAACGATAAAGCTATATTATAGTTTCATAAAGACGTGTTTTTTCTTCTTGAAAAAAAAACTTTTACGGGTAGTAAAAGCACTTCAACTTGTTCGTGTCATACCATAAAGGCGGTAATTTATTTGAGGCATATAATCTAAATTATATCATTTCAAAGCACAATCTATCAATAGTAGACATTAATTTTACCAGTTAAAATGCTAATTTTGTTTTACTTCCCAACTTGGTTTAGTTAATTTATTTTTTGGTAACCATACCTATAAATATTTAACTAATTCAGATTTACATTGTATAGACTTTTTACAGTTAGTTTACATATATTGAATGTTTTCAACGTTGGATGAATTTTCTTTTTTAACCGAGTTGAATTAACACTTTTTTCATCACGATATTAGCGTTATATATATATATATATATATATATATATATATATATATATCTCATCACGAATTCCACTTAATTTCGATTACTACAACAATATTATTCGATCGTTTCGATGTTCTTGCTCAAGATTCATGACAAAAAAAAGGACATCTACAACTAATTACAATAATATGCATCAGACAGGAATTGATACTATGATAATATAGCGGGAGAACGAGTATAAAGTTTATTGCATCATATTTTTTTGTATGCTTGGCGAAAAAAAAAACACGTCGGTTATTCGGTGACGAATTATCGTTTTGGGAATTTGTCTTGACGGTCGGACAAATGTGAAAAAAAATCTTGACCGGAAACTTATCGCCGTTCACTGATCGCCCATATAGGTATATGATTTACACGTATAATATGTTTCTTTTTCCCTTTGCAATTGATCACCGTAACTATACAGTGACTCTAATTCTCCTCCCCATTTTTATTTTACACTATACCTCTATACCTATACCTATACAACAACACGGTTTGCATGATATGGTTTAATATGCAATTTATATAAATGCGGTTCTGTGCGTCTTTTTGACCAATATTAATAGTATAGGTATTGTAGAAACGAGAATCGCAGAAATTATTTAAAATAAATTTTAAACAAACTTACAGTGAGTTTTTGATAAGAACATAAATATGTGAAATTGTATATGTCTCGATAAAAGCTAATCGTTTGTTTAAATTCAGAAACGAGCAAAAACATCTACTTCAACATAGTATCTATAGATAGTAGATACCCGATACTAGATAATTATATAACAAATAACTTTCTAAATTCAAGATTCATTAAAATTAAAATATTTTTTTTAGATTTTTCACGCATGCATCGTCTTAAATTATACAGCGATTAATTATTTGAAACATTTCTTGAAATTCCCAACTATTCCATCTGTTTTAATAGCCATATTAAATTTTCAATGGAGGAATGATACAGTTTTAGCCTCTTCGTTACCAGTGGGCAAAATACTAAATACATAGATTCATTGATTTCAGTATTGTAAAACATAATTAACATTAATTGATATTTCCCACTTTTAAAAATTGTATTTAGATGCCAAGATAAACTATTGTATCTATGATGCTGACCATCCCTTCCCACGTTTCACGAAAAAAAAAACAAAATGATTAAAGACAGAAGGCATATCGAATTTAAGATTATCTATTGTAAATATTATTCAATATTAAAAATCTCTACAACTTTGGAAAGTTTCTCTGGACATTTTATACTATACGTATTTATAAATCACTGCACACGAAAGTGATGCGGAAGATGGAAAACCGGTATATTTTCGACACGTGAATGTTTTTATCATCCTCCCCGCGAACAAAAAAATAATTTATTATCTACATATCACGACGTTCTGCGTAGACAGAATGATTAAGGTGTCGCGAAAATTCAAGGAAAGGAAAAGAATAATAACCACCGGATATGATATATATATAATATATATACTTTATAGTGTATATACTGTATTATATACGCATGGGGAAACATAGAATCTCATCGTCGTCGTCATAGTCGAATACGATGAACACATGCCGAGGCGGCTCGTGGTTTATTTTTCCACCCAAAACTAAATTGGGGTTGTGACAATAATATATTATACACATGAGACGCAGTATACAAGATATAGTAATATACAATAGACAGTGTCGGGAAATATGGGTAGTCAATAATTTTATCTAGATAAAATAAAATAATGATTACAAATTTACCAAGAAACAAAGATAAACGATTAGTTTTCTAGTTAACAAAAAAGATAATACAGTTATCGAAAAAAGTTGATACTTTCCGAGATAATGAGTATGAGGATTGATCACCTTGTATAATAGATACTCTAATAAGCCCATCTTATACATTTGTTCGAATATTAAAAATAATTTTTTATAACATTAAAAATAATAGAAAGATATATGATTCATAAATTACCTAGTTTATTGACAAAACTCTAAAAATATTATAAGTAATATTTATTGTATTTATTTTTTTATTTATAAAGAATAAAATACCTGATGCCCGGTGGGCATGGTTTACAAATATAATATAATTACATATAATAAGAATATTCAATTACAAAAAAGTAAATAGTAAATACAATAACAATACGATGATAATATAATACTATACATTTAACATAGTTGAATACTCGACTTGATAAATATTTGTTCAAAACTCGTAAACTCGAATACTCGATTGTTTAATTTTAAAAAAATGAATGTAACAACTGGATATTAATATATTCAAATATTAATACATTTTCTAAAATTATATCATATTTTTAAACTATATTTTCAGAAGATTATCATGATGATGGTTTAAATTTACAAAAATAATTTATTATTGTATTACAGAAATAAAACGAAAATGACATTAATTTATGTTTAATATAAGGTAGGTCGTTGGGTAGGTAGGTAAATTTTTTTTTTTGTATTGGACTTTTAAACTAAACAGAACTGGACTCGATTTCAAAAAACTAAAATTCGCCAAACTCTTTATACTTAATATTTAATACGAATATATTTATACGTATTTATTATAAACATAATTATCAAGATAAAAATTAAGGTTTTTTAATTTCATCTTGATAAAAAATACACGATTGTATGATACTATGGTCAATATTTCTATCTGTCCCATCTATATTATATTTTAAATAATTGTATTTAGATAATCCGTGTATACTATATAGATAATTAAATAATGAACATTACCAGTCTATTTTTGCGGATCAAAATAATACGAAATTAGCCTAAATAAAATCTTGGCTCTCTAAATGTACTTAAACGGCCTTAAATTCATCATTACGTCTTTATAGATAAACTAAAGTGACTTATTCATTATTTTATTATCTATGAGATAATACCACTGATAATAATATCATGAGAATCTGCTCCGACGGCGACGGCCATCCCGAGCTTTTTATTCGCCCCAGTTCCCGAAGATTCCCCCCTCCCCCAGACGCCCCCAAATCATCGCTATAAACACACCGTAAATATATAACATACGCCGGCGTAATATTTTACTGCTCGTTCGATGTTTTTATTTTATTATATACATATTATAATATATACGAGACCAGCCGAACGACTTGGCCATAAAAGTGTTGCCACCGTTTCTGGCGATACGCGCAATACTATGTTATAATATTATATATAAACTCGCATGCGCTGGCTATACTACGGTCATAATATAATATGTCGCCAGACCGTCCATTGATCTTCCCCCACCCCCGACTCCCCGTCCCCGCCTCCCATCATGAATACGTGAATGTTGGGGTGAAAAAAAAGCAAAAATATAAAAACGAGGGGGGGGGGGGGGAAATCGGATGCGTGCCAAATAATTTCGAGAGTTTATACTGATAAAAAGCACGCGAACTTAATAAATTCGCCCCTTTCAACCCGCCGCTGCCACCTCCGCCGCCGCTGCCGTCGCCGTATTTCGATTCCGTCGATACTACGCCGAAAAGTCGGAAATTATAATATAATACGAATATAATATTATACCGCCGCCACAGTTTTTATCATATTTCGTCCTTATACCGCAAACAATACAATATATATTTATTATATTTTATTAAATTTCTAGAGTTAGATGAGTTTTGGCTTTTCGAAGTCAAGCAGAGTCAAATTCAAAAGTCGAGTAATCGAAAATTGTCGCACGTTTTAAACTGCACGAGTATATGCAATATTACATTCGCTAAGGGACTGGTGGATAGTGAATATCCCAGGTTGTTATTAATCAGTAATGGTAAATAACAAAAAAAATTAAAATACATTTCTTTATAATTATACCGAAAACAAAACAATAACAATCTGTTTTGTTTTTTTTTTAACTCAATTACCGATATGATATTTTTATCGGAGATATTTGGGTTTGAACATATTTTATACCTTGTTATTACATTTATTGTTTATAAATAAAACAGTCGAGTAATTTACTGGAGAACTAATGTTTACGAGTACAAAAAAATAAAAAATTTCGAGTACTCGGGAACTTTTCCAAAGTCAAGCATTCGCCCAATTCTAAATTCCATTCAGCCCGAGCGTCACGTCACGTCGTTGACATTTACAATTATTATTATTAGGTAATGCGTTTTAGTACCTACCTATAATACGAGTGTCGAGTATACCTTCTCTGAGCCACCGTATGAAATATATCGAGACTAGGTAATATTAATGTAAAACCGGGTTTTCTCTTTCGAAATCACGTAGTAAAACTTAAACCACCGAAATTGAATAAACTCTCACGGGATGAAAAATCCAAGTATCGAATAATATATTGTCCTTACGTACCTATGTATGAATAACTTTGTATACCTAAGAACATTATCCAAACAACAAAATTATTTGAACAAATGCGTTATGTACAAACATGAAAACGAATGTATGAATATACGAAACAGTACACGCCCTGTATGATCACACATTTCTAACCTACTGGTAAACGACCATCCGTGATATGATAATAACAAACACGTAATTCATAACCATCAGCTATTATCATAGACCAGTGGAGAGGGACCGATAAATTTATCGTATACAGTCTGATCGATTTTGTTTACCTATATAATATTATATTATCAGAGAGTAAATTTAATCACTAATGGAAATCGATGTATAATATTTAGTAATTTTACAGAAAATCTGGTATTTTGAATATAGTTAAACTGAACTCTCGAGTTCCCATCACTATCGTTATTAATAATAATAATTATAACACTTATATATTATAGTGATATGAAAACCACCCAATGAAACGCATTATTATAGAAAAAAAATTACAAAAATTCGATATTTGACTATTAAAAAGCATTTTGATGTTCGAACAAATTATCAAAAGTAGGTAAAGATGAGTGGCCTGTATTGAAAAAAAATATTATTATGGCGATGTTATTGTTGGGGTGCGAAGTATTTTAATGGGTTTGTGTTTTTTTTTTGTTTTTTACATAATAATATAATTTTGACGAGTATAGAACTTTTAATTGTATGTCTAAAGTTAATTAAATACAAATTTAAAAACAGAAACAAAATTAATTAAAGAGTAAATATAGATATTATTATCCTATACTAATTTTATTAAAATATACGGCATAAAACAGATGTAAATTATGGAATACATTTTTAAGGGATTTTTTCCACTATAGGTACAATTATTTAGTTTACAAAAATTATTTAACTTACTTTTATTTATTAATATCACTAAACTTAATTTACCCTTTTTTGTCTCCGCTTTGTTAACTTTTTTTAGTAAGTATATTGTACGTTTAAGATAAAGTGAAAAACCTTATTGTTTTTAAAACGATGGGAGTTTTTTTTAGCATATTTGTTAACAGGTTATTGAACAGAAATAGTTTGTTTTTAATAAGTTATATATATATATATATATATATTATTAATCTTACCAGGCTACACACTAAATTTTTCACATTTTTTTTTTTTTTTGAGGATAAAATGTCATACATGCTATTATTAGCAACAATTTTATCTACGAAATTTCCAATGGCATTGAATGCTGTTTGACTTTTCGTTAACATTTTTTACGACTTAAACAGATTTTATGACACAAGATAAAATAACGTTTATATGTAACTTAAAATGTTTATTCTCAATATCTATCTATAGAAACAAAATCAACATAAAATATATAATAGTAATAAAATCTAATTAGATAAATCAAAATATCACAATCATACCTACACTGTAAAATTTAAAATAGCCTTACTTACTATAAACTCTCGTATTTTGTATAATTATTTTTTTCCGAAACCTACAAAAAATGCATTTTAAATACTTGAATATGTATTTCTTATTTAAAATTATTTCGATTTTCTTTGAATAATTTTACAATAAAGGAATTTCAAAAATTATTATTTATACAATAAATTGGAATGTTCGTAAAAGTATTATTACATACGAATTTGGTGGCGTAAGAGTACTGCCTCGAAGTAGCACTTTGCAATATTCTTTTTTTGAAAACAAAAATATATAAACATCTTATTATTGTAGAACTAAAAACTCTCATCGCGTAACGATTTGGTATTTCTGAAAGAAAATATCAAAATATAAAAGCTTTCAGGTTTTAAATAATAATCTACAAGAAAAACTATTTAAAAAAAAATATCGATATTTTATTTGATTTTATCACACAACGATAATAAAAATTTCCGAGTATACACAGTTTAAAACAAATGAGGTATCAATTAAATTGAAGTTAACCTGAAATTGGTGTACGTTATAAAATCAAAGAACAACTTCCTCCATAAGCAACTAGATCTAAAATGCAACAAAAAAGGTCTTTTGTCATTTTTTAAATAAAGCAATACCTATTTCTCGTATAAATCAAAAATTATAAAAACATAGCCATGAAATCTTTTTCCCACTTTTTACCAATTACTGTGAAAACCACTAGGAGAATTAAAAATGACCTTCCTAAAGTACATTCTCGGTCAAGTTTCCTTTTAGAAAAAGTGCTATCATTATAAATCGGAGGAAAATTGCTTGTATGAAAGTTGTTCACAGGAAAAAAAAACCGTAATATTTTAATAATTTATTTTATACATTTTCCAATATTTCTTCCGTTTTTTTTCAGTTTTACACATTTGATGAGAAAATTTCTGGAAAAATCTAAAAATGACCTTCTTTAGGAACCTCCCCAAACTGATATCCTTTCAGAAAAGATGCGACATCTATTTATCATTTAGTAATATTTCGTGATATGAAATTACGAATACTTTTATATATATTACATTAAAATATTTTATTGTTTAGTATTTTACTAGTAAAATAATTTTATATAAAAAAAATAAATATATTTTGTGAAAGCAGTGGGACTCGGAGACCGGCCCCCTTAATCCGATTAAGGTCGGTGGGTAGGTGTTATCCCCACAGGGTGTACCCCAGTAATTTAAAAAAGGTTCGGCGCCACTGTCAACAAACGTAAAATATATTTCTATTGATTTGTAAAGAAATTATTATTAGTAGTAATACCTAATTCCACTTAAGTGTAATGTAGTAGAGCACCACTTTTGATTATTGCGCGATCACGTGATTAGTTTAAAAATATTGACGTTCTGAACCTCGTGATTTTCTGACAACATTCGACATATTTAAGAAAAAAAATACGTGTATTAAATTCAAATCTCCAATATCGTTTTACAATAAGTATATATTCAATATCATATAATATTATATTGATGTATTTAAACTGGAACGTAGTTTTTAGAATTATTATTAAGTAGGTATTTTTAACAAAACCGAAATGCCTAAATACATACAATAATGATTCGTAAAATTCAATTTCCGCATTTTTTCGATGATATTAGAATAATCACCATCAATTACGTTAGAATGTATGCGAGAAACTATAATATTCTGTAGAAAAAAAAATAAACTCAAAAAAGATACCGGACGTCGGGCCACCTTCATGTGCAGACCGTTGTTTATGATCCAAGACGATTTCAGTGTGTTATTAATAAAATAATTCCGCATTGTTTCGAGTAATGGTATGAATCATCGTGTTGGAAAAACGACTTCGAACCGAAAATAATTTATACAGTCGACACCACCGTAATCGTTAAAGTTTCTAAAAAACATAAATCATTGCATTCATAATATTATAATACCGTAAGACGAACAAATATTTTTCAAAATGATTTCTGTCGTCACCTTAAAATGCGAGTACCTTTCGCTGATTAAACCGTTCTAACAGTCGTAAGCCCTCGTCACACCCGCAGGCCCCGACAGCGTATTAATTCAACGGACTTAGCGCTTTTTCGGACAAAGGTTTACGACAACCAACTCTTTGGAAATTCTCAAGACCCCCGGAATCGGGGAATCGGTGTTTGTTCAATAGTAACTATTGTAATATTGTAATAAACGGATTATACAGGATTTTTCCAGTGAGTGGAATACATGGGTACATTATCATTCTGGGGTCCCTTTCGACATCAGGTCGATTCAAATTCAAAATGCCATGTTTTATTGTAATCGTGCGGAAACGTGATATTGTGTTGTTAACAATTTCAAATAGCTTTGTCTTGGGGTCTTCAAGCACATCCCATTCGCTCGTTCATATTAAAAATTAATTGGAAATAATCTTCGATTTGTTAGGCAAAATTACCATTGGATACATCAGAGGAGACAAATTATTTTTACAATCATAAGTGAACCCGACAGCAATGGTTTATGGTTTGGAGTGCAGTGATACCTCGCTGAGAATACTGAGACACCATCAAAGCTTTGTAAAAAATTCAATATCCTAATCAGAAGATCAGCATAATATTATATTTCCACGATTGAAATGTACTAATCACAAACGCGAAATGCGTTTCCAAGTGCAAAACGAATACCAGAATGCTTTTATACCACAGGCCGATACTGTGATGCTCTCGTCGAGCGATATTCACGTCAAATATCTTTTCTCATGTTTTGCAGTATGTGGTTACTAAGATATTAGGACAACGAATTAATACAAATTAAATATGTTTACTGAATTTCTTGGATTTCTTATGATAATATAATAATGTGCACTGTTTATGCAATACAGACTCGATTTAAAATATAAATACGGCTCTTTGTATTTATAAAGATGCAAATCATATTACTGGCTGAGTAAAACAGCGACTACTTTGTATATTATTTATTACACACTATCGTGTGGTATTGAAAACAGTGGCGATTGTTTCTAGGTTTTTTTCCTTTTCCTTTCGTTTTTTTTTATTCATTCTAATCCAATATTCGAGTTCACGAGCCCGCTTCCGATTCTCACAACTCTCGGTGAAAAGGAGTCATATATATATATATACTGTAGCCCTCAGACACACTATATTCTTGTCATGCATTACTAACCGGCAATCTAGTATAGGTTTCGTGATTTATTATTGATAGCGAATTTAAAATTCAATCCAAAAGGGAAGCGCCAGTAAAAAGAGCAGTTCTGTCGTCTGATAAAACCGCAAACGGTAATAATTTAGCCGACATACAGCCATACGGCATGTATGTACCGCTAGCAGTTTTATGGCGCAAAAAGGTTCCGGGCGTTGAAGGGTTCAAATCATGATTGTGAAACATCGGCGGTTGCCGAAAACAAACTACATCAACAAAGAGAAAACCATAACGCGCTAAATTATCGAGGTTCCGAATATATCCATATTAATACAAATTCAAATCTTTTTTCCAGTATATTGACTTCTTATTTCTTTAACTTCTTACCACCGTTTTTCTCATTTTCATTGTATCTCGCCCCAGTGGCGTCAGCTATACCTACTCTTATTTTCGTTTTATACACATCCATGTACCCATCTCCATTTTTTTGTCTCCTCCTAGGTATCATCTTACCCTGGTAATCTCTAAACTCTATTGTGTATAATAAAATTGTTCCGTTGGTCGTAATAATATTATGTTTGCAAATTAATTTACGTAAGTACGCATGAAAACGAAACGACGCGACGACGACAGATGGTGAAAATCATTTAACGTTTGACATTTTCAAACGCTCTAAACAAAATAATTTATGAAGTAAAAAACAAAACTACGTATTAACGCACGCACGCACTAAGAGGACATACACCAAATTTTCACCATGTATACCATGTCACCTATACACGATGACAGATTAGATAACTCATAATCGAATATTAATTTTTTTATTTTTCGAACTTCGTCTAATGTTTATGCTGTAATCGATAAATCGCTGTCATTTAATGTCCCATCATTATTACAAACGTCCGTGAAGTTTGTTATCAAAGTTTTCGATTGACTGTAGTAACACGTGCATATGTGGTATAAGACTTAAACATTTCATTCGACACGAAACTATTATTTAACACACACATATTAATCATTACAAATAAAGCATTATATATCTTTGGTATGATAAAACGAAACTTCCGAATTCAACGATCCACTAACCTTCAAATGTCTATATACGAGGTGTGGCTATTAAATAACGAGACTGGTTACGAAAAAATGTTTTATTATAAGAGTTATTCTACATTCAAAAGCTCCCCTTCAATATACTCCCCTCCCCTCGCCACACACCGTTTCATTCGTTTCTTCCATTGCTCGAGGCAGTGCTGGAAGTCTGTTTTCGTAAGACCATTCAGGAGTTCCGCCGATTTTTGTTTCACCTCTTCCATCGACTCAAACCGGATTCCTTTTAAGGCAGACTTTATCTTCGGAAACAAGTAAAAGTCGCAGGGTGNCTGGTGCAAGATCCACGACTTGTTTTTCCACAATATCGACCGTTTCTTACGAACTCATTCGCGCAATGTTGCCAAAACTGTCAAATAGTAATGTTGGTTCACAGTTTGACCCTCTGGAACCCATTCAGTCATCACGATGCCGTTGATATCGAAGAAAACGGTTTTGAATTTGGATTACGACTGAATTGGATTCCGGTGCACTCTCGACCTTCAGAAAATAATTTATGCCACTCAAAAACACGCGCCCGAGATAGAAAATTCTCACTATAGGCCTCTTTTAACAACTTATAGCACTCAGTTGGAGGTATTTTTTAGTTTAACGAGAAAATTTTACGTTTATCCGTTGCTCATGTTTTTCGTCGCACATGGTTTTCGGCATGAGAAAAAAACACGTTCGTTTCAAACCACTACTGCATAAATACTATAATAGTGACGAAAACGTATTTTGGTACGTGCATAGATAAGATATCTAGATACCCAACGTATTACTCGTTTTTTTTCACTACCCATCTAGGGCGCCCTCTAGGCGAGCAGTCTCGTTATTTAATAGCCACACCTCGTACTACACTTATCCGTTAAACTCTTGAATATAATTCTATAAATTGGGATAATAACAGCATTGGCCATTGTGATCAACTTTAAAGGGTACGAAACCAAGTCGTCTGATATATATGTTTTAAATCTAATATCCCAAGAAGCTCCCACTCTGGATATGAAAATATTTTTAAAATTTTAAACTTAGAATCTCTTAAAACACGGAGAAATAATACCTATAGCTCCTTAATTTTTAAATTATTTAATAACAAAATCGATGATTTATTTCTACCAGATAAATTTTAAAATAAATACGCATAAATTCCGCAATAATCAATTATTTTATATACCTCATTACTCTCAAAGTTATATGTTAAACGACCCCTTTAATATTTTAATGTCTTTCGGTAATAATCAAATTATCGATAATTTATTCAAGTGATCATTGTATTAATATAGACTCCAAATTTATTACTTTACCTTCTTAATTATTAGTTTATGTTATTCAGCTTCTACCCTTCTACTCCTAATTTTTAATGTTTTTGCCTATTTAATTAATAATTTATCCCATTATTTATTCAAATTCGTATTAATAGGGAAGTTTATTAAATGTTTAAGTATTATTATGTTACTACTATAATCATTATTATTATATTGTAAATCGGAAAATGTCCGTATCAATTATAAATAAATAAACTCAATAAGTCAATCGCGAAGGGTAGAACAGTATTTTCGATACAATTGTATTGCAATACAATTTTGGAACGCATTGAAGAACTTGTATTGTGATACTGAAATAAATCTAATATCAAATATCTAGATACCTAAATATTTGGCCATCTTGCCCATAAGCGCCTGAAAGAGAGGCAAAATGAATAACTCCTCTCTAGGTTTTAGGAAAAATACAATAAAATTGATAAGTACTTGTACGTCAAATGGAGGAATTGTTAAGAATTTTGAAAAATGTTTCGAATAAATAACCACCGACCGCATCTTTAAATATAGCACTGCATGCGAAAAAAATTAATTGATATTTTAATTTTAATGTATCGAGTATTCAAATATACAAAATATAACTATTCGGTTTATACGCAAATAAAAAAAAAATATTATTATTAACTTACAGCATCTTTCACCGATTTTACGAATTGATAGGTACTCGTCCACAACTCATAACATTTTCATAATATTTAGGCATTCAGTTTTACGTAAGATCGATTTCATCGAGTAGATGTTTGCGACATGTACAATGGGAAACATTTTTTACAAATTGATTATACTTAAAAATCATTTTTATTTTCGTTTGCCGTCAAAGTTTAATTGTTATATAAACTAAACGTTTGAGAAGAAACAAAAATATTACATTACATACCATTTTATACAATCTATAAAACACAACAAATAAAAAATAAAACCATGTTCAAACTTAACGCACCAAGTTTAACAGCTCAAATAAAAAGTTCAGATTTGATTGTTTTTTTTCTTCTACGATAGTTTCGTTCACCAAATTATTTTAATTGTATACGAGTAACACATAAACTGTTGCAAACAAAATTCAAAGTTTATACTATAATAGCACAGCGATATTTAAAAGTTGGTTTTTTTTTATTTGATAAATAATAATAACCATCAAACACTGAATTAATTAAAAACAGAGGTCGTGTCGGTTATAAGGTTTAAAATAATACCCGTAGATTTTCTCAAGGATTATATTTTCACATCAATCCTAACAATTTAAGAAAATCAAATAAATAATAAACCGATATTTATAGTATGTACCTTCAGTCGTTTGCCTGTATTTAAACGTTTAATTTTCGCAACGGTTAATTTCGTTTTGGAAAATATGCTGTCTCTGAGGATTCTCACGATACTTATAGTTAGGGCGGAATCAAACCCTATGACCATCTTAAGAACTTTATTCAAGTAATATTTAATATCTATTTACGGTTATTCAGTGGCGTGGCGAACTAATTTTATTGATTGGATCAATTATTTTTTTTATACAATACCCACTGCAGGTGATAAATATCGGATACAGAAACAGAATTAAGCAAATAAAAATAAAAATTATTATTATTATAAATAGGCAGTTTTTTTGTTCTATGGTCATCATAGTGGATATCTATAAATTCGCAACAATTTATAACAAACGGTAAATTAATTATTTTAGATAAATGCAACAAACACCTACCATATGAACTATGAAATTACAAAATTACATTATTAACGTAAAAATAAAAATCAGTTCCTCAGTTCCTACTGCCCATCACAGTGATACATGTCCTATAGGGTGGTGACCCTACCCTACATAATATTATAATAATATGAACTACTTAAATCGTTAAGAAATGAGTAACTAAACGGTTTTAAAAGTGCATTATTTTTATACAATTAACAATCAGAAAACGTGTTTTTTATTCAAATAAGGAAAAGAAAGGGTCTGGATTAAGTTCCGTTAGCGGCTGATAAGTTAATTAGAGGTTCTTTACGATATCTTAAACTTGCACTTATTAAAAGCGCGCGTATTGTTTATTAAGATGTTTATCACATTTTTCACTTCAAGTTCGTGTACAGTCCAATTTACAACTGATTAATGTAAAAGTTTAAACGACGCATTTACAAGCGGAAAAACAAAAAAAAAAACTCTATATACCTTTGCAGTGATCGTTATTAAAAGTAAATAGAAAAAATTCCCATAAATAAATATCCGCAGTATGGGTTTGTCATTGAACCGTTTGTATGGAATTTTAATGTATGATGCCTATAAAACTTCGAACAAATTATTCTTCTTCCCATTCGTTTTAATCTCACTATCTCACTCAAGTGATATCAGAAACTGTTACGTACTGGCTTTCAATATTACCATCTTTTTTTATTTACCTACCCTAAATGTCTTCTTATCTCTATAACTTTTCCTATGACTAGCGTCCTTTCCGATCTTTCATCCACCAAAACGTTCTCATTTTGTCCATGTTTCTTCTCATATCAATTTCATTTAAATTCTAGCACTTAGATCCATACAATATCGCCGTAGGCTTCACAACTATTACTTTATACAATCATTTACCTTTTACTCTTTTTGTATGGCAGCTTTTTATCACATAACAATCGCGTCGCTCTTACCTTCACATCATCCAGTAACCAGCCAACGTTCGAGCAAAGTACTTTACAATTTAAAAGATAACTTCAGTTTATAAGACTCTTGAGGCATGCATATTTTTTTTTTTTTTTTTTTTTTAATTTTAATTATAACACATACAATCTGTAAATACACTTTTTAGAATAAGCATGTTTGAGGAATTATGAAAAAAAAAAAATAAAAATAAAAATAAAAAAGGCGAGATCGACATGAAGAAGTAATCACCCAACGGCAACACTTACTGGCTATAGAGGGCTATTATAGGTCACGGTTCCAGTTACGCTTTAACCTTCTAGGTGGATTACCTGGAATGGAATTGGAGTTTAGGGCACGGATTAATAGATTACAGTGGTTTGTAAGACGCGCGCGGAAAATTCTATAGGCATTTTTGACTTCTTCATGGACAAAATAGAGGCATGCATATAAAATTATTATGCGCAATGTAGCCATCCTGTACATGAATACAATAAAAAAATAAAATAAAAAAATTACCTACAGCATTGTGACGCCCAAACGGCCATTTAAAGACCAAAAAGTCGTAATTTTTTTAGGATAATCAGTAAAACTCTGAACCGTCTACCCTATTGCATTGTAAAATCAGTTCAAACGATAAGTTTTAATTGAGTTGAAGATTTCGGTCGTAACAGCACAGTTCTCAACCGACCGAAATATTATATAGGTGCTTATTTTAATTAATTTTGGTTTTAATTCTAACGGCATTGAAGTCGTATAATATTACTACGTCCTTCCAAAAACAAATTAAATTTTAGGTATTTGCTTATTGTTTTTATTAGTGGTAATTTTCGAAGTTATTACAATATACAAGAACAAAAAAACTTTTCATTCACGCTGAAGGTCGAAATGGTTGGTCCCGGTTTATCGTTTCGCGTTTTGACTAGGAAATGAATTTGTGAACAATTTATAAGTCGCCAATTTGTGTTTATTTTTTATTTTTTGTCTCAGATATTAACAATAAACTTGTGTGTATTTTATTGTAGACATAAATAAATATTTTACTTATACTATGTTGTGGTAGAGTAAATTACACTACCACAATGGGTGAAAAGCATGGATCAAAAAGAAAAAAATAACATTACAAAGAGATAAGATACCTATAGCTCAGATTTAAGATCGATAATTCATGTACAATGTACATGTACGGATTTTATGGACTGTAAATGTTGTAAACCAACGAGTACAATGCAAGTTTAATGTCTAATAATAATATTTTATAACAACTTTAGTGGTCGGGACAAACTAAAAAATCTGCAATGATGGCGCCTCGGCATCTTATTCGGCAAAATCACCGTACCTATACGTGCATTCGGAACGTTATAAATAAAAAAAAAAAGACAATTAACGCATTAGCTAGAATATCAAATTATATGAATCTTTTTCAACTTTTTCGAATTAAGAAATAATTTAAATCACAACGAATAAGTTACGCGCATGATAATTATATTTTACATGAAATAGGTTCACGTTATTGAATTTAAGGTATTTTTTAATTGCTGTAGTATACAAGGTATATTTTTTATTAAAAGCATAAACTACATTGTATGCCGTTAGAGATCGAAGGTTAAAAATTTCATGTCTTGAAGTTGAAATGGATGTCCATAAGATGCTGTTTATTCGTGCGTATACATGGTGTTTTTTTATCATGGGTAATTTATTACCCTTACCTACTACTCCAATCTAAACATTAAAATAGTATAGCTCATAAACGTTAAATCTGATATTAGTGTTATGCATATCAATATTTATAAACAAATATTTTTTATTCAAATCTGCGTTCGAAGGGAGACGGGGATTCCTATTTGAAAACCAAAAGTATGCACTTATTTGAAGTATATGGAGTAGGGGTAAAAAATGAAAAATGGTTTTAAAATAAAGCTTAAACGATTCCATAAAGATTAGAAAAAAAAAAATTAAATTCACTTAAAATCATCTGAGATAATTTCTGGTTCATGATAAAGAAATCACCATGTACATTTCTGTAATCGAATGAAATCCCTCTTTCATTCTCAAATAAGTAAGGCCTAATCACCAATCTCATGATGATGATATGATGCAGCACACTAAACTGTCACTAAGGTTAGGTTATGTTACTAGCTGTCACTGTCTAAAATGTGATGGTCGTTGATGAAATTCACTATAGGGTTTTGAAGTGCCAAACCGACCATTTTGCTTGTTTACATATAACCCTTGATATGGAAATATGTCTTGTTCGACACTAAAAGTTTGTCAACAAAACGCCTTAACGACACCTGCACGTTGTGAACCAACCTACTGCTCAGCAATTACTAGAGGCAACAATTTTAGGCATGTATTTAAAATACACATGCATACAAAGTTCGTGCATCTGTTAAATATGAATAATAATATAATGTTTTCCATAAACAGATATTTTAATTTTTTTTTTTTTTGTTTGAGCCGTTTATTTCACGCAAGTTTCAAGTTTTCCAACAAAACTGTCAGGTAAATAAAAACTTAAATTGTTACTTTTTATCGACTTTTTATACATACACACACACAAACATATACACATATAAAACTAGAAGCTACCAATACACAGGTCGTATTATTATTAAACAAAAAGATAATCGCATAGAAAAACCAAATGTTTAGTAGCTGCATACTATTTATGTAAACATCGCGTGTAAAAAAATGAAGTTAAAACAACATACGTATATGTATGTATGTATGTAGATTGTAGGTATACATATATGACATGACGACTGATTTACTCGTAGTTATACTTTTTGACGGGTTAAAAAAAATTGCGAACAAAAATAAAACGGTTTTGAAACGAATAGTAATAATTATATGTAGGCACAGGCCTTATTAAATAAAATGAATCGCGTGTTTATAATTGCGTTGAGTAATCGTAGCAATATTTCACAAACAGACGACCAAAAACCGAATTTGAATGTTTCGACTACATATCCGTCTACAGCTATGTGTCCCGATCTCTTTGAGACGACTTCGGAATAATTAGAGAATTTCAAATATATCGCGGGCAACCTAAATTTATTGATGATCTGTTTTATTTTTATTTTTAGTAATCGATGAAAACACTTAATAGGTGGATATACTATGGAAATAATACATCGGTCGGAAGACATTACAACGATAAACCACAATATTCTCAACTGTGAAGATTTCGTATAAAAGAAAACAAAATCCATAGCCGATGGACTACCGTCCGTAGGATAGTAGGAACCACTATCCAACGAGCACTCTATAAGTGAAATCTAAAAATGATTTAAAACATTAAAATTCCGTAAAACACAAACTAAGATAGAAATAGATAGAAATAAACAGGTCTGGAAACACGAGTAGAAGAAATGGTCCTAACATTTTTCTGTTTGTAAAATGATGATTGTAACTGTTACCTGGTGGTGGTTTATAAGTACTGCCCTATATTTTATATGATACCATGTTGTATTATTATCATGTTTAATAACTACCGGTTTTTTTTCTCTGTGTGTGGATTAGTTTGATTTTTGATTTTCTATTTGGATAGCGCTACATATCCATTACGCGTATATCTTTTTAAACATTTTTTGAAGTCCATTAATAAAGTCTCCGTTTCCAGCCCTGCGTATCTTAACCCTTGCCCTAAAATGTGACCCTTGGTTTTGACTGTTTCGAGTCATTGCGATAGCTGATAAAAAAAATGAGAAAATCGTAAACGCGTAATATACTACAGAATTAAATGTCTGTTTAATAGTGTAGTATGTTATAAACATGCGCTAAACATTAATTTCAAGGGATAAGCGCGCAAAATATTTATATAATACTGGTAGGTACCACTATATATTATAATATGGTTTTCCTAGTGGCCATTTCGGTTTGCTCGGTTTGCATGCGAATATTCAAGTGCGAAATGTTGTTGCTGGAGCAAACTTGGTGCCAGACGTTATCAATAATGAAAGTGTATTCACGCGAACGTGCCAAATAATATGCGTAGTATTTGTATTATTACTATACTGCAGCGGCGACAATGACGGGGACAAAAGTAAATGGTTATTTTTTTTATTATTATTTATTTGATTACATACGCAAACAAAATTATGTTTTGTTTTATCTTTACATAAAAAATTAATTTCATGTAGCTATAAATCGTTTGTGAAGTAATAATATAATTGAGGCGTTGTAGTGTATCAACTGCGTTGTATTATTATTAATTCACATATATTTCGTTCTTCACGTTTTATTTTATACATACAGAATCATCCTAGTCAATTGAAAATTCATATCATGAAATACTGTTTTAAATCGATTTTCGAAAACTTAATTGTTCAAAGTCAGGGACTGGTACTTCGGAATTTTTTAGTTCTAGTTCCGGTTCCGGTAGTCAATTACTTTACTTAAAATTTTTGGTTACGGTTCAGGTTTTTGAAAAATATGATTAAACATTTTATTCGTTAAACTTACACTTATAATATTTTGTTAATACTCCGCTCAAATAACTTGTTTGTGAATTTAATCAGAAATTTGAAAAATTCACATAATTGAACATTTTAATTATATCTACGTAGCTATAATACTCAGCTGAAATGGCTGACACCAGAGAAATAGAGAAAAGAATAAAATTTGTAACTAATGCACAGTTTTATGCAAGAAAATCGCGGGACGATGAATGGACAAAGATACATATTATAAATAAAGATTTTGTCATTAAACCCGGCCAGAATATGGAAGACATATCATTACCAAGATAAAAAATGGACAAATAATTGGATTAGGGCTGATACAGCCTATATGCCTTTTACAGCATATTTTAAAGAATCATTTGGTAATTTATATGTCATAACTGCATATGTTAACCTAAACTTATACATAATTAATATGTTTTTAGTGTATATTTCTGTCGGCCCTAATAATAAATAATATTTCGTTTTTCAGAATATTACGATAAATAACTGTACCGATGAGCTGTCGGTTTTTTCGTTGCGAGTTTTATTTTTACCCACATAGTTGGATTGTTGAATACAATGTTTAGAAAAATATTTATTTTTATTATAGTATATACGTATTGTAATAGGTACGAGGCCAAAAACATTGTTATTTTATATTTTATTATTATTTTAACCATAATATATTCCGTATAGCGTAAAATATATACATAGGTATAGACATTTTGTATACAGCGAATAATACAGTCCGTAGCAAGTGTTGCGCCCGAGTGTACTTATTGTATCTATGTTTAAATTTTCTAATATTTGAAATATTTGAATACCGAATACATTCAGTTGTAATATTGTTTCGTCTAAGTGGCCTTATGCCACGTTACATTCGGTCGTTTCGAGGGCGAATGTCGAACTCTTAATCGAAAGTAAGCTTCGATTTCGATTTGTTATGCAAAACCATGTCGGGTAGGCTTTTATTTAGTGTGCAGTTTGTTAATGCAGCGACCGTACCGAAAAAATGCAAATGACATATAAACTAATAAATAGTAATATTGTATACACATATACCTACTATATAACATTATAAATATTGTTATTTTCACTTGGAAGCATGTGTAAAACTTGTGATGTGAAAATCACTGGCTAAAAGGCTTTTTGGACTACAGAGGGTCCATTTTATGTAAGGGTACACCCTGTGATGAATTCCTAGATTCACCTATGGTGGCGGGTATATTACACTTCTGAAGAGGGCGAAGTTAAAATCCACAGTAATAATATGATATAATTAAATATTGAGTTGTATATAATAATATATATATATACCCAGAGGAGGATGGAGCGATCTACGAATATTTCGATATCCGCTACCGATATAATAGATCAAACTAAATCGAATTTGACTATTAATGTAAAAATAATGTTTGTGTTTTAAAATCAAAATCAGAAAACAATTAAATCGATATTCTACATCAATTTAAAAATCACAAAATCATGAAATCGATATATTATTTTTAAATTGAAATAAACAAAAATTAATTTTTATAAAATAAATCAAAATTAAAATATATCATTTTTTTTTTGATTTCAAGTCTTGGACTTGCAAAGAAGATAATATTATTTCGATATAATTAAAAAAATAATACGCGAGTTCAAGCTCAAAAATCGAAAATACTTTTCAAGATTGTGTCTACGGAGTAAAAATTTCCTCTGTTGGCTGCATACCGTTTATATCGAATACGATAAGAGTTTAAAGCGAATTTATGTACGCGTTTAAGTATATATTTGTATACGTATAATTTATGCACATTTAAAGTCACGAGAGATTTTGTCGAGATGTATTCTCATTATCGTCATTCATCTGTATGAGAATGCATTACATAATATTATTTCTATATATACGGATAAGTTTACAAAAAAACAACAACATGTGGAGATATCGTTTTCACACTTTATCCTGAAAAGAAAAAAAATGAACAAACTACGGTGATTTGCGTTAGTTTTTTCTCACGGTATCATCGTTCCCGGGACAAAAACCGTGAAAGCCACACTTCGATTCGTATTTTCCTGTCGTCGGTACACAACCCTTCCGAAATTTTTCACTTTCCCCTACGAAAATCATGCGCCACCCAGAGCAGTGTTTTCGACTCGACATAACGTCGTCTCGAGATCAACGAATAATAACAAAAACGGAATCTTAAATATATGAAACGAATCCCAACCCTCCCCCTCGCTTTTCAATATTGTTTTGATGGTAGGCGAACAAAGACGCCGTCAACGCCGTTATCATTATGCACACGACATGCCCCGCCGTGTATAATATAAAAAATATTATAGCGCAGGGCACTAAAAGCGCGTTAATGGTGAAGACGTGTTTCGGTTTCGATATTGTGATAAATTCCGTGTACTCAACACACCGACGGCAGTTCTTATACAATATTATGAACGATCGCTTTGATGGCTCGTTTTCTCCGGTACTTCCGTAGCTCGTATATAATACGATATATAATGGTGAGCAACACGCACCGATGACACTGATCCGCATAATTTTACTCATGCCACAAACCCGCAATGGTGAAGGTTATACTTGAAGTGTAAAATGGGAGGGCGAAAACAGTTAAATTTCCCGAATTTTACAAAATTCTCTTTTACGGCCAGAACATTTTTTTTTTTTTTTTTTTATAAAAGAAACGCTTAAATAAATAGTGTCGTTAAAACAGATCAATTTTAAAATATTTAGATAAAAATAAGAGATAATTGCTGAAGTAATGCCCCAGGTGATTAGGTGAAATCTACCTACAATTAAACTATCTAGATAAATATAAATGATAAGGAACGTTTTATCTAGACAAAAAATAAATATTAATTTCCTTTCATAAAACTTAGTGCTAAAATTCTAAAAGTTTTTAAAAGTGTACCAGATCTGATAAACATATAAGAGAGCTCGGCAAATTGACGTATGAGGCAAATTGATTGTTTCGGTTTTAAATATTTGTTACGACCTCAAGTGGTGATTTTTAGGTTAATTAGAAATATATGGATGGTATGATGTAAATAATATCTGTATAAATTATTATCTGAGAGTATGTGAACTTCTGTTATCATTCGTTTATTTTTCGCATTAACATAAAAATTTTAGGCCCACACTCAATAAATCTTCTGTAATAAACCAAATAAATAATAAAATGTTAAAGCAAAAACAAAATTATTAAAATAGTTGGTACTCGTAAAAAAATATAGTAAATAAATATAAATAAATATAGAAATAAAAAAATGTAAATATATACATAAAAAATAAAAATAAATGAATAAATGTGTCGCCTAGAGTATTATAAGTGTATTATACGACCGGTTTCGAATTCAAAATTCACCATAAGGTATATCACAGTTAAAATGTAAAACACGACAAATTAAGTTAGGATAGGGTTTTACATTTTTGAACCCTGTGATATACTTAATGATAATTTTTTAATTCGAAACCAGTCGTATAATACACCTATCATAAGATAAAAGATAAAAATATACGTATCTAGATAAACATTGCTTATAAGTACCGGTGTATCAGTGATAATTGATCCCGTGATATTTTACACCCTCGGTTAACTATTAGAAGGTCGATAATCACTAGTGAAATATCTTTATGTATTACCATAAGTCAATTTTGGTGATAGAAGAAAATAGAAAATCTATTTTTTTCATAAACTAGTAAACTACCAATACGAAATAGAGTTATAATATTTACTACCTATGTTATTTTACTACAGTGAAAACATTTCAAAAAAGCTACGGGGGTCGATCCATATAGAGTATAGAACCACTGCCATATTCCATTTACCCAATTCTATTCTTCCGGAGAGACAGACAAATGGTGAAAAGAAAAAGAAACCATATTTCGGTACCTTTAACTTCAAAGTTAAAAACAATACGGTTAATATTTTTGCGAATACTCACTATTCTTGTTTTGTAATTCAATAAAATACAATCGTTGACTTGTTAACAGTGCTATTACATAACAGACTCTTATACTTCGTTGTATTTGTATAATCGTATATTTTTTTAATAAAATAAAAACGAAACAAAAAGCTGATACGACTGATGGGTATTCCACTGTTGTAGGTGGAAAATGGGAAATAGTAGGATACATAAAGTGATAATTTATAATTGTACGCAACGATTATTCGTTGCTGATGAAATACAATTTTGAGTGAAGTTCAGATAAATATGTTTTGAAATACCAAAATTGTCATTACTCGGCATTTGTTTTTTCCAACCACTAAGTTAAACTTATAATGAATCCCGTTTTGAATGTCTAAGCATTTATATAAGGTCAAACAATTTTAACCTAACGTAATCCATTCCAATATTTAAATATTGGAATAACCTTGAATGTAATGTGTTTTTATTTAGCGTTCGATAAAAAACAAATACAAATACAAACAGTTATTAAGGGAAATAGTTCTCAAAAAAAAAAAAAACCAATACCATCAATTTAACGCATAAATACTCGTAGCATCAAACGACGCTCATTGATTGTGATTATATAATAATATTACAGGAAATATTATCGTTTTTACGTTTGTAGAATAATAACAATAATAATAGTCGTAAAAATAATGATATTGTTTATAGGAATAAGTTCTGTAACTTATTATAGCTCGGAACGTTCGAAGTAGCAAAACGTTATAATTGGAGAAATTGTTTTATACTTTTAAATCAATAGCAATCAGATTTAACGCATATACGACAATATAGTTAGATATATACATATTTATATATTATATAGGCAATAACAATATTGTACGAGTATAATAGCGAAGCACATTCATTTGAAGTATTATATTTTACGAGATATGAATTTTTACTCTGTTTTTATTTTTTAATTTTCTTATCACTCGACTTCACGTCATTTTTAAATCGTCAGACAAATTTGACAATAATAAAAAAATATATTTATTAGTTCAATCGAGAAAAAAGAAATCAGTGAGATTTGCAGTAGGCAAATAAACAAAGCTGGACAAGTTAACTTGTTTAAATTAAGTGTTCATATAAAAAATAAAACTTAGCTAAGTTAATGTTAATTTTATAATATAAACGAGTTTGAATAACAAAGTTAAGTTACACATTTTTTGGAAAATTATAACTTACAGTTAAATTAAAATTTAAAAGTTTTTTTTTTTATAATTTCCTTTCACCATACACTAACAATTTTTTTTTTACACTAACAATTATAATTACACAGTTTTACTGCAGAGTATAAGACTCGTGTAGATATCACACATACTTGCATAGGCCGCATTCTTGGTTTGTTATATGATAGTGATATTTACGTAAAAATATGTTCTTTTCGTTGAAAAATAAGTGTAAAAATGTAGTTATAGGTAAACAATTTTTTTTTTTTCTTAAATAACTTTTTCGTAATAACTTAAATTATAAAAAGACGGTTATACTTCACACGTGGGTGCAGCCCCACGTATCCCAGAAAGGATACAGACGGGGATTTAAAGTATAACGATAAAGTAAATAACGATTAACCATTGCTAACGAAAAAAATAATTCTGAGTCGAATACAGTAAATAGTATTATTTTTTCAACAATATATACCTCATATTTTGGTAAAATAAATACATATGCATTAACCATTTTCTTTAATAATATTTATTTAATATTGTACTTATTTTTTCATTCTCTTGTTTTTCCTCCATTTTTTCTAGGTTTTTCCAATATATTGAGAAAACAAAAAAATCTAAAAATGACCTTCTGAAAGTATCCCCTTTGTCAGATTTTCTTTCAGAAAAAGTGCTACACTTGTAAATCCAAGTTATAATTCTGGTAAAAAGTTGTCCACAGATAAAAAAAAAATTAAAAAAACATCATCGTAAAAGCATAAGATTCTTTGCTCCATTCGGAATCTAAAAATAACTAAGTTATATTAGTATAACAATATAAAAAAATTGATATTTTTTCTTTACATAGTATAGGCACCAAACAAAGTATAAAATAAAAATAATGTAGCAGTGAAAGGAAGCAATGTTATTTTCTAACATTCTTTTTTTTTTTTTTTTAAATATTTAAGTTAAAAGTAACTCAATTTTTAATTTTTTTAATTAGTTACTATACAGCTTTGCCAGTAAATACATAACAGTATCTGTAGAATAACAGTAGCGAAGCTAGAGGAGTCCCCTAACCTAACCTTTCCAGTAGCCTTCTACCATTACCGTATTTAACATATTTTCAATTTTTTTTTTTTTTTTAATTGATTCACGTTTACGTTACTTTACGGTGTATGGTTCATTTTCATATATTATTCATTTAAATATAAATAAGTATAATATTTATAAATTGAATTATGAAAATTAACGTTAACAGACAGGCAACTAATTTTGAATTTTTTTCCAACCACCTTCCTTATTGAAAAATCCTAACCACACCCCTTATTAGTACGTATTATAATACAGACGTGTAAATAATTAAAACAGAATATTATTATAGTTATTGAAAATGAATAAATTATTTTATCACACACATTATATAGCTAGGCACATTGAATAACTAATTTTTGACAAAAATATTATTTAAATTAATTTCAAAATACAGGTTTTTAATTAATAATTAAAAAAAAAAAAAACGGAATTGTTAATCGCATGGATCATGGATATAATCGTGCCTATATAAATATTATAATATTTTATGTAAATGAATTTAAAAAAAATAAAAAAAAGAATTAGCATACATTTCAAATAACAACGTGAACTCGTATAACTTTTTTTAATAATATAAACTGTTTATATTTGAAAAAAAACTCGAAGAAAAGAAAATTAAGTCATTCGAACACGAGTAATAAAATAAAACAGTTTTTTTTATTCAGAGTGAAATAAAATATACTAACTATATTGTTGGTTAGTAATTTTGTTGGTTATTTTCTGGGTAACTATATTGTTGGTTACCCAGAAAATCCTCATAATAAGTTAATTTTAATCAATTTGGAACACTTATGACGAGAAAACTGTTATTAAGGAAACTACGAACAATATCAAAAGATGAACCGCTCAATGCACCAACCAGATCTAAAATGCTACATGGAAGTTCCTTGAAGTATTTTTATTGGATCATGGTTTCTGGTAGATAGGTTATTTACAAAAATAAAACGGATTTCGAGGTTTTGCTGAATAGCCGACGGTACATAGTTATTAGTTATTATTACAAATTCATATGGAACAAAATTCGATTTCATGTTTATAATTTTACTAATTATTATAGTGAAAACGAAAAACTGTCAAATGAATTATTAAAACCACTCCGAATATGATTCGAATATGAATATGATTGATTACATATATGATATGGAAATCTAGTTTTAATTATTTTTTTTCTTCAAACGAAAAAAACTTAAATTTAAGTTAAAAATAAAAAATATTATAACTGGGAGAGAACATAATACATACATACTTTTTTTACTATATTAATTTGGTAAATATAAAAAAGTGTCTATATACCCATTATTAAAAATATGTTTTAATTAATTAATAAAGTTTTAGTAAAAGGACATTAACTAATGATTATTATTAGTAATTTATTTTTATGTTTAATGTAACATATTGATCTCTGAGGGTTTTTAATCATATTTACTTTATTTTACCATAAGGTTAAATATCAAACCTTATCAAAATTTAGAAAATTCGTTTTGGGTAATCATATACACGAAAATCAGTTTTGTACATCTACATTCCGAACGAAATGTATCAACCGTATAATAAAGTTTATCTATTAAACATTGATAATTATTGTTTCAGTTAGAGAAAAAAAATTCGGTGACGAATGCGACTCCAATGAGGACTGTAATTTCAACGGGTCAACGTGTGCGATGGACCGGAGCAACAAAAAGTCATCTTGCCAATGTCTACCCGAGTTCGAGGTCACCAACCATATAGACAAATGTGGACACAGTCAGTATTTAAATTATTCATTAATACATATCGATTTTTATTGCATTGTATTTTTTTTTTTTGCCTTTTTTTACTTGCGAAGCGTTATTTTATTATTGTCTCAGTAGACATTCGTGTTAGAACCCATTATACGAAAAAGCTGACATGTAGGTAAAATAGATAGGTATGAAATAAAATAAATCAAGTTTCTTAATCCTATACACTAAAACTACGTCGAGTTACTGCGCAATACTATATTAAAACAAAGTTTCGCAAACACAATTCTGCCAATAAGAATTTATTGTCCGTCGCTTATCATGTAAAATTAAATATGAGTTAGTTGTAAAGCCTAAAATATAAATGTAACATATATTTCATAATAATTCCAACGGTCTTTCGGAATTATCCATATTTAATCCAACTTATTAAGTTTTATAATATTTCGAAAAACTAAAATTAGTAAAACCAAAACTTCTGTGCGCAGCGTTGTGATGCAGTATGATTTTGTATGCATACTCACCCCATTTTTATGATTAAATTGTGCGAAAATTATAATTTAGATTTTCAGAAATTTTTAAGACGATATTTTTACATACATAGATTTTTCATAACATTTAGGTAATTTTTTGTGGCGATACCAATTTTAGTTTTACAAATGATAAATTATTTTTTAAACATTTAGACGTATTTTAATCGAAATTTGAACGAAGAATTTCTGAGTTATTCTGCTTTAAATACTAAGCTTTTTACAGGGATTGGATACTGACAAGATACTCCTTGAATATTGTGAAAAATGCAAGTATTCAAAAATATCGTCTATTACTATACATTAAAATTCCAAAAATCAAAATTCCAATATATAATAATTTAACCATACAAATAGAACGAGCATACTCGAAAAATTACCCTGTATATTAAATGTATATGATTAACGCATGCTGGATAACCGAATTTCAGCCTCTAATTTTAATCCCATAAATTCTAAAGCGGAATACCTATATTTATTTAAATGTCGTGAAATAAATTTTATCTTTGCAATCGAAGTACTCGTAGTTTAGCGAAATAATGGGTTGTTATTTTAAGCATTTAAAGTTCAGAATGTTTAATTAAGACCTAATAATAATGAAGAGGCATGCAAATAATCATATGTCCTTCAACATTAATAGACTAACTATCTAAACATTCATCAAACTTCTATAAATAATGAACCGTCTATTCAATATATTTTGACCGATACACATTAACAAAATTTTCAAAAATAAATAATAAATATAAAAATTAATTTCGTAAAAAAGTAAAAATTAGATTGTAAATATCTTGTCCATACTTTAAAATTCAAATTATCTTCTGATAAAAGAAAGTGTCTGTATTTACAGCCTAATCTATCCACACGCAGAACTCTGAAAATTTCTGTACAGAAACGAATAATCAATTTTGTTTGCACCACAAAGTCGAAATTCCAAAATTCAATCCCTAATGCCCTGAAGGATGGCTCACACAGTGTTTTTGTTACGAAAATCAAATTTGTTTTATTATAATCATTAATATGGGTTATCTCAGTGACATATTAAATACAGTTTTTATTATTTAATTTGAAAACCACAGGCAAGGAAGTTACACCCTTTTTAAAAAACAAATTGCCAGCCAACAACGATTACTGTGATAGGAACGGAGGTGAACACGGAAAGTCATGAGGAGTTGGATATTTTTGAAAATAATATAAAAAAGTTATTTTGTGGTTAAAAATTATTAATATTTATTGTACTTCGAAAACACTTGTGAACAGTGAGCTCCATCATTAAAGAGTCGAATTTTCTCCCGCCTTTATTGCATTGAAAAAATATATTTTCAAAAACAATAAATAATCGAATACTATAATAATACATCAATACCGTACTATATTATGATACAGTCATATTATTTCTAAAATATTGTATAATTTGCTCATACAAACGATAAGGGGGTTGAAAGATAAAGCTCCCAAAAGGAAAATCCTTGACGCTAACTGCATGCATACAATTGTCTATGGAATAATTCTAGGGGTGCACAAAGCTAAACAACTAGGGAAAACTAGAATATTTACATAATAATGATATCTGTCATATTCGATTTTGCTTTCGATTCTAATGTTATTTAATAAAAAATAATCATATAGAGACCTGAATATACTATCATAATAATATCACCGAATATACTTATATTAGCCCTTTTTCAGATAATATATTGTATCATTAAAACATTGTGACAGTTGTGACATTGAGCTATTTATGGCTATTAAACATTTTCGTGGTTTTTAGTTTTATTGGTTATGTCTAAAGAAAATTTAACAGGTTTATCATAATGTTCAGATTCAGATTAGTGGTAAAAAAATATTAATCGTATAATGAAGTCATTTTTTTGTATAAATAATCGTTCAAATTTTAATGAAAATGCATTCTGATAAAAAATAAAACTATTTACTATTTATATACGTGATACTTAAAACAAATAGAATACGCTAAAATGTTTTGAGATATTCCATCCCCCAGCGTCTATCCCCTAAGCCGAGCACCACACATGAACCGGTAACAAAAACATCTTAAATTTATCATAAAAATAAAAATTCCCAAAACGAGTTAATACTTTCCGAGACAATAAGTATCTTATCGAGGATTGAACATCTTGTACAGACAGTAGACACAATAAACTGCAATAGAGTTTTATTCCGGGAGAAATTCGATAACTCCCGATATACGCGTACTCAATTATTTGGTTTATTCGTTTTTCTAATTTATTTATATATATACATTTGATTTTTCTATTTATATTCTGGTTAATTTTCCAAATTAATATAATATATGATTACGATACGTATCAAAATAAATTACCAGTTTTGTTCCGAACCGATACTTATTTACTTTTTAAACTAAATTCGCTAGGTCCCTGTAGAAGTCAAAACAATTATTATTTTTGTATTCAACTCCGACATTATACTCATACTGCAAGTATTGTATTACATCGTGCAATTCTATATTTTTATTCTGCGTGCCTTTTTCCTGTTCACGATTATGATACAACCTTATCCATTTTCATACTTCTCCGAACCTATCATTAGGGTGGTTATTTTTTTCATTTGACAGAAATTCATTACCATAATAATTTTAAAAAACGGCCAAATATTTACATCATTAACATTCCATTTAGTATTTTAAATCTGTTCGATTTTTATTTTCTACAAGAAACTTTCCTCCGAATTTTAATAGTAGCATCGATACTAAAAGAAAAATTGATGTTATTGCGGAGTAATAAAGTGACGTTTTTGATTTTTAAAGCAATTTCCTTAAAGATTGGGAAAAACCGTGAAAAAACGTAGGAAAACCAAGAAAGTTTACTACATTAACGATTTCATTATTTTCGTTTGTTATTTTTTTGTTATTCAGTTAAAATAATTATGGAAACATGACATTTTTACAGAATACTATTATATTAGCTTTTTCTAGACCTGGTAAAATGTTCAATATTTCCAAAGCATGCTGCGGAATTTTGAGTTATTTATAGTCATATGACATTTTCTAGTATTTTTTTAAGTTTTTATTTATTTAATGTATATAAGAATGTTTGGTCAAACATAAATGCTTAAAATTTGAATACAAAGTTCATTATAAGTTATTACTTAACAGTGAAAATAAAAATTCCTACGTCATGTAGTATTAAAGATCAAATTTTGACGAAAAATCTAAAATTTCAGCATTTCAGATAATTTTAAACTCAACTTCACTCAAAATTGTTCTTCGTTACCTAGTAATACATTATCGTTACGAACAGAAAACTATATACTTGTTATATACACCTGCATAGTATTATAAATGTCTCGCGTAACGTGCATAAATAACATAGCTTTCCATAATATTATAATAGTAGTATAAAAACCGAAAAATCTGACAGTGTTATCAACAATGTAAAGATAAATTTTTAAATATCTAGATAAACATTAAAGTTAATCGCTTGAATAAATATATAGATCCAGATAAAATATAGTTGTTTAATTTTCTAGATAAAGATAATAATAATTAGGGTAGCTTTTTCTAAATAAAAAGATAAACAGTTTAACTTAACCTAACCAGCTCCCAATCATAAAACTAAATGTTAAAAGTAGTAACAGTTTTATCAGATTTTATAGACATCTTAATTTAATCAATGTTACGTGATTAACTGAACTTATTAATTTATTTATTAAACCAAAATAATAAAAATTATCTATAAATAGTTTACCTATTATTTCTAATTAATATAATAATTAGAATTTAAAAAGATTGTTCTATATAAATTAATTTAGACGATTCAATTGTTTAACCCAACACTGGTACCACAATTTACTGTGAATATAATGTCAATATAATAGATATGATATGTAACAATACTTAACCCGGTTACTGATTTTTATATAGTTTTGACTCGTGCATTAGAGATATGATACCTTTAAAACGCACAGTTTTTAAGTTTCGATAACTTCGTCACATAGATTTAATTCATAATCGCAATCTGTGGTCATATATATATTTTTATTATAACGTTCCGATTTTACCTACACATACGGAAAATCCTTATTAAACTGTGAACTACATACTGAAAAAATAAATATTGAAACTTGCATTGTACGAGTATAACAGAGACAATTTGAAACATATTGTTGTCAAGTAGGTTACCTCGAAAACTATAACCGACTAATTAAATTTACATTTACATTTAATTTGAAATAGTACGTATAGTTAAACAGTTTTAAAAATATTATCAATAGCTACAATAATTTAATATTATTAATAATAAAATCTCGAATTTTATTGTACATTCAATAATCAAAACATTTAAAACTGTACCTAAATAAAATTGACTTGTCGGTTATTAAAACCTTTAAAGCAACACATTTTTTAAAATACATTATTTATAATAGATTTAAAATATATATGAAACAACAATATCAGAACGGAAAATGCATTAAAAGCCCAAAAACATACTACCTAGGTACGGTAGGTACCTATACATATTTCTACAGTGTTTCATTTCAATGGAAATTATTCGCGTAGAAATGCAGTTTAAATATTGAGGTCATAGATTCGCAGAAAGCTTTTAGAGACTTTGTTTGTCAATCATCATTTTAAATATATTGAAGACACTTGATTCGTTGGAAAACAACAAAACGTAAACGTCAATAAAACGTCTCTGTTCGTTGTGTACTCACTCGTACTACGGCATCAAGACGTTTTTAAAGAACAGGAAGTTAGAAAAAAAAAAAAAAATATATATATATATTCTTTACTCAAACCATACGTCATCGAGACATATGATAAACACTCAACAATGTGTTTAAAACATTAAAATATTATCATTTTAATATAGCAGTAGGTATTTTGCAAATTTCTTTTTTTTTTACATTGGTAATAAGGTATGCGATCAAGAAAAATAAACAGATTTTGCTTGAAAAGTTTTCCAAAAAAATCATTTAACTTTAAAATAATAAAATCTTATTAATTTTCAAATTATTTTAGTATAATAATTGCAGTGGCCGATTCTAGATGTAAACTTTGTTGTCAGTCAACATAATAACTTAATGATAACGTACCGGGCTGACGATGTACCTAATCATAGCAACGTAATATATACGAGTAGAATAGACCAGAGGCGGACAAACGGTCGATCGCGGATGATTATGACAATGTCAATATTCCCTTGTTAAATCACTAGGTAAATCATGATAATTTCTATCTTAATAGATCATTGTTTTGTCGTCAGTTTAACCAAATAATATAGTTCAACAGTGTTTTTACTGGCAGTTTTATTTCTGGTACATTTAGTTTATAAATATGATTATTAAAGTCTACATTAAGTGTACATTTTAGTTTTATTATTAATACCTATTAGGTTATTAATAATTACACATTTTTTTTTTTTTTTATGAAAGTCGATTATCAAAAAAAAAAATGTATTAACAATCGATTGGTAGATTTTTTATTTACCTGTGATCTAAAATATGATCCTAGAGAAACGTTTACGGTAACTGAACTGGTACCATACAATTCGATACCCGTCATAGCCACCTTCGAATGGCCAAATTTCTTTTTTTTTACAAATTTGTTTTATATGATTGCTTTTAGACATTAATTTTGATGTTTTTGTCAGTTTAACGCCTGGTAAGTACATATTTGTGTAATATATAATATTTTGTATTTAGATTATTTGTAAGTTTTTAAAACATTTTAAGTATATTATGTCAAACCTTATATTCATAATATTCACAAAACTTAAAAAAACGGACTATTAGTGATGTTAGAACATTTTAACAACTTTCGAATAATCTTATTGTACTTAAGTCAAAATATTGATGTAACTTAAATATTGCTATCAAAATGTTGTATCTAATATTCTTAAAATATAAATTTGTTATCTGAGAGAGAATGAGAATATCAAATATGAGAATAATCAGATGGATAGAGTGACGAGAGAAGATGGAATAAGAAATGAATACATAAGAAGAATCCCGGGCGTAGCATTAATTTTAGACAAAATGAGAGAGAATATACTGAGATGGTTTGAACATATGACATGGAGGGAGGAATCTGAAGCAATACAAATTGTAATTAAATAAACTGAGGAGGAAAGAGGGAGAGAGAAAGGGGTAAAAAGAGGTGGTTGGATACCATTGGGAATTTGGAATGATATGGACGGACATTGTGTTTATGAGGTGGAATATCAAGTCAAGTGGAAGTTTAGAACGAGAGTGGTTAACCCCAAATAGTTGGGATGAAATCGAAAGAGAAGAAAAATAATTTATAAAAAAAAATATAACCTTCTGTGTTACAAAATTCTATTACTTCATCAATGTCTGTTTTGGGACCAAAGAATTATATTATATTAATTTTGTTAATTGAAAAAAATAATCGAATTCGAACAGGTTCAAATACGACGGACGCTGTGTCCCGAATACGAATGTTGCGTAATTTTTGAAATCGCATTATCGGCTTCCGGACTTACCACCCACCCGTCGAAAACACCCCCCGTGGCCCAATTGCCACCCCGTTTCGTCTTACTCGTAATATTATTTAAATCTGTGGCACACCGCAATAATTATGGCCTCGTGTGTAATTTTGCGCGTTTATCTGATCGACACCGATCGCGTGACGTGGTTTCTTCGTAGTTACCCTCACTTACATAATATAATATTTTATAAATTACAAACATATACCAATAGTAAGTATATACATTACTAGATCCGGTGTAATTTTCAAAAGTGAATTTATACGCTTTTTCCTTTATATAGGTACAACTTTACCGCATATATCGTAACTATTTATACCTATCCTATAATATATAACTATCCTGAAAATGCATTAACGAAATTTAATTAAAACCTGCACCATGAGCGAACGCAGGAAAATAATTCGCGGAATGTTTTGCAAAAAAAAAAAATATCTATCACATTTGACCTTTATATTTCTGTAAATCAATCTATTATATTAAAGAAAAAAAGTGCAAACTAAAATGTAATTTATACTTCGGAGAGGGTTTGAACCACCAAACCCACCCCTGTATTCATCACTAATTAAAATTATTAAATAACAATAATATTATATTTAAGGAAGATATTTATACCCATTCGCATGTTTTAATTGGTTGGTTAAAAAAATTGCGCTATAATACACAAAATTTAATTTTACAAGTTTGGCGTTTTGGGATTTTTAGGGCATTTCAAGGAATTTAGACATTTATAGAGCATATTTTAAATTATATTAAAGGATTTCGTATATTTTCAAGACATTTTTTTCAAGAAACAACTTTATTTTTTTTTTAACAAAATTTTAAAAGCATATTTTGGTATGTTTAGGGCATAACTGTATTTTTTGTATTTACGCTGCAGTTTCTCAAGCATGATCAATTTTATAAACGTATCCAAAGGATTCGCAGCTGTTCTTTCTTTTCAATCGATACCCAACTAATATTTACAAACTACAATTTTATGCGAAAATTTATGAAAATATCAACATCCGATAAAATATGCGTTTACACACTATATGACTTTAATTATAGACATTATAATTGAATCATTTCTGTAGTTTGTGGGTTATTCGTTGATCTACACAGTTAACTGTCCAGTAAATATTATTAAAACGATATCATTTGCCGAATTGTTTGTTACAATATTATATCTTTACTTCAAAGGGTATTTTATACAAATGTTTATGTGTGTAAGCTCCAATAATATGGTAACTATTATAGGACACAAAGTTTTACATTTATATGAAATAAATTTGCTGTGTTACGATGGACATAAAGATAACAACAAATCGGTAGCAGTGTCTTCGTCTAAAACATAACGTCCGTATTCTATTTTGATTGCACTAGAGGAAATAACCTGCAGTAAATATAATATTTATAAGTAGCTGTTTATTTAACGTATTATAGGTATTAGGTACTTTTTTTCCATTATTTTTTACGACTTTATCATTTTCCGCTACAATGGATATATTTTTATAATATATACTATATATATTTTCAATATATATTTAATATGACACTACATCTATACATACACGAAGAAAAAGTTATAATCAACATTCTCAAGTTGATACTAATTTTACTAAAGCCTATACTCAAGTAAATCATGTATATCCTTGTTAGGATTTTATTTGAATCCGGTTTCGATTATTATGGTATGATATTATTACGATATGATAATTAATAGTATAGGTAATATTTTAATTTTGTAATAAGTTTTAACTATAATATTGTTCTATTATGTATGCATATACATATACATATTATATATATATATATATATATACAAACCGATTGTTAAACTGCCCCACTTGATAACCATATTTATTATCGATATCTTTCACAGTAATAACTGAAATAAACCATAATATAATATTCGTAACACGGCGAAATTTTGAATTGAAATTTAAAAAATGTTTTTTTACTCCCTCATTTTTATTTAATATATAATAATTTTCCTGCAAACAAAACAAGCTGAACATAATATCAACTGAAGATTGCTCACCCACTGCATGACTACAACTGCGCCCACTCCTTCCTCGGTCCCCCCACTTCTCCTTCGTCGTATCAATGCTGACCTTATTTTCATCTCTTCTCTTCTCAATGGTACTCTCGGTACTCCTGCAGACTTGCTAGAAAATGCCTCTTTCCACGTTCTCTCACACTCCATTACTCGAAATCACTCCCACTTCTCCATTCTGGCATACATCACGTCCTATAGTCATAACCTCTCCATAGGATGTTGCGTCGTCTCCTGACCTTTTCTTATCACTGTAATTTAACTGTTTATACTAATTATTGTTCTCTTACCACTGCCCTCAGGACATTTACATATTTAAATTAAATAAAATAATAAAGTGATAGAAAAATTATTTTATAAGCTAGGTTTTATCAATGGGGAGATCTAGGGGAGTTCAGGGATCGACTAACACCTTACTTATAAATAAAATAAAAAGAAATTACGGGGGTTACAATACCCAAACCCCCTCCCTAGCTATTCCACTGCCTATATAAGAGTTTATTGGCCCTGCACAAAATTCTAACCCATAATTTATTGCCATTTATTTATTACAAATGTGAAATTCACACAATTTTAAACATAATAATATAATCGGATAAAATGTGTATCATATAAATTATAAAATAAAAGAAATTATACTCACAATACAGAATTAATGAACTTAAAAATATATATATACTAAATACCTAACTAGGTAGGTAGGTAAGATTATTAATAAAATTATACCAAAAGTTCAACGCATAATAAAAATTTGTACGTATAAATCAGTTATTGATTAAGAATTTTCACGGTTAAAAATAACAAAAAACTCTACTCTAAAATAAAAATAAAAAAATTTTAAGGAGTTAACATACCGACTAACCCATACCTAAGTATGAGACATGGGTTTACAATAGCTCTATGGCACGTTAAAACCGATTGATTTGCATATCGGACCATTATACATTTCACATAGAAAACCGAACAGCGTCATACTACTAGTTGAACAAAAATGTAATTTTTGAAACATAGGTATTATAAAATATTATATAGTTATATTAACAATAAGTATTATTCAAAAAATATGTAACAAAAATATACTTTTCGTCTGCATAATGACTCTGTGCATGGCGAGCATTATTATAAGCACGTTTTGTATTTATGTAACAAAAAAAAAAAATATATAAAAATAAAAATGCGTATATAATAAAAAGCCACCGGTGGGGTTCGAGTTGGATCAATGGTCTGGCCGCGGTGCCTATTACTATAATAATACAACAAAGGTTACCGTCGTAAAGGGGTAAGACTCACGCAATCTCACTTCAGAGGTCACGTTTTCGGGTAAACGACCCCGAGATTCAAAATACAAAACAAAACCAAGCCAAGAAACTACAATGTATATGCATAATGTATATACATATATATTACATATAATATATCGTGTCACATCTCAAATTCTAATCACTCGGGCACGTGTATATAACAGTTATGATGGTATGTATATATATTATATATAGTGCGTATAATTTATGCGCATACGAAACCGTTTAAATTAATGGTCTCTAATCAATGGTAAAACACATCTAAGTCATTGTTTAAATCCCGACTCGGTTGGTAAATTATTATAAATTAAGGACGCCACTGGCGCGGCGTGCCGTTTAAATCGACCGTACTACACGGTTGCGAAAATACTATACTTATTTTATTTTTAATTTTGCATTTTGTTACAACGAATATTTAAGAACTTTGGTTAAAACATATTGAATGCTACGTACTCTCGTAAATTATATTCAACTCGCACGCTAGTCTTACAGCTATAAAAGTAATTGCGACGGATCCAAAATATTTGATAAAGAAATCAAAAAAGTCTGGAAAGTGTTTTTTGATTGGTGAACTAATTTTTATGTGATTAGACTTCTTTCGGTATATAAGTTTATTACTATTAGTTTTTAGGTAAATACAATTTTTTATAGAATCCATAACAGGACTAATTGCCCTAAACTCAACCAAAGAGTCTTGCTTTATTGCACGTGTATTATTGCAGCAAATAGAGATGTTATTGTAAACTATGTATACAAAAAATACCTATTTTAAATTCCTAAAATTCCAAGGACATCAAACAATTGCGCACTAGAATATACTACATAAACTAAAATTAAGACGAAACAAATAAGTAGGTAGGCATAGCATAAAATAAAAATATGCGAAACGCGTCCCACAACGCAACGCAAGCGAAATATCAAAATAAACACTAGATATTGGTTCCGATTTTCCCAGTTGGGCAAATACGGTTTACGTAAAAACTATGTAGTATGCATAAAAAAAAAATACACACACACACATTGATTAACACTTAATAATTTAAGTGATCACGAAAAAAAAAGGTCGACACGCAAGCCAAATGAAATTTGTTTTCCTCGGAGAGTACACGAATGGAAAAAATTGGAGAAACACTGCACCAAGTATGAGAAAAATATAAAAATATAATCATTAATTTCATACCACGTAAATTAGATTTGCTCGGAAGACATAATAAAATTTCAAATCATCAAACTGCATTCCTTTTAATGCTCCGTGTTTATACAAACATATTTTAACTTGTATCGTTTTCGAAAAAAGAAAATATTACTTTAATCGTTTAATCCTCGTTCAGGAATTTGCTGCAAAAATATGTTTAATATGTTTTAATGGAGTACACTCATAGTACTCATATTATCGTTTTTCTTAAATAATTATCATTATAAATCACATAATATAAATTTCAAATAATTTCTTACTATATTAAATTTTAATTTATTATCTACAGCAGTGCTTGCCAAACTTTTTCGGCGCCCATTATGAACTAAGGTTTCCTTATGGCGCCTTTGCAAATTATTGCAACCGACCGAATTTCAGCCAAAAACCGATTTTCAGCGGAATAGTTTTAGAAGTAATTGTGTCTTTCCTTGTGTATAGTCAAGATAACTCAGAAATCAACAAAAATAAAACATGTATTTTAAATTATTATCAGATTAAAAAAAAAAAGACCTAGAACATCGTAATCCATAAACGTGCCTAATCGTCACCTTTAATGCTATCATTTAGATTTAAAATTTATTTTTAGACTAGTTAATATTTCACTTGGCGACTATGTACTCCTACACCACGGCCTACACATACAGCCACCACGGCACACTCTTTGAAAACCGCTAATCTACAATTTTTTGTACACAAATACGCACAAAAACCCGTTGATGAAATATTCCACTTAGACATTTCAGTAAAAGAATACAAGTAGTAGCAATGCATTCATAATAATTATATTAGTTTAAACAAATGTTGGTATTGACATTTTTTATTTCTACCAATCAATTGACGAGATATTCCACTTTCAAATTTGGAAATCATTTGTATGGAAGCACAACGCATGGCGTTTGTATAGTGCTCCATTGCTCTCGCTTTACCCAAATTTAAAGTTGAATTTCTGTCAATAGATAAATGGAAATATAAAATGTCAACACCAAAATGTATTTAACCTAATATTCAGGCAATTTGTGAATTTTTATTCTAAATTTCTATTTGAAAATCAAAATTATGTAATTATTTAACTTCTAAAAATTAATGGAACAAAAAATGTATTTACGCTTGTTGAATAAGACTATCTCTCTTTCTGTATCGTTTAGACCCAAATCACTGTTATTCATATTCAAATGAAAACAGAGGGCATAGAAGACTTGTAAAACGAACAAAAACAAACCTGGTAAATTAAAATATATCTAGTCCTGGATGGAAAATAATAATTTTAAAAAAATACACAACATTTAAATCGTATTTTTTTATGTAATTATTTTGTCTTATACGATTTTTTTAGCATAAGTGCCTCTTGAATTAATTTGTGAACAAGTATATGTTTTTTAAAATTTAGTTCACTTATATTGAAAACTGTAAACAATTTATTTAAGTCCTTTTTTTTCCTGAGACCAAAAATATATTTAATTGGCCCAAAGTCCGCAAATCAGAATGTTACTTAAATAAAATCATTCCCTGTTTAAAATTCTAAATACGAAATGTATCACTTGATAGTAAAAAGAAATTGACAAAAAAAGTTTTATTTGGCTCGCCGAGAAGGGTAGTCTATTTGAGACTACCTGGGATATGAATACGTATGGTTTAATAATAACTCGTTTCTATTTTTCACATTGTAACAATACATGAATCCGTCTTGTTACGCATCCATGAAATATTTCACCATTCGGGCCGATCCATTATTATTAATTATGGATGTATAACACTTTCGTTTCACTCCACGTCAAAAACTTAGTAGACTTCTCAATGGTTTGAACGCTAATACGAAATTATTGCTCTCTTACTATTTAAGTTAGAAATCAATTCGTATCTGTGTAAATATTTATTTGACGCTAAACGATTTCGCAGTTATGCATAATATTATAGTATAATAATTAGTAAATAATTTAACACGATGATCTAATTCCCGTTCATCAATCTTTTGGTACAGTAACCATCGAATACTTGTATACCTACTAACAATTCGTTTGACAGAAATAGTTATGATTAATTTAGTGAAAAAGCCGTTTTCGTTTTTTCTCGTTCATCATTTTACAAATATTATTGTTCTCTAATACAAACAACTGTTGGTCGGATGCGCTTGGGAGCATCATTGTAAATACGCCTAATACTAAATTATTTGCAAGTCTGTGATAAACCAGAATATGGCAGACCATTAATATTATATTTTTAAGTACTTAGTGGATTCAGATTCAGTCTGCACGGTTTTTGAATTTTGTTTCTCAAATGTATGATTCCTTTTTTTTTTCTTTTTTTTTTTGGAGGGGGGTGAGGGGCGGTTAAGAAAAAGGTAAGTAAGAAAATCTCATTAATGTTTATATTTACAAAAGTCTATAAACAATAATTCTTACTCTTGTAATTTAATAAAATGTCAAACAACAAATTCAATTTACCTAACTGAACCAATTGCTTTTATATGTAAATAAAAATAGATAATAATAAAACAAAATTAATATTTATTAAAGAAAAACCACGAAAAGAAAATAATAGATAAGTATAATACTTTAAATTACACAAATTACCTACCAGTATAATAAATTATCAATTTATATATGTACATTTTTTTATGATATAAATAAATTTAACGAACGAGAAGTTATTAAGTTAGAATAAATAATAAATGACTAAAAGAGAAGATTTCCTTTTTAAGAATGTGAAGTATCACACCCTAATACTATAGTAGATAACCATTTTTAGCTAATTGAATTGATAAGCAAAATGAAAAAATTAGTTTCGTATATTAATACAATAGTTGTAAAACCAAACCATTGCTCTCAATGATAATACTATTATATACAATTCAATGTTCAATAGACTACAATAATTCAACTGTTAGAAACAGAAATCTCATTTCGTATAGGTATCTATACGTGCAGGTATCTATCTACCTACTTACATTTATTTGGAAACATAAGTTTGGACAAAATTATCAACGTTAGAAAAAAAGTTTGAAACCATCAGCGGTGTTTAATCACTTCGATAAACTCGATAAAATACGAGATTTGGGTTCATCCGACAAGAAAACTCTAAGTAATTACATCGTCAATATACTCGAGTAATGAGTAATGAGTAAGTACTTGAAACGTGAATTTAATATTATGTATTGAGTTGCAGAAAAATTTTACAATCCGGATACCGATCCAAAATGTATGCCTGTTAGTCGAAACGAAATATATTCTTACAATAAATATTACTGATAATGATATTATACGTTAATCAATAATTTTAAAAAGGTTTTCATAACCTAGTTATGCGGTAGTAGCACAAAATATGCGGTATACTGTTCTATGTTTTTGACATTTTACGTTAGTTTATCATAATAATAATATGAAGTTGTAATAATTTATAATTTATTATAGCGTTAAAATCAGAGAATATACTGTTGGTTATATTCTATAAGTGGTCGAGTTATAATGTTAAGATAAATTATATATCTATTCTTTATTAGTATTAATTGATTACAAATTTACAACCAACGTTGATGAAAATTTTACACGGAGTAATCAAAATAAAATAAGACGAAAACGTCAACATTGAATGCTTCCTCTAATTGTTAAAAATGTTGCCATCGATATTGAAAAAAAAATTTCTCTAGCATACTAATGCATACTAATATACTCGGTACTCAATAATTCTAATTTAAACAAAATTTAAAGTTTTCAAAATATTACATTGAGTTAAAATAATACAGACGCCTCTGCATCTTTTACTTTTAACCTGACCTTACTCTCCATACTTATCTGTAATCTCTGTATACAAATTATCAAAGAGGAAGCAGATATTATTCTTTATTCTGATTCTAAAATGTCTAACTATATTACCCCAACTATCATTTAAACAAAACATCCATGAGCAGGGATGCTCCTTCACTAGAATCAAATTTTTGCCAAGCTGACTAATTACCGTTATAATATTTTTCAATTATTTATTATTATTGATCTAAAATTAATTTGGTTACCAGAATTGTTCACCGATATTAAATATTAATACTATGTACTTAATTTAATTAAATGTGTATTCAACACACAACTATTAATCACAGCTACAACCTACCTCTGCTCTATTTCAGAGTCTACTACCCCTCCTTTCTTTCAGGTATAATAGTTATCTTACAATCATTCAGTAATGATAAGGAGTTGAACAAAAACGTTGTATCAAAATATAGGTAAAGTAATCCTGGAAATTTTTGCTATCATACAAACAGACGGAGGGGTAAGGATTAGAAGTTGAAACCTTCTAAATAAAGTATATCTTTGACAACAATGTTATTTATACATACAAATTTTAACCTCGATACTTATTTTGATGATTCAAAAGGGGTATTTAAAATGCGGTATTTCCTGTGAAAACATGAAATTAGAGCATAAAAATGGTTGGGAAAGTGGTTGAAAATCGAAACCCCCCAAAAAGATATATCATTAATACGTACACAGAAGATATACAAAATTGTATCCCCCGACTTTATTTAGGGTGTCTGTAGGGGTGAACAAATCTAAACAAAAAATCTTTTTTTCGCAACAACATGGTGAAATTCATATTGAAATTTAACCAAAATATTATCACTTCAATCGCACATTTATCTTTTTTACGACTCGTTTGAGCATACTAATTTTTAGGTTTAAATATTAAAGGTTCATCTCTGCGAAAATTTACCACTTTACGATTCGTTTAAACACAACAGCACATTTCTTTTTTCACTGTAATAAGCTTAGAATCATCTGGTTTCCATAGGCATTATAAAATACGTGCGTGTGTGTTAGTGTTCGAATGTGATTTTTTTAAACCCTTCATTTAAATGTTTATAATTATAACCATATACTATTACCATTTAGTAATAGTAATAATATAGGTACTTAGCCTTTATTTAAACTTATATTAGTTTTGAAGGGTTGTATTTAAGTACCATTATTTTATACATATATTAAACGATCAATATTTTAATTTTTATATTATTTCTAAATATTTTAAAATTTTATCTCCTTATTTATTTTCTCTTTTCTTTTAAAATTGATGATTTTATTATTCATAAAATTAATCTTTAAATCATTTTCCCTTCGAATTTCAATAATTATGTAGATTACTTAATGTATGTATGGATGAGCGGTATAAAATCTACTATTATAATTTTTGTGAAAACTTTCTTCGCCATAATTGGTCTTAGAATTATTAATAGGTTCACAAGTCTATAAAATCCATCTGAAATTTCTTCAGGAGGTAAATAACTTAATCCATAAAATACTTCATCCATTTGCAAATTTCAGAATCATTGTTTAAGTACTGAGATAATAATATCTTATGTTGTTGAATGTGTTTAAACTAATTGTTTCCTAAATGAAAGTTACAACTTACAATTTTGAAATTAGGAAAACCTTATAATAACTAAACTGCATTATGCACTGCTTTTTCAAAGTCAGTGTGTAATTTTTAATGCACTCAAACGAGTCGTCGAGTTGCAGGTAAAACATTTAATACATGCACAAACGAGTTGCACTGTCCTAGCAGTAGTTATTAATTACAACGGGTTATTATTATTTTTTCAATTATCTATCGTTGTTAATAACAGCTTGTACGATCTCAATAAATAACTAATAGAATAAATATAAAGTGTTTTAATATATTTACGAGTATACTATATACAATGTATAACCGACACAATACAATGCAATAGCTATTTTTTCGGGAAAAACTCGACAAAAATGTACACATTCCGACACTCCCTAACAAAACTAGTCTTGAACTTAAAATTAGCGTATGTTGAGACAGCTTAAATAACCTTTCCTAATTGTGTAAAGCAGTGGTTTCTAACTGGAAGTCCGTTTAATCATCTCAAGTAGTTAGTTTACTGCTGATTTTATTATGTACGTATAAATTATAAAGAAATTAAGTAATGGTCTGTGGTGGTAGACATTTTACAATATTGGTCCGTGCCTAATGTTGAGTTGGGAACCACCAGTGTAAGGCGTCATTATAATGGATAACTTGTTTTCTTTTTCGTTCACACAATCACGCAATGCACTTAAGTATATTTCACTTATTCTTATTGTATACATAGTGTAAATGTTATCAAAAATAAAAGTAAAATTATTAAATATGACCAAAAAATATAACCGAATATTTTTTCTAACCAAGGGCATTATAATAATCTCATTTACATGGTGGGGGTAAGGGGTTTGATTTTCAACATTCAAACATTACGGTATTGAATATGTTACTATACTTAAGTACTTGGGTACATAATGACCGTAAACTAGAATCAAGAAAGTAATCGATGTCATTATCTAAAAAAAAAAAAAAAATGCCGATGAATAATAGAGCTCCACATTAGTGTCAAATTTTCCTTCAACCTGCTTGCCGTTATTACAATATTTAATTTCTTTTTTTTATTTAAATTATCTAAAATAGTTACTTTTGTCAGTGTTTTATTACTCATTTTCATTCTATAGGGGTATATAAAACTAGGTATTCAATAGGAGCGTACAAGGCTAAAAAACACGATCTCTTCCCGCAACAATATGATGGTAAAATATTTAAATTCAACCAAAATTGTATCATTTCAATCCGCCACAATAGTAGTACAATAGTTTTTATTTTCGAGGAAACTTTCAATTAAATTTATTCGAAATGCCTACTAATTCACTAAACGATCGAAATATTTGGTGCGTCACTGGCCTATGATATAAAACTTATTTGGTTTAACTATTCGTGCACGTGCCGCACGCAGTACTGCAGTAGTATATGAACCAAATATATTACAGTCGTAAAAAATGATAGGAAATTAAAAAAAAATAACTAATAAATTACCTATTTGTCAACCAACGGGTTCGTGCAATAAATTTAATTTAAGTTGAAACCAGAAAAAAGGTATTATTTCCCGTAGTCATAAAAAGAAAATCCATTTATAATGACCGTAATAATAGGTTGGAAACTAAAGAAAAAAAAACTCCGCATTATCGACTGTTCTTTATATTATACAACGAAAAATCTTGACCGTGAATATAGGTTCATTCAAAACGGCAAAATTACTGTCAAACGTAACCGAAAAAACGAAAGTAAAAGAACCTATGTAATGAACGGATAAAAGTCCACCAATTCTGTAAAGAGAGTTTTTTGTTTTCCTACTACCTAGTCGTAAACAAACACACCGAAATATGTTCCAGACGCTAAGATAAACGAACCGTGTTTTTTCAACGAACAATGCGAAGCCCTCGTGTTCCAAACGGAGTGTAATGGTGCCGTGTGCGCTTGCAGGTTCGAGAAAACTCCGGTGTTCGATAATAATGGGAAAATCGAGTGTATAGGTAAGTGTAAATCGGTTATTTTGGTACACATTATATATTATAATATATGATAAATATTGGTAGGTACTACATTATACCTGATCCGCAAATTTCATTCTCGAGGCCATGTCATATGGGCAATTTTTCGTTATCGAATCTACAAATAATACCATCGCAGAACTGTATATTTTTCCAAGATAATATTTTGTTACATGTTTAACTAACCAAAAATCGATCCTACTTAATTCTACTAATTATTTTGAACGACTATTAACTATTACGTTTTTCCCGCTTATCACTTGTCTACTACAATACCTAATGACATATTATACGTTTACCAATAGTTATTTTTTCAGAATTTCCATTGTGTAAAAATCAAAAATAGTAGTTTCACCTTTTTTTAATCATTCCTAATCAGATTAGGTTAGGTATACTATTATTCAATAGTTCAATTAGGTATTTTATAGGTAGGTATATTGTTATTATCATGTACCTATTTCATATAAATATTATTCAAATAACTCTGAAAACATGAGTAATTTTATTTTTTTTATCTGGAAAAAATGTTTAACAAAATACACATTTTTGTAGATTATTTTCATTCTTGCGTTACAGTATGCACTGTATTCTTAATTGTATTTTATTGTTACTATTAACTACTGTTTTTCTGACAAATGTATTTGTTTGAATTTATTTTTTAGCAAAGAACATTCCCAACTCCGATTCGTACACTGATCCGGCTATGTTGTGCGTGTTGGCTGGAATGTTTTTAATGTTCATTATAATATGCGTAGTGTTAAGATTGTTCAGCAAGTAAGTTTTGTTTTTAATATAAAATGTAAAATCATCTTTTTAGTTCGTACGTCTCAGTCACTAATTTTAATTCAATAGTGTTATTAATAAAATAATAAAACTATATACTGATATTTATTCGTATGACAGTGATGGTATGAAAATAATAAACATAAACTTTTTAAATTATAATTTTATGCAATGTATACCACATGACAAGTCTTCGTTAAAATATTTTCAATATAATGTACGACGTACAACTTCGTAAAACTATAAACCTCTTAGTGTACTCAGATTTTTCTAAACATATAATATATTTCCAACGCCGCTTAATCTGAGCGCCTTTCAAAACCTTAGTTTAACATACCCATAAATCATAAGCTATAATATATATCTACTTTCACAATCACTGTTTTGTTTAAGTCTAGTTATACTTTTTATTTTTTTTTTTAAGTTAACTTTTAGTTAAATCAAAGCCAGATTTGGCATTGATAAATGAAATAATGTATAAATTCTGTTACTCGTTTCTACGGCAAAGCAAGCGCCTACATATTTAAATAAAAATGCTTTAAACTTTTAAACCAGAGTTTCGATATAAAAATATGTATATAGAATTAAGTAGATAATGAAACAGTTATTTCAATTTTCAGCATTATTTTTTCTCACTTTGCTCACCTATAAACACAGAATTTGTGGTGCATTATTAATTTAAATATCTACTCAAAAGCTATACAAGTAATTATTAAATTTTAAAAACAATTTTAAAGTAGTTTTAAGAATTACAATAAAACAGTTGTTTCTGTTTATTTTCGTGATTTCCAAATTGTTATTCGCTATTGACAAGACATTAAAAAACCAAAACCAAACTGATAAGATTCTTTAGGAATTCATACAATATAATATTATTCTAAAACTTGAAAGTACCTATCATCCCCATCTGTGCTCAATTTTCTAGTTTTAGAAATCCTAAAAAACAACATAACGTATATATACAATGGGTAGAAAATATTTATATAAAATAATGCCACTACCTATGTATACGTATATTAAAAACCTAATTTTTCATTCAATTCCTGACGTGAGCATCGTGATCAGGATAAAAGAAACTCACTTTTTCAACTTAATAAATATGTAAATTTTACTATTTTCTATATATATTTCGTGTGTATTTTTTATCCTGTCAAAACTTATGCATAGTCCACTTACGATCGTATACACGTCTCTAAATAAAGTTACTGTACAAAACTTTTTTATCATGTTCACTGCCCTAGAAAAGCTGTAAAATACAAAACCCACAGAATCAAAAACATACATCCTTGTAAAATATTATAGATTCCCTAGCCCAGTTTAGAATTGTATAATTTTAAACTCAATTACGTAAGGATTTCATCAAACGTTCAATATTTAACTTATCTAGAACATTTGAATAACTATCAATGTCACTTAAGTTCCATTGGCGTAATTTGGGATAGGTTTTAAGAAAGGGTGGACAATTGTTTTAAAATTTTATAGAAGGTGAGTGGTGGTATGAAGTTATTAACTAAGGCTCACTTTCAGGAGAAAGGGGTAATTTTTGGTAAAAAATATGTAGAGATTAGGTTAGGTGTATATGTAAAATATGTGTATATGTAGAGTATACTCTATGGGAACATCACTTTCTGTATCAAATTTTCAGTTATAAGTATACCTCTAACATTGTATTTCACTAGTATATTCTGATACACTTTAAGTATAAAATGTATTGTATTCATGCATAGTAGTCAATACTTATAATGTACATAATACTTAAATAAAAAAAAAAAACAACAAAGGGGAGAATTTGGGTGCCGAATCCCCTCCCCTAGAATTACGCCACTATTAGGTTCGATTAAAGTTACATATAATAACGCAATAATATGATAAAACAAACCTAAACATTAAACAACGTGTTTTATAAAAAAAATAAGAACAATCTTTTTATGTTTTACTAATATAATATTAAGTTGTAAAAAGATCAACCTTAACGATTACAATATATTATCGAAAAGAAATACCAAACTTTTATTATCTATTTATTAAACAAAACACACGTAGGTAAAAGAACAAACAAATTATTTGCTCGCAGAATTGTTTTTAACATTTTTTTTTACTATCTAGTTTAACACCTAGTACATTTCTAACAATGATATACGTCCACAAATAATATAGTAAGTTGACGTGAATACTTATAAATACCTATTTTTTGTACAGGGCTCGTTGGAGAGAAAACCGTACAATATTCAACACGCCCAACCCGAGATTGATGAACGTGTCGCTACTGAGAGACAACAAACCACCACCCGGAGCGGCCGGCGAACGTAGAGGTAGCAAATCCAGTACAAAGACCCATTCCCCTTCGAGACAACCAAGCATGGCCTCGTTGAAGCCCCAATCGCCTTCTTTAGGTTAGAAACCTCTATCTCTATCTATATAAGCTTCTTCGTCTACTCCATGGATACCGTGTACCTATGCCTCACGCACACAGACACTAGTATACAATATAATTTATACCGTCTTTGAGTCTCGAACATTGAACTTCGACAGCCATCACTACCATATGTAACAATACGTACTTATTCGGTTACTATTCTTCTTTTTTTTTTTTAATTTCCACGAGTTCAATAGAACCGGCGGCGAATCATTGAATATTCGAGACAAATAAGACAACAATTGTTAAGTAGTAGACGTAAAGTAATATTCGTTTTCATTAATATTCTGTTATTTTTTTCATTAAATTATAATTTTAATATTATCTTCATGATTTTATACCACACAATTGGGGCCAGCTGTTTTTATTCTCATTATACACGTATCCTTCACCATTCCTACATCAACTCCACATATCCTCGTATCTAACAGCCTCTAGCTCCATTTTCTTCTGCGTTCTACACCTTCCTCAATGTTTTCACTTTTGCATTTTTCTATCGCTTTTTTCAACTTCGTCCAACCATATACATAATAAGCAATAATATTACTATAGTAAAATGTTTAATACAATTTAAAACCGGGTTAAGCAGATATAAAAATGTATAAAAACAAATTAGACATTGTGCAATCATCGTAAGGCTTGGGCATATGTTTTGCAAGAAATGCACCATACTATAGGTATACAGAATAATACGGTCGATGGTTGATTACACTGCCAAATCATACATTTTCTTTTTCTTCTTTGGTTTTTAAAGGTCGTTGAGGTCCATTAGGTACTTCAACACATCCCTGCTTCTATCTATCTCAATTTTAAACTAATGCGTCTACGTTGTGTGCATTTCAGGTTCCTATGTCTACCCATTTTTGTTTTAATCTATCCAGTGATTTTTTTATTATTGAATTTCTATTTTAAAACATGTACCATTATTCAATCAAATCGTCGTGATCTAAAATCTACGTAATTAGTTCATATAATAGTTCGTCTACATCAGTAGGGCTCCTACTTCCGGTTCCTTGTATAAACTATCAAAATTCTACACTAAATATTCCTTATGCCATATTACCTAAGTAATATCATGTATTTCCATAATGTTAAATATTTTAATTGATAAATACCTACTAAAACGTTCACTGCTGGCTCTAAAAATTAAATTATTTTATCTGGACTTCGGAACATTTTGTCGAATTGTATTCGATTTATAATTACAAACTGTCCACATTTCATTTTAATATGTTTATGTATACTACATGACTAGCTTTTCAATTTCATTTTTTTTTTTTTTTTTTATGAAGATCTCAACCACGAGTTGTCTGAAGCGTTTGCAAAACGGCACAACGCTTTTATATTTTTTGTTTGAATAACACGTCCATAATCATTTGTTTCAATACACTGTATTATTTAGCAACAACACAATATAATTGGTTATATTATATATAGTATTACAACAGCACCTGTAACTATTGACGCCGCAGTACCTATACTAATAAATAAATAAGTATATAGGTAACGTCGAAATAAGTTTTTTAATTAAAAGATAAATATTCTAATTTTATATTTCTCGTAGATTATAGATCAATTGCATTAGATAATAAATTATATGCATTCCTTGTTCGTTATTTAAATAGCGATTGTTTTATAGCGATGTTTTTTATCAACATTTTAACCGAGTCTTGAGCTTTTGTCAGACTACAAGCACGTATCTGTGTCTGCGATCTAAATGAATGTTTTGGTTTTAATTATATAATATTAAATCATCATAAGTCAATACTTAAATTTAAATGTCCTTGGTGATTTAGTAAAATAAACTTTTGTGTTTAAAACCTGAACATTAATTTAATTAAATACATTTTTTATTTCTGTCCAGAGAAACAAACCGTAAAATGAACGATACTTTCAAAAGCTGGTATTTTTCCAGAATTATATTTTTTTCGAAATCCCCTTTCCTGAACCCTTCCATCCAACTGAATGTTACTTTCCCCGAGTACCATTCATCCAAAAAAAGTGATTGGATTTTTCAAAGGCGTATAATGTATCACCACGGATTACGCAACGTTTAATGACTTGGACTTCTTAATAATTTGATTTGGCTTAAAACGTAGCGGTCACCTTTTAAATAATAATAATTTGTATAGTTAAAAGGTAGTTATACTTAAAATATTTCAGGCAACGAATATTTCTGTTTCCGCGTACAATGAAACATCACGATAACGACAAACCTTGTACTTAAAATAAATAACCATTTTAAATAATCGATGATAATATTTAAACTGTGAATTTCAATTACTAAGAAAACCTTTAAAAAATTCAATTAAAATTCCTAGAAAAATGGCTCACAAAGAACTGAAAATCCGTAAAAATGTATTAAATGCATTTAAAATTTGAAAAATAAATAAATACCTAATATATGTATAAAAGAAATATTTTTTTTTGGGAATAGAAAACGATTTATACTGTGTTTTATTAATATTAGATGCAGGCACACCTAGTAACAATAATTTTATTAACAAATATTTTGTTTTATCATAATAATATTGTTATAGTCATTATAAGTTTTTGTTTATATTGATATTATTGTTTTGTACTATTTCTATAAACTGATGGGTGATGGAAATATATATAATACAAATAATTTGCTATATAGATTTAACCTCAACGCGGTATTGTATCAGATAGCTGTATTAGATGTTCTCAAGACTCGGTTAAATCGGAAAAAAAAAATAATCGCCTCGAATATATTTTGTATTTAATGGTATTTTCTGTTTGAATTATTACTATATAAATTACATCTATATATTATTATGTACTATATTATACGTTTCTCGATATTCTAATATATGTTATATCTATATAATAGCTCGCAATATAAAATCAATACAGTAGGTACTATATTACTGCATGATTCTTGTTGTACACTCGTTATGATAATTATACTGCTCTATCGTAGAATAACACACCGGACATCCGGACAATATATATATATATATATATATTATTATACTTGTTTATTACTTATTATTGTTTTTCGTGCGTATCTAATTTATTTGTCTACACCTTTACTCGAATAATCAGACTGTATTGTATTTCAATCGTTCTCGACACACCTCTCTATATTTTATTATAATACACCTATAATATATTATGTAAACCATAAAAAAAAAAAAACTAATGACGACTATTATAAATGGTACCTGTGTAATATTATCAGCGTTGAAAAATAATCATTTTTTTTTTTTCCTATCGATATTTTTTCGTCTATAGGTCGGGGCGTCCGCGGCAACAACGGCGGCGGCGGCGGTGCCAACACGGAAACCGTAAAGTCTCCGACGACTAAATCTCCGGTAATGCTCCCGATGGAACCGAAAACTTCTGCAATAGAAGTACAACCCGACGTGTGAATCCATAGCGAACATCGTAAATACATAATAATGATACACTGAACAATAATCGGGATTTCGCGAACAATATAATGCAATATTTTTTTTTCTATATCAAAATAGATATTTTTTTCATGTTCTTTATCTGCGCTTGATGGTCGCTTTTACAGAGACCGCGGCTATTATATTAATAATATCTATACTTACTGCAAGTTTATTAATTTTTTTTAAAATTGTTTTTTCAACATATAATATTAATATCGAAAAATAATAATATGCTGCTTATAATCGTATATGACGTGTAATTATTATCATACAATACTATAATTTCGTATTGTTTTTCAAACAAATATTTAATATTATATCGATAAATCGCAATTACTGCGTGAATACGCTATACTTTCAAAATTATTTTAATACTCACGATAAGCTTAGATAGATTTCGTTTAGGTTAAGTCGCTCGGCATAAATATGTCAAATTATAAAAAATATAATATTATGGCGGAGAGTACTTTTTAACGCGATATTATTAAAAATTATTTGACAACGTCGATTCATTATAATATTACCCACTTTTAAATATTGCAAATATGATAATTTATTACGTATACTTATAAACTATAATATAATAATTATGCGCTATGAATTATACAATATATTCATAAATACATAATATATAAATACATAAATTAATATAATATATTATAATATTAATAATTCTTAGACTCACGAGATTTTTAAATATGCATAATATACAATTAACACACATTTTGTTTTTAATTTTTATTCAATAATATATAATATTAACATTATTACTTAATTACTTATATAATAATAATAACGTATTATCATCCATCAATTAACAATGTATAGATTTTTTTTTTAACAATGTTCTCATTTTAAGTATTCTAAATGATAATTTTAAAACTTGTATAACATAATGATATTATTATTATATAATAACGGTTTGCAATTGCGCTGAACGGAGTGCGCCGTGATCGCAATATGCATACAACACATAATTATTACGTAATTTTTTATTCTTTAGATTGTAAGATTGTAATTAAAAAATTATAAAATATTATGTATAGATAATATTAAACGATAATATTGTAGTTTTAGAATATGTATTGCATAATATATTGTATTTAATTCTATATGAATACGCTATATTAATATTTAAGTAGATACACAGAAAAGCAATATGTACTGACCGTTATTTTTAACCGTTTACAGGGATCTAAGGTGCAACTTGAGACTTAAGAAAACAGAGGGAAGGTTTTCTCGAGTCGGAAAACACTTTAGAACTTGTAAGCGTAAATTTATAATAAAAATAACGGTTTCTACTAATTGTTTTTCGTCATTTGTAATTTATTATACATAATAATTATTGTCATTTATTATAATATTATTCCTTTTATTAACATAATATTAATATGTAATAAAATTTCGAATATATCTATTAATATAATATAGTTGATCAAATTACATATAGGTATAGATATTTCAGTAGGTATCTATTTAGTATTTACCCGATAATTTCGTAATATCTATAAAATATTGTTCGCAAAATACTGCTCAATAATATTAATGTATCTATATAGATGTTTTAAAAGAGCGTGCTTTTGTAAATTACATAAGTTTTTTTTTTTGCACATTGCATTTTCGTCCCTTTATAATAAATAATAATATTTTGTAGTAGTTTACATTAACATGTCAAATTAATCTTAAACGAACTATGTACTATATAAAAAATTATAATGTATATTATTTATTTACCTAAATTTTATTTACTTAAATATTCGTATAATACCTATAGTCAAATTTGTTTAGATCAAGATTAACAGCACTTTCACAATTTTATTTTTATTCGATCGTACATATTCATGATTTATTTGTTAACCTATATTACTTATATTACTTATATACTAGTCATATTTTTATAATATTTATACCACTGTAATACATATTTTTAATCTTCTACAATTGTATAATCGTTTTATCCTATAATTATTCTCCTTCTATCCAATAAAAAAAAATATTTCAAAATGCAATACCAATGTTTTTTTATTTACATAATATATAAAAGACAATAAACCTTTTCCTTTCTATATTTTATGATTTTTTTATAATTTCAAATAAATTCTTACATGAATTTCATCATTTTACTCGCCAAATGTTTAATAAGCTGCACCAATTATTAAGATGAAAACATATTACTGACAATAGCTATCTCAAATTTCTGGTATAACATTCAACAGATAATTCTTTAATGTACTACATAGTATGTCAAAACCTGGCATATTATCAGTGCAATATATTTTAAATAAAACTGTTATAAATCGAAGAAAAATGATAGCGAAATGTTAGGAAAATTGGTTTAGAATATTATAATATAAGTATGGCCGTATAGAGCAGTTCCACAATTTTTTTTACAAACATTTATGCTAAATAATTTTTGGAGCAATAGTAAACAGGAACCACGAAACATACTGTCCCCAATCAGGCAAAGATAGAATGTGGATATTTTTACCATGGGAATAAGATGGCTTTGATGCTAATAATTATATTGGACTAAGAAAATTAATAGTGAAAATATCGCTATGAGAAGTTTTCAAGTGTTTTATTTGCCCCCTCCCCCTTCATTGAGAAATCATGGCTTCGTCACTGCTACTGAATGTTAATTATAACTTTTACAGTTGTGTACAATAAATTAACTTAAAAATTTAAATATCTACTTCTTAATCAATAAATTATTATAATTTGATAGAAAAATATATTTAAAATTTATGAAAATCCAAATTTACACCGATGAGTTGCAAACAATTTTACCTTCAGAAATCTTGCGCCAATCATAAAATAACAAATTACTTTTGTGTTGCATTTTGGATCTAGGTAGTGCATTAGAAAGGTTATTTTTGATTTTCCAAGGGGTTTTCATAATAATCAGAAAAAACAGGAAACAAAATTATAGAGAAAACGGATATATATTTAAGGTCACGTCACGCATCGTTACGGTTATCATTCCTTTAAATTAATTTTCTTGCAGAAATTTTGTTCCAATCGAAAAATAACAAGAGATCTTTTTTATTGTACTTAGATCTTTTTGGTTATTAAGAAAGTGGTGTTTTTATTTTCCAACCAGTTTTTTTTAAATTATATTATGCACATGCGCACGTGTATGTATAGGTACATCTTCTGGACTTCGCTCAGACTCGTAATTCGTTAGCAATGATTTATTACTGCAGATATAAATTAAATAACTTTATTTATCCTACCTTTCTAACTTTCAACAGCGGTACACCCATTAACAGTATCTATCAGCTCTTTTTTTTCGTGTTTTGTATTTATAATTTTTTATCTTATTTTCTTTTCGAAAATAATTCTATTATTTTCGTTATGATTACATTACCTATAATTAGCTACCTACTTGCATTATAAATAACGTTAGTTGTCTTAATTTACTAAAAGAAATTCAAAATTAATATCCAAATGTATAGAAGAATTTTATTAGTTTCCTCCTCCTACCTTTTGTAGTTATATCAGTATTTTTATATGGTGACCGATGACTGAAAGAATGAAAAAAAACCCTGTTATACATGTATAATAAGCTACAAAAAAATAATGTTTTTTTTTATAAATATTAAGCTAATTAAATTGTGTAATTTAATTATTTAAACAATAAATTTACCTCATCTTAAATTAATTAAGTTGTTAAAGTTGTTATTACTATATGTATTTTTAATTGAATCTACTCTGACTGAAAGATCTTAATAATTTAATTAAAAATGAATCACATTATATTTATTCCAACTAAATAAAGACAAATTTGAAGGAAAAAAAATGTAGATATCTTGAATTTTAGTACATATCAATTGATATGCCTTTAAATAGGTATTCTAATTTATTTGTTTTTAATCTTGAATTTTAGTATAGAACAAAAACATAGCAGTACATATATATATATATTATATAGGTAGGTCACTTGTAGGTACTTAGAAATAAAGATAATTAATTTAAGCAAAGAGAAACTTACCAATAACATCTCCATTCGTCTACTTAACATTTAGTCGTGTTACTTACATCTATCTTATAATATATAGTTAAAGCATAATTTTGTATTATTTTTACATTATTTAATTTTAACAAATACCAACAAAAAATGAATTGCTGTAGTATGTATATCATTTGATATAAAAAGCAGTTATTAATTCATTTAATCAGTCCATTTAGTTAAATAATTAATTCAGATTAAAAATAATAAATTATGCTCATTATTACCATGCAAAATATTCAATGGATACATATCAATACTGAAATAGATTTTATTTTAGTAATAGATACTATAAGAATTCAGGAATGAATCACTAGATATTAATATAAATATCAACTCACCTTATCTGTGACTGCAATTTGGACTTGCTACTAACCATGCCAAATCTGAAAAAAATTTTTAAAAAAATTGTTTAAATATCGAACAGTCATGTACTTATCTATAAATATGGAGATGAAAAAATGGAAGGGTTAAAAATAAATATTGGAAAAAAATTTAATTTAATAATCAAAATAATAGTAGGAAATAAATTAATAAAAACTAATTTAGTAGCAAAACTGACTAAAATCCTACAAATTTATTAAAAGAAAAAATAGCTATCAGTATCACGGTCAAATATAAAACTCACAGGACTGCACTTATCAGTGGTAGCATAACCGAGATTTTTTTAACTGTCCCAGACAAAAATTTGGTGTATGTATTGAAAAGTTATAAATTGGAAACATTTTAAAAGAAACTTGAAAACTTATGCATACCTATACTATTAAGCATCTATAATCTGATACAAGTCATGGATTATATTCTAAAAATATCAGATTAAATTCAAAACTATTCAGAAAATAGAGAAGTTAAAGTTGTTAAAGTTTAAGTTTTGATATTTTTAGCTTATTCAAATATTGCATTCAGAGGTCATAATGAAACACCACTTATACATAACGCCTGGGAACTTCCCGCCATTGGACTATAA